CCACATGCACTTGATGGAGCTTTTGAGGTGAAAGTGGATGACCTGCTCATAGAGACGGATACATATGCTGAAACAGGAGTGCTAAAACGTCGAGTTCAAGAATTTGAGGATGCAGTGAACTTTTGAATATGGTGGGAAGCGCTGATCATGATAAGCTAGGTGCAAGTGAATGTTCCAAATTGGCGGAAAGTGTGGCTCATTTCGATGAGAAAGACTTTGAAAACGAATAGTAAGACCACTTAAGTGGCTGGTAGGGAAGACCTACAGCTGTCAAGTTATAGTCAACATTTGCAACCGTCATCAAATGGAGCTCTTGCACATGCCTCGAGCAGTTTAGTACGTGTCATGGTGATATCGGAAGGGTGGCCTTTGGCAGGCTGATTGCTCTTCCTCCTTCAGGCGTCCAAACTCATGCCTGAGCTAGTGTTGTGGGCAGAAGTTCTGCCATTCTGCCAATGGCATTGGCAAGCGGCAATTGCCGGCAGTAGGTCGAGGGCCTTTGGCAGAAGTCGGCAGAAATCATGTGATCTTATTTTGTACTACGAGCAAATAGCATATATTGTTGATGTTCAAAAAAAGTGTATCTGAGCCTCTCTGCACACCAGAATATCGTCAAAAAAGTCCAAGGGGCCGCCCCACCCGAACAATCGTCACCAACCACTTTGTCCAACAGCACAAAGTCCCAAATTCATCCAATCGTTATTTTTACAAATGCAACTACTGTTCAACATCTATAAGAAGGCTGTGACGACAACACCTCAAACATGTTCTTGACCGGAATACTTGCCCTACAGCCCCAGATCACGCTCGTACAGAAGTCCATAACTATCTTGCCTCAAAGAACGGATATCAAGCCCTCCTACTCCCACCTATTCCAAACGCAGAATTCTGTTTCATCCCCGTCAACGTCAGGAGGCACAGCTCAAGCCCCACAGAAACGGAAGAACCTCTTTGGGTTTGTGGATCTTCCAGTCACTCCAGAGCAAGTAACACGTGCCAATTTCAAATTGTTTCGGTGAGTTCAAGTGACATAAATCATCGAATGTGTTCTGACTGCATGAATATTAAAACCAGATTCATTGTTCATGCCAATATACCATTCTTAGTTGCAGAGAACTGGTTTTTTCCGTAACTTTCTTGATGAAATTCAGCCTTCATATCAATCCCCATCACGTTATGTACTCTCACATTCAATTATGGATAGCAAAGTTGCGCGTGTCCAAATCGAGGACATTGCACGTCTCAAGGAATGCAAAAGGCTTACATACTTGCTTGATGGGTGGGAGGATCAAATCAGACAAAGCTTATAAGTCCCAGATATTTTCGAGGAAGGGTTATTGATTGGAACGAGCTGGAGAAGGGTTGATAAAGGAATCACACCTGCGTGATTTATCAAAGAGATTGATGTGGTTGGCCGTGGGTCACAAGGCACAGAGGCAGTCTGGAACATCGACACACTGTTGTTGTCGGAGGGTGTAGCATCCATGCAATAGCTTATATCATTTTTGCCGTCATCTTAAACAACTCTAGAAACAAGCAAAAACACGCAAAACATTTCTGCCAATTTTGCCATTCTGCCAATTGCCGTTCTGCCATTCTTTTGGCAGAACTTGCCCTGAAATATTTCTGCCCACGGCACTACACCGCCAAGTGCCGCTTTGGCCCAAACCGAGGTGGTGCGAAAGTTATATAAACACATAGCAACATGCTAAATACTGGTTCGATTGTAGCCTTACCACACAAATAATAAATTTAAACCTACATAGGGTACATATGCGGTGTCTATGAAAGGTTTTATATCCCGATCCTGGCTGATGATGTGGTTACAGCTGAAAATCCGTCCAAATCAGGGCCAGTATACACCCTTTGTGATGCATATATAGGACATATCCAAGGTCAGTCATGTAGAACAGTCGAAAATCAGACCTGTGATAGACCTGTAACCCAGCCGGTGCTAATATCTAAGCGGCCTGTATGGCTGATCCCACATCTATCAGTACGTATTGCGCTGCATCCAAGACAGCACCAACAGATGGACTATCTAGATCACAATCTTGGGCGATGAAAAGCGTCTCCGCGGCAGAATCACGCTGACTCGGAAGCATAAAACAATGCTATCATTGGCACAGTAAGTAGTATACATACAATGCAGACTAATAGCTAATCAACAAATTCATATCAGCGCACAAACAGAAGTGACCTAGAGTTGGTCGACAGCAAGGAGAGGGAAAGGGTAAAAGAGCGCAGTATGTTTGTTGAATTCGGCCCACAGGTCACTGAGTAGAGTCAGGAGAGAATGATTCCCCCATAGTTGCATGGCGTCAATATCACTTGACTGTCCCAACCACTCCTGAATAAATGTCCCCTCCAAAGGAACGCGAGGGTCCCACATTGGCCATTTGCCTCTGGGAAATCAAGGGTATGCTGCGACAAATGCGAGCCAGAAAGCATCACATCCCATGTCCATAATTGAGACCTGTTATCTACTTCGGTCACCAACCATCCTTTGATATCCTTCGATAGCACGGGCCAATTCCATCGGATTAGCATAGTCGAAGGTTCCTCGAAGTGGGAGAAATGGGATACTGACATCCTCTTGGGGGAAGTATTGTCGTTGGCTTGACTGGGAGTTGACTGCGCAAAGTAAGATCTAAAAATATTCAGTACAGAATTCAGAACTCACATCATCCATTAATGGTGAATTCAAATGAGTAGAGCAAAGATCCACTGATATAGCTTCCATAACCAGGGAGGTAAATGGCCCATATTCTTCGGCAATAGCAACTGAAATATGGACAGGCTATCATACATAACAATGAGCAAGCGTGTTGACAGCAACAACAAGCACTTACAATTTTTGTTCGCTGAATTGTCTGCCTTGGGAGCCTGCCCAAAAAACACATTGTAAGGAGGACGCGCTGCCACGGTGCACCGTCAGAATTATCAAAATGGCCCTCTGGAGTGAAAATGGTCGCAAAGTGGGTGATTTCGTTGGTCATTGTGGAGAGTTGATGAAGACTGAGTTGTTGATTGGAGATATTGCGTCGTGGGACTTCAGACTTGTTGATTTCAAAGGTGGAAGCTCACATGATCATACACATCAGCGCAGACTTGGAGGATTGAGTGTCAAGTCACTGAATCGAGACTTATAACTGTTAGATCAGTTTGGTATGACACTGAATAACAGAGACTTAGTTGATGGTATTGGTGCATTTTCTTTCATTTCGTGGTATGAATGTTCTACTGACTTAATGCTGCAGTCCTTCAATATTCCGATAGCACTCAAAAGCGTGTCCAATGCACGGTGTGCCCTCTCAAGGATGGCAATCATCGTTTGATGGAGTTTCGACATATATACAAACACATCATACAAGGTGTTCATGTCCGTCATGCTCAAAGAAAACATTCCGAGCAGCATCGAAAAGTTGTCCAGGCCCATACTAATGATTTCGTTGGCGCCGATGACTTCTTTGATACCAACGCTGACTCTCCAATGGACATGGATCTCTATGATGCGCTACCTAACGACTCGCTCAACTCGCTACCATACACGGCACCTGTGTCAGTGGCAGATAATGGGCCCTCCGAATCCGAACTTGATTTATCTGAGCTTCTGAATAAAATGATCGGCGACCGCACATTTGAGTTCGACGAAGGCCCTTTGGACTTGTTCACAGAACTCAAGGCGATCATTGCTTCAGGAGAAGTACCCTTCTCGACGCCACTTGCCCCAATCAACGACGAGCGAGAACTTTCTGATGACAGTACACCTGATTTCAGGATAGAGCTCCCTGGGTGAGTGACTTTATGATTTCTTTTTGCAGGCCTTATAATCTAACATACAACTAGATGATATCTACGAAAGAACGAACATCAAGGACACAGTTTCGCTGGACAATCCCACATATCCCTGGCCATCAAAATCGGTTTGTTTCTCTTTGTGTTAGCAATATTGTAGCACTTAAATTTGCATTAAGCATTTCGTGACCTCCCTCCTTTTTGGCTCTCCGCGTCTCCCATTTTCTGATGCCCAGAAGAGGGCAGTCCTCAGTTGGGTGCAAGAGCTCGGCGCTCGAGATGTCCCCTCACTTGGCGCCATCAAGAAATCTGGATAGTCTTGTCGGCGATCCGACAGAGAAGGTGACAGCTTGATCTGGGAATGTATTTTACATCAATGATGTTGCAAAATCGATCGCAAAGGTATGTCTAGCGTGTTTGTATGCAACAGCAACTGTGACACTACGATTTAGGATTATGGAAATCCGCTGACTCGTTTTTCAATGCAAGACTATCCAGAAGATAGCGGGGAGGGAATGTTGCAAGTATTCAACGGCAAGAAGATGTTGCTTGATCTGCCCTCACCGCCCGCAGCTCGTGTGGATGGAATGATTTATTTCACAGGTGAACTATTACAGGATGATTCTGGAGGGTATTTTATACTGGAACACTTCTTTCATGCCTCGCTGCCCGCAGATTCGAGTGACGACGACTCTGACCCATCCGAGCAGTCAGATGACAAGGCATTATATGCACTTGGTCGGGTGGTTGAATGGAATGAACAGAGGTACATCTTCTGGTTGTAAATATATCCAGATAAATGAAGTCCTCACTATATTAAGGCTGGATTTATCGTTAACGAGCAACAAGAGATCATTCCGACATCTATGTTTATGCGATCATTTGAAGAGATTGCCGCAACTCCAGGCGAGCTTGACTGTGGCCTTACACGTGCGTTGATTTACATCCGTCGCATCAGTGACTCGCTACTTATACAATATAACAGCTTCATCAGTAAAATATGCATCTCTTGCTCCGAATCCACTGTGTGCGAAGTCTAACGGCCGGATGGTCTATACAGTTCCCCTCCTCATTTTTATGGACGATGTTTCTGGCAATGTCTCGAAGCAATGGAACAAACACCATGCAATTTATATGTCAAATGCCAATCTACCGCGCGAGATGCTCAAGAAGGATTTTTTTGTGCGATTTGTCACATCATCACCGCATGCTGCTCCCATGGAACTTATGCGAGCCATGAAAGAATCTATATGGTATGTTGTTTCCTCGATCTGCTGAAGTTGAAGCTCTGACATATGCAGTAACGCTGCTGAATCAGGTATAATCGCCTGGGATTGCAAATACAACGAAGAGGTTATGTTGGTTCCATACGCGCTTTTCCTTGCTGGAGATAACCCCATGCAAGCAGAAGAATGTAGCCATGCCGGCTTAAACTGCAATTACTTTTCCAGGACTTGTGATATTGGCGGGACAAAAGAGCATAAGGTGTCTGGTGACGGGTACAGAAGCCTTTTTATGGTAGGAATACATTTGAACTACATTCTAATAGCTAATATCGTGCCTGCAGTCAGGCAATCTACGAACTCCTGAAAATACGACGGCAGAGATCCGAAAACAGTGCAAGATCGTGTTGAAGTCAGGAGCGTCAGAGAAGATCAAGAATTGAGTATCGTTGACTGGTGTTTGTGATTCCGCTTCTGGTTCAATCCTCAATGTGTTAGTAGAACTTGGGAAGAAACTTCGAAAGCATGCGGCTGGCACCCAGGCAATGCCTGAAGCCGAAGTTGCAGCTGTCCTCGAGAAAGAGTTCGCAGAACTTTTGCAAGGCGACAAGCTTGACGACACTATTAACCCATTGTTAGGGATGGAAGGTTAGTTTAGTACTCTAGCGAATTTGAACTCTCATTCACACTCTTAGCAGGCCTCGATATGCACATGGACACTCCGACAGAAATTCTGCACACAATACTGCTTGGCGTTGTCAAATATTTTTGGGGGCAAACCATGTTTTTGCTCGACAAGGCAAAGCTCATGGGCATCTTTCAGGTCCATCTTGAGTCTGTTGATAAGGACGGACTCAATGCTCCGTGCTTGAATGCGGACTACGTCTGCCATTATAAAGGCAGTCTGATAGGAAAACATTTTAAAAGCTTGGCACAAATGATGCCATTTTTGATTTATGATATCATCCCTTCGACTGTTCTCAACGCATGGACTGTGATAGGAGAGCTCGTTGTACTCGTCTGGCACACAAATATTGTGAATACAGAAGCTTATCTTGTAGGTTTACACAGATATATGCAATAACTTCAGTTCTCATTCTTCTCTAGGCAAAGCTGTCTCAAACGATTCAAGATTTTCTTAACATCACAGCACAGTGCGCACCCAGCATCATTATAAGCAAGCCCAAATTTCATTTTTTAGTCCATCTCCCGGCATATATTCGGCGTTTCGGACCAGCAGTGATATTTTCAACAGAATGATACGAGTCCTTTAACCATGTATTTCATTTGTCATGTGTATACAGTAATCGTCAAACACCGAGCCGCGACACTTGCCGAGGATTTGCTCATCAAGATATCATCAAGCATATTGTCACTGGCGGGTACTGGTATGATAACAAAGTCTCGAAATGGGTCCGGGGAGGAGTGCAAATTCTAGGGTATCTCGATGAACACCCAGAGCAAGCACGATTACTTGGGTTATCAGTCTTTAATCGCAACACTCCAGTACCTGGTAATCCTACCCCACTAGCTCACTCTATTGCTACTAATTCTTTTCACATAGGTTCCAGGAAAGCTCAGACTTCTCTTCGCACTCACGGAAAAATGGCGAGAAACGATGCAGTGGCCTGGAAAGAAACGTATTGCTGGAAGATCCTCAAGACTGCACAGCCTGGCATTGCCTATTATCAAGGCAAATCACTTGTAGCGAGAGAAGGGGACGTCGCATATCTGAATAGTCATGTTATCTTCCGTCGAGCGGCAGATGAACAGGTGAGCAATTTCCTCACCGTATGACTCTTTATTAATGTGGGGATATTGTTAGACATGTGTTGGACGTATTCGTGAGATCCTCATATCATCCGAGGATCCAAACACTGTTGTTCATGTTGGACTCCAGCTCTTTTTGTTCGCAGACACTTTGCATGCTTCCGTCCATCTACCCTGTCTGAACCTGACTGACGACGAGGTTGTCACAACGGCGATGGTGAATTTGAGATCCAATTGATTGTGTGTGCTGTTTATGACCCTTGCACTGTAGGATATCATATGTGTCATTAATCTCCAGCACAACTGTGTCGATTCACAGTGTAAAGACACTGTCCAGCAACCCATGTGCCAAGAACGGCTTGAAACTTCTCGCACGAAACCTATCGTTCAGCACAAGTCAACCCCACACTACTTCGTCAACGCCTACTCTATTCATAATTACGATCATATCAATCTTGTAATCCCCGAGATGCTCCGTGAATCACCGCTCAGAGTTACGAATGTGGCAGAGGTTCGGGAAATAGCCGTACAACAAATGAAGCAGAAGAAGGCTTTGAAAAAATCTGGTGACGCACCCCAACTAGATGACCATATAGAACATGATACCCAGATCCCTCTGGTGGCAGCTCCCACCTTCGATCAGGCCCCTCCCAAGTCAAAGACAGCCGCAAAATCAAAGGCAAAGGCAGCCACTTCCAGGGCACGAAGGAAGGCAGCAACATCGAAGACTGGTCAAGTGATTGCCGGATCCTCTAGCCAGCTTCCATCCGCTCAGCAAGGTTCAATGGTTCATATTATAGATCACCAAAATCAAGCCCACTTTGCACTGCCACCAGTATTCCCTCCCCCCCAGTACTACCACCCTCCTGACCATTCACAACTTCCTCCACCACAGTTATATGATCTGCCACCACCAGCTCTGTATCTTCACCCGGGGAGCTCACAGCGACATCATGAGGCTATAGAAAGGTCATATACCGGTGAGTTCTTCGTCGTGATTATAGCATCAAAAATCTCACTACACTGAGGCTATAACATGTACCAAAATCCATCTGGGCCGTATCTGCAGCAGCAGCAACAACAACAACAACAGCGCCTGCACTCCAATCCACACCCGCACCTGCACTTACATCCACACCCGGAACAGCACCAGTACCAGCACCAGCAACAGCACCTGCACTCTCATCCGCACCCACACCCGCAGCACCTGTACTCTCATCCGCAGCAGCAGCAGCAGCAGCAGCAACAGCAACAGCAACAGCAGCAGTAACAGTGCCTGCTTCCGCTACCGCAACAAGCCTTAATCCCCTTCTCACCCTTAGAGGTGCTGCACTGGGTGGAGGAAAGCAATGCTTGCTACTCCCCGGCAGCATTAAGGCTCTCTGGCATCTGTCACCAACCCGCTCTGTAGCAACAGCAACAGCAGGATGGAGGGACTTTGATTTGCAGCCTCAAGAAAGTACCATTCGTAAACATAATATGTACTTGTAATAGTAATTTGAACACCATCCCCCCCTCGTCTGACTTGTCTTGATGCGCCATGGTTGACGATTCTCCATTGGGTGAATTGAATTGAATTAATGTAAACTCAATTAACGCTGTTTTTGATTTCAATGGAGTTTGAACCAACTCGCAGCATTGGTTGTCCTGCTCCCTCACTGTCTGCAGCATGATCTCACAGCATCCCGTGCGTGCGCGCAAGCAACCACAAGCTAGGCAAACGACAGCAAATGGTCTACTCGCACCTAACGATGCCTTGCTCGCTCGAGGCAGGAGCATGTCAGCCAGCAGCAGAGGATCTCGACCGCCTTCGGCATGTGGTTCACAACTGCGTGGTACTAATATCAGTCGTGCACGCTCACCTCTAGTATCCCACTTGCCATTGTCTTCAACTAATGCTCAGATCACCACCACAGGTTCCCTCAGCATTCCGCATGCGCCATCATCCAATGGCTCCTTGGACGAGCCTATAACTGCTGGTGTGCGTCGCCAAAGGGTGGATTCCGGTGCGAGTCATGGTTACCCTGTTACCCTTACGCCTCACAGCACAAAACGGCTCAAAGTCTATGCAAATCAAGTTGCGGAGGAGGTTGGTGTTCCAAACACCAGTCTTCATGAGTTCGTTGATGTGAGTATTTTTTTAACTCACTGTAAATGTACATGATTTAGTGCCCCTTCAGTGCAGAGGGATATACCAGATGCTCATAAGGATTGTAGCCCTTGTGCCCAAGAACGACGGCGAAGAAAAACTTAGAATACTCGCCAATCTGAAAGAGTTGCTGGCCTCTAAAGATTTCAAGGTATTATTTGCCATCTCTGTACATCCCACAAGTCTGACTTATCATTTTATGAGTCTGTGCTTCAAAACCGTCTAGTCGCATGCATGCTTTCGCCCAACATCACTGCATATGTGACAGACACACACCCACAGATCTTGGTACGTTTTTTGTGGTGGTATGAATGGAAAGTGAAGTGGACTGACACCACGGCAGAAATTTATCAAGAAAAATCAAGACATATTCAAAGTACCGGAGACGCTGTTCGAGGACGTGGAACTCTCCTCACTGTTTGGTAAGATTGTCAGCAAGTGTCTCTCTACCATCCGTGGCAATATGAAAACTAAGGTGTGTAGTTCAAAATTACAATCACGATTTTTTTCTGAAATGATATTTGTCAGTTGACTGCGTCTATTGCTAAACGCACTTGTATCACAGACATCGCAAGGGGCCTTGGTCATGGTTGTATTGAAGTTGATGCAGCTCATTGGAACAGGTTCGCATTTTTGGTATGTTTTTGTCACAATGAATATTATATAGATACATAGTAACCTATTGAGACTAGCGGCGCTGCTTGCGTGTCTACCTACTCGGTATCAGCAACTACAGGACCGTTCCTCTGAAGACTCTTTACTCCCCCCTGCTCATATCTTCTCTCCCAAAAGAAGTCCACCAAAAAATTGGACTGCAGCTTGGCATCGATATCAATGAGATAGAGCGCAACATGCTCGACGGTGATGCCGAAGAGGACGACGATGGTGCCAATGCCTTTCAAGATACCGCCGGTGAAAATGCAGCCCCTGGAGATATTGATAGTGGCGGTGGCAATGAGGAGAATGAGAACCTCAATGCAAATGTGGATTATGATAAGGATGATGTGGACATCGAGCCTGATGTGTGCGACTCAGGGGGCATTGACGGGGATGGTCTGGTTGTCGCAGAGAAAGATAAGTCTGAGTCTGACCTCTACACAGCGGGAAGATTTTGGAATTTTGTAGACTCCTCGCTTGCAAGCGCCCGTGATGCTGCGAAGGAGCAAGCGATGGAAGAGGAGGGTCTGGCATATGAGAAGGCATATAGCGAGTAGGTTTATCGAGCCTTGCGTTTTGTCGCTGATTATCATGAAGGATCATCGTGCAGTATCTACAGCAAGATCTTTCTGATTTTCCTGGAAGGACCAAAGTTCCAGCGCTCTTCTCCACCAACCGCCCCCAGTGGCAATTGACTATTCAGAACGAACTCTTTTGGAAACATACTTAACGCTCATTTATACTCCGGCTTGTGCATACTTCACATAATCAGTATCTCTACTCCATAATCATGCCTGTATCTACCATCCACCAGTAATGTGATGTTTTTCGTGGCTCGTTTCATTTATTGTGCACTCGATTCTCCAAACATTCAGAGCTCCAGTGAGATCAGCCTGAGGATGGTGCGCAGGTGTCATCCAAGTATATTATATATCTGAGAATTGATGCGTGTTGGAGGTATCGAGCATATCTATGCATGACATATGGAAGCCAACCTGTGTGACAGGTATGAACCAGATGTCTGTGCTAGATGTGGTAAGAGATATATTCAGAGCCTGTCATTTCCTATATAGACTAAAGCTCAGGTAGCCGATATATTCTGAGTGTCTTGGAGACGTGTCTCGGTGGTCGTTATTACATCTCTCAAAGCCCGCACATTCTCGCTTCGCTAAGACTAGAATATATTTGTCTCCAATAGGTAGTGCGAAAATCATATGACCAAGGTGGTGGAAATGTGCGCCACAGCTTACCATTTTTGGGACTGTACAACACATTTTCGGCAGTCGGTAGTGTAGCCTGAGCTCAAGCCTTTGCAGTCTTTCTTTCGAACTCCGACTTTAGTCGTCTGACGAAATAGGCTGGCCTATCATAGGCGGATTAATATTTGGTCCCGTCGAATATTATTTACTTCAGCACTGGCTCAATCGTTGCTTTGTAGCCGTGTCTTGAAAATATCGTCCAAAGCTCGCCAGCACAAACACAAGCGACCAGGCACCCCATTTTGCACTCGACTGGCTGCTCATAACTCCTCCACACCGCATCGCTTAGCAATTCCATGAGTACTTATAAAGTGATTTGCCTCATGACAATCTGAGGATTCTGAGCTAGATCATAAACAGTCTTCAACAGCATCGTCAATACATCTCCCAAATTCGACACCGACCTCTGCGTCGCTTCCTTTATCCTAGGCTGCGCATTTTCAAGCCACGTATGCATGAGTGTCCTCCTCGCAATATCTCCTGGTACAAACAATGCAGTCATGCTCGCACTTCGTGACCCAGGACAGGATGAGCTATCAACGGTGACAAGTGCAGTGATTATGCAGTAGACCTGAAAGAAAAGTCCAAACTTTATGCCGAGGAGTTCACGCGTCATGGTTGACGCAGTCGACGCCCCCTCCAGCGCCCTCCTGCGTTGTGTTCAACTTTGCAGGCACCTTATCGTCTGAGCTAGACGCTCTGAACTCTGCCGATCCTTGTACATCAGAGAATTTCTTAGCAGAATCATCGAGCTCTCGGGCGTACCAACACTGTACTGCCTGTACATGTCACCAGGAAATTCCTTCCGTGCCCATCATTGGTGCATCTTTCAACACCGCTGGGAGGCTAATACACGTATTTCACAATGCGATTCTCTGCATAAAGGTAGTCGTCGCCATCCAGGCGTTACGCTGTTGTGACATTGTTGAGTAGACGATACAGCTGTATGAAACTCCCCATATGGTGAGCCTGTCTCCCTCGCTTCCATTCAACATTCACTCGCTCTAGAATTCGCATCTCGTACCCGACAATTGCTTCGATGGTACCTCCAACAACTCTCGAGTCTATCGACTTCCGTTACTATTCTCTTCCCAGCCGAACCTGCCACTAGGCAGCATGCGCCTCCATCATACTTAACTATTCCCCCTATTGTGCCACTCGAGTAATTCTCAGCTGCAATTTGACAGAACTCAACTATCATTTTCTTGTCGATCGTACCATCTAAGTCCTGCCCACCGAAGGAAAAGGAGAATGAGAAAGGGGATATCACGACTGGCACATTGCTACTCCTGTTCAGCTCGTCAAGTGTTCTTGGAAGGGAATGGAGATAAGATGAGGATACGCAATGATGACGCAGTTGCGCCCATCATTACGGGATGGTGTCTGATAACCTTGCCTCGAGCCTACGGACCTGGTCCCCTGACGTTGTCTGATGTGCAATGTGCTTATGCTAATAAATTCGTATGTCAGGAATAAGAATCACGACACTGAAAGGGAACGACTGTTTTCAAGTAAAGTCGTTAGACGTTTCAGCTTGCCACATGGTGCAAGCGTGGGCAGGTAGCTAGCGTCAGTAGAGATATGATTCAGAGCTATGTCTCTTTCAAATATATTTGTAACATCAAATAACTTGATTGAGTACCACAGCGAGAACATTGCCCGGACCCACTCTCAAAACACACAGTAAATAAGAATGAAGTGAGTTTTGAAACTGGATCGAAGGCGGCACATAACTTGGAATAAATCAAAACAAAAACCGCTCACTACTACGAACTAGCCGCCGATTGTAAATCATATTGATCGAGTATCTTCCGTACTACACGCTACTGCTAGTTGACACGTGGACGTGCTCCTGAAAAGCAATTGAAGACATGGCGGTTCCCGTATCAGAGTTGGCCACCAGCTCAGCGTGATATTCTCGAACACCGAGGATCAGGCGTGGTCCCAGCACAAACATGCCCGCAAACTGGAATATCTGAGCGAAACCATTATAAATCAGAGCGCCCAGGGAATATGAGTTCTATAGAAATGATGAATGATGTTCGTATGCAAGTAGAAGTCGGTGACAGCTCGACATACCGCTGAAAGCGTTGGAGAGAGGAAACCGATCTGGAAACAAGAGACAGCCAAAAAACTAGTACGTGCAAAACTTCAGCGGAAGAAGAGAACCGCATTCACATTATGAGCTCACCTCACAAAGTAGCTCACATGAGTTTTCATTAGCACCATGAAACAGTCACCGATAATACCTCTTGTTGAGTGTTTTCGCAATTCACGGAAGTGCTTTACAGCAATCCAGACCGCAAGACACAGTGCAAGGACCTCCCATACAGTAGAAAGTATCCAAGTCATGGAAACAAGAAATCCGGAATCTCCCCCGGAGTCGAACATGCACTGATAGGTGCCGGAGAGAACTAATTCCTCTGGTATTTTTCAATCAGCCTGATCCACTTAAACATTTCATACATAATTAAAGCTTACCCCCTGAAATCTGCATCATCGTTATTGCGGTCATCACAGCGTTGGCGATTCTGATGGCCAGAAAGATGACGACGAGAAATATCAGCACCTTTCTGGATCGCTGATACATGGCATGTAACCGAGCGATCATGATCACTTGCATGATCTTTCAGTCAAGTCAATGCCACGGAGGTGCATAGCTCACCGCCCAGCATTACATTTACAACGTCAGCCATCAAATAAAGTCCGTCGTTTATGATAAGGCCTGACAAATGCAGCAACATTAGTTATCAGCTTCGGAAGATCACAAGGTCTAAACAGACTCACAACTGTGGGAGTCGTTATGTTGAACCAACGAGTTAATCGAGAATATCACTCACCCCTGCATGATAGTTCAGTGTTTCGACAGGAATGGAAGGCATCAGTGTGGAATGCTCACTGTATCTGTCATCGAAATAGTTGGAACATAAACTATATGCCACCCGTCACAAGAAAGAAACAGAGTCTATGCGAGGAGACATACTCAAAATGTTCATCCTGATTGTGAGAGGTGGATGATGAGAGCAACATCGATGGCTTAAACTTCCAAACGTACACAGCATATCCTATTCCACCATAGCGCACCTAGGATATTTTGAAGTCAGCACAACTTGGACTTGCTAAGCGTAAACATTGAAACACAAGGCACGTACACTGAGATAGAGAAAGGTCATCAAGGACCAGCGTTGTCTCTGCCATGATTAAGTTGTACTTTCTCGTCGTTCTTTTGAGATCGAAGTCCGCTCACCCAGATCAGTTCAACCTATAACACAATTCTAAGCGAGTTGGCTCCCCCAGTAATCGGGATCGGCGTACCTCTTGCCCAAACGTAAGCGCTGAGAATACCATAAGGATATCAGTGGTTCTTTTATACTTAGTCGTGCTTACCCCAATCGTATGTTAGTCCAACACAGGTAGCAACTGCGAAATTGGAGTCAAGGTGAATCAAATCATCGCCGTCATCATGCTGTTGATTGTCCACGAACCTGAAGAATAGCTGAAAATAAAATTCATATTGATAACTGGCCACCAACTGGGATCATTCGAGACTAGGGTCATACTATTAGAGGATGGAGCGAGTGAGCGGGGGTATTTGGTGGACGTATAACGATCGCATTCGTGCTTGATATACCACAATCCAGCGCTTACCTCGCCAAAGTGAGATTTGAGGGATGGTATCTGATTGATCGAGGTAAATGGTTCAGCCCGAATTCCAGTAGAAAGACAATGTGCATCCAGGGATACCGATGGCATCAAGGTAAAAGTTGTTGGTGAGATCGCAAGGCAGTGGGTCGCGTGTTTGATCGTCCCAAAGATAGGAGAACTGTTCATGATTTGGGCAACCTGCTTGCTGTAGTGCGATCAGCGGTTATATTGCCAAGGTGAAATTTGAAATTTGAAAGACGATATAGATATCGAAGCTTGTTAGTGGTCCAACGTGAATTCCAGTACAAAAACAACGTGGATCCAGGGGATCAATGTAATTAACACAGCACAACACATCGGATCATCACCGCGGGGGATTATGGGAAAATGAGACCAACAAAACACTGAGAATACCTGCATGTAGATTTTATTTGATAATTTACAGGATTCGCCCGCAGGTCACTTGGAATACATTTAAAGAAATTCCTTGAAGCTTCCTGTAAAATGCCCGATCAAGGTATAGGATGGGGGTGCTTTGCAAAACTGTTGCCCTGGCGCAGCTCCAAGCAGATGACGTGTCACTGCGGTAGCTACCAGCTCAGAAAATCGTGCAAGGATTTACTTAGTCGGAGACTATTCTTGTATCATATGATGACGCGAGGGCAGGGTATTTTCCTGGTCCTTGTTGGAACGCGTTCGATTGGATAGACCAAAAGCTGCTCGCGGATAAGTGACGACATATATAATCAAATCCTTACCAAAAGCACTCACTAAATTAGTGCCCTTGCTTGCACTAGGCTGCTTGTAGGCGCCATAAGTTCGTTCACCGGTTCCCTGAACGGACGTTCATGCAACGTTGTTGAACGCTCAATGAGTAGGCGAGCCTGAGAGCCAACAATACTAGTAAGTTACGTTGAGCTAGGGCTTTGTAAGCGCACGTGTCTTTGACACACCTCTTGCACTTGCATTAATCACGTCCATGCGCACAGACATATATGTGCGCAACCTTCGAAAAGATCCCTAGATTCTTTTTGCCTCATGCCCTCACCTTCCAGTTCTCAGCACGAGTCTTTTGTCCACCCACCCACCTCCCTTTCTAGTCACACCCGATTGTCGAGAGCCCGTGAGGTCATTTTTATTTCAGGCTGTGCATACCACACACTCACCATTAAGGACCGAGGTGCTTTATATCGATGACCCAGATCTGGCATAGCGCTATCGCGGAACGCACGAATTCTATCACGCCCTCTCTGGATTTAAAGTCTCGGTACTTCCAGAACTTACACTGAGTCAAAGCTTTTGAGTTTACAATTCTAGGCTTCCCCATGACTGTATTGTCTCTGGGAGCCCCAAGTCACATCAGCAGGCCCGACTGTTATCAAGATATGACTCGTACATAAATAAGTACCACGACAAAACCTGGAATAAATAAAAACAAATTCTCCCGCTCCCTGCACACTACCCCCCGAAATCGCAATTCAATCATAGCATCTCCTGCGCTACACACTACTGCTAGTTGACACATGGATGCGCTCCTGAAAGGCAATTGAAGTCATAGCGGTTGCCGTATCAGAGTTGGCCACGAGCTCAGCGTGATATTCTCGGACACCGAGGATCAAGCGTGGTCCCAGCACAAAAAATCCCACAAAGCCAGATATCTCAGCGAAACCTTGATAAATCCGAGTGTCCAGGGAATATAGGTCCTATAGAAATGATGAATGATGGTCACATGCATGTAGAAGTCGGTGACAGTTCGACGTACCGCTATGAGCGTTGGAGAGAAGAAACCGATCTCGAAGCAAGAGATGGCCAAAAAACTAGCACGTGCAAAACTTTAGGGGAACAAAAGAACCGCATTCACATTATGAGCTCACCTCGCAAAGTAACTCACATGAGTTTTCATTAGCACCGTGAAACAGTCACCGATAATACCTCTGGTTGAATGTTGTCGTAGTTCACGGAAGTGCTTTACAGCAATCCAGACCGCGAGACACAGTGCAAGGACCTCCCATACAGTGTCAAGTATCCAAGTCATGGAAGCAAGAAATACGGAATCTCCCCCGGAGTCAAATATGCACTGATACGTGCCGGAGAGAACGTATTCCTCTGGTATTTTCAATCAGCCTGATGCACTTAAACATTTCATATATAATTAAAGCTTACCCGCTGAACTCTGCATCATCGTTATTGCAAGCATCACTACGTTGGCGATTCTGATGGCCAGAAAGATGACGACCAGAAATATCAGCACCTTTCTGGATTGCTGATACATGGCATGTGACCGAGCAATCATGATCACTTGCATGGTCTTTCAGTCAAGTAAATGTCACGGAGGTGCATAGCTCACCGCCCAGTATTACACCTACAACGTCAGCCATCCAATAAAGTACGTCGCTTACTGATAAGGCCTGACACATGCAGCAACATTAGTTATCAGCTTCGGAAGATCACAAGGTCTAAACAGACTCACAACTGTGGGAGTCGTTATGTTGAACCGACGAGTTAATCGAGAATATCACTCACCCCTGCATGATAGTTCAGTGTTTCGACAGGAATGGAAGGCATCAGTGTGGAATGCTCACTGTATCTGTCATCGAAATAGTTGGAACACAAACTATATGCCGCCCGTCACAAGAAAGAAACAGAGTCTATGCGAGGAGACATACTCAAAATGTTCATCCTGATTGTGAGAGATGGATGATGAGAGCAACATCAGTGGCTTAAACTTCCAAACGTACACAGCATATCCTATTCCAACATAGCGCACCTACGATATTTTGAAGTCAGCAAAACTTGGACTTGCTAAGCGTAAATATTGAAACACAAGGCACATACACTGAGGTAGAGAAAGGTCATCAAGGACCAGCGTTGCCTCTGCCGTGAACAAGTTTTAATTTCACGACATTCTTTCGATGTGGGAGTCCGCTCACCCACATCAGTTCCACCTATAACACAATTCTAAGCGAGTTGGCTGCCCCAGTAATCGGGATTGACGTACCTCTTGTCCAAACGTCAGCGCTGAGAATACCATCAGGATATCAGTGGTTATTTTATACTTAGTCTTGCTCACCCCAATCGTACATCACCCCAACAGAGGCGGCAACTGCGAAATTGGAGTCAAGGTGAATCGAATAATCACCGTCATCATGCGGTTGACTCTCCACGAACCTACAAAATAGCCGAAAATAACATTCGCATTGATGACTGGCCACCAACTGGGATCGTTCGAGACTACTAGGGTCATACTATTAGAGTATGGAGCGAGTGAGCAGGGGGATTTGGTGGATGTATAACGATCGCATTCGTGCTTGATATACCACAATCCAGCGCTTACATTACCAAAGTGAGATTTGAAGTTTTTGAACGATGATATCTTCGGGGTAAGTGGTTCAGCCTGAATTCCAGTGGAAAGACAATGTGCATCCAGGGATACCGATGGCATGAAGATAAAAGTTGTTGGTGAGATCGCAAGGCAGTGAGTCGCACGTTTGATCGTCCCAAAAGATCGACAGAACCGTTCATGATTTAGGCAACCTGCCAGTGCGATCAGCGGTTACATTGCCAAAGTGAGCTTTGAAATTTGGAGAACAATATGGATGTCGTATCTTGTTAGAGTTTCAACGCTAAATTCCAGTACAAAAACAATGTGGATCCCCTAGGGGATCAAGACAATTTGCAAAGCACAACATATCGGATCATCACCGCGGGGAGATTATGGGAACAATATTAATGAGACCAACAAAACACTGAGAATACCTGCATGTAGACTTTGTACAGGATTTGCCCGCAATTCACCTGGAATACGTTTAAAGGAAGTCCTTGAAGCTTCCTGTAAAACGCCCGATCAAGGTATAGGATGGGCGCTTGGCAAAACTGTTGATCCAAGCAGATGACGTATCATGCTGTGGCAGCCACTAGCTCAGAAAATCGTGAAGCGATTTACTTACATAATTGGAGTCTAGTCTTGTACCATATGGGCAGGGTGTTTTCCTGGTCCTTGTTGGAACGCGTCTGGATCGGATAGACCAAAAGCTGCTCACGGATAAGCGCTAAGCGACGAGATACTAATCAAATCCTTACCAAAAACACTCACTAAATTAATGCCCTTGGTTGCACTAGGCCGTTTGTAGGTGCCATCATGAAGTTCTTTCACCAATCGTTCATGCACATGCTTGCGACGTTGTTCCCAATTTGTTCCATAGTCACGGTGCTGGCCGGCGTCGTATAGATGCCAAAATAAGGAGCTCCCACGCTATGACATCATAAACTTTTGGCTCAGGTGACGTTAGGGGCACGAAGTTGTATTTCAACTTCAAGTGTACGAGTGTTTCACTCAAGTCCATCCTCCCCGCCAAGCAACCCATACTCAATGAGCTACCTTACTGCAGTACGCTGCTCTATAAAGAGAGTTTCAGGAAGCCTCGGAGTTTCGTCGCGATATGCAAATGCGAGGTGCGCCCACAAAACAGACACCTTCAAGTCTAGAAGCTGACTGTATCATGACCGAAGACGGTACACTAGGTATTGGTCACGAATTAAAAACTGCATACTACTCTGCTTATCATGACTTTATTGCCAAAGTACGATGCATGACAATGATCCGGAGGTACGTCTACTCCAATCGCCCACCCCTGAAACAGAACAAAATTCCATCATTGCAGACGTTGGAGCGAGAAAAAACGAAGAAAACTTGTCCAGAACCCAGCATGAAACGTCAACCCCAATTGACGACGCACCAGGGTGGAACGAAGATCTGGCGTCTGTATCTGAAGCACACGTGAAGGTGCTCAGTACAATCCCGAATCGTTGGGGAAAATGATATTGACATCATTTTGTAGGCTGACCGCTCTTCCGTCACGATTAATGACCTTCAGCGCAAGACGATTGATTATCTTAATGGGAAGCACCAACCTGACGAGCAAATGGATCACAGAGAGGCGTCCTACCTGAGAGACGAAGTAACTGGTCCCCTCGGTACTGCGAGAGTGGGTGAATTTGAGGGCGTTGTCGGTGCTGGTGATCTTGGAACAGATCAGGAGGGCGCTGACATAGAGTCCGACGGGCGCACCATCAAGCGGCACATCGTCTACGAGGAGATAACAGAAGTTACGAGAGAGCCCTGTCCAACGGAGAGCGAGGCTAATGTGAGTGTTTTGAGTGTGAATTCTGCATCTTTGTCGTTAACATGCAATTAGGTAAAGGCAGACCGCGGGGAAATTTCTTGAATCATGCCTGTTAATCCTGCGCGATTAATGTCGCTCTTATCGTATCGATACTCAACTTCTCAGCCGTATTCCATGTACTCAATCACGCCATTTGCTCCGGAGTTTATATCATATTGTTGCATTTGTCTTCAGAAACATTATTTCGACTGTGATATACTGTAATGTACAAGTAGTGATACATAAATCAACATGTGTCCGTGTAACATACTGTATGAAAGGGAATTTGAGATGCTCATGCCTTAGGGTTAGTATCTTCACCGATAGTTTCTCCAGGGATCACGACTGGACCAACGCCAAACTCCCCGTCCCCTGGGAACGTCTCTCGCTCAGGATTTGTCTCCAAAGGGCCCAAGCGTACTGGTCCGGGACCAAAGTGTCCACCAAACGGCCCTGGCGTAATCTTTCTAGGGCCGGGGCCCAACGTGACATTCTCAGTGGTAGTGACGCCGGGTGAGGTTGAATTGATGGAAGCGGCAGGAATGGTGACATGCACGGCTTGATCGGTGGCAATCTGATTCACCGTCACTATGCGACGGGGGTCGAAATATCCACGAATGCGGGGGTTGGACTGGGGTCGAGGCTCCGTGGCCTGAATGCTGCGTAATAGCGTAAGATAATCAGATGGCTGAGTAATCACAATAATAAACAAATCTTACATCGCATTGAATGAGGAAGTCACTTTGCTTTCCGCAGGAGCTCCCAAGACAAGGAACTTTGAGTCAACGAGGGAAGTGTAAAATAGACCGACGAGCCCAGACTGCGGATTTCTTCAATGGGATTGCAGAGCATGAAATAAAATATTTTGCTTACGATTTGTCCTTTGTCGCCAGGGACTTCTAGTTCACCTTGAACACTGACGCTTGCACCTTGCTCTTCAAGAGCAGCGCTGCTCTGACTGAGCAACTGTGCCTGATACTGCTCCCTTGAAACTGGCTTTCCGTTGTAAATGACATTGACATTGTGCGCGAAAAGCGCATCAAATGCTGTGGTGAAATCTGCTTGGGTCTTGGCCGTCAGAATGGCCATGAGACGCGAAGAAGTGAAGGCGGTCAAGGTAGGGAGAACAAGTGCCATGATGGTGGAAATGAAACTGTTGATGAGGCATCTTGCTGTCGCCGCCTCGCCTTATGTACCCCAGAGAGGGCGCCCAAGTACGGATGCTGCGCATTCCGCTGTTAAGGCGAAGTTGCACAGATCGAAGCATCACGGGGACCTGGATATGCCGATAGAAGGTGACATGATGACGACACAAATCAGTACTCAGTCGTTTCGGTAACTCAATAATGCAGACTTGCATTTCAGATGACATGCGAGAGCCCCAGATGGGGTGAGTAATGATTCATTAATGAGCTGTCAATGATAGCATCGGCGTTGGTTGGGAGGCCTGTGCTTAATCATTCCGTGCATATCGTGTTCTTCTGTGTTTCAAGTCCGCACGTTCGAGTCTGTAGAATTTGAAATCAATCGCAGCATAACAAGCAGAATGATTAGCGATGAGCATCAACGTGATTGTTACTTATATTGACCCATTGAACGAATCACGCGCGTAACTTGTCTTGTCGCTCGGGCCCGACTCGGCGGCCTTGTTGGAAACATGGATTGGCTTGGATGGGCGGTGTGGCAATGCTGGACCGCTGGTCAGAGCCATATATGGTTTCAAACTCAGATAGGTATTTGCCGGGCTATTAAGGGGCGTACTTTCAACCACCTGTTCGCATACTATATACAGTCCTTCTGTTTGCTGCCCATCTGGCAACTAGCTTGCACCCAACAGATTGATGTCCTCCATCATGAAACAGACTCGTGCACATCACCACCCCGGTTCCAATTTTCTACCAATCAGTAGATCCTATATCCGTCTGCTCTAGATTTCCGTTTAAATTTGGGGCGAACGAATCACCGCAATAAGTATGAATTCTTGCGGAGCTGGATACCCTGACCCCCGGCTGTGCTTCCTTAGAAATCAGAATCGCCAAAATAACTGAGAAAGGGCTGTGTGCTCCAGCGAAATCAAGCCAGTCCAAAGCCAGTCATCATCAGTTGTCTCAAAGCCGTGGTGTCTTTGTACCAGTCTTCATGGTTTCCTGATATAGACTCCATATGAACACCTCCTCCGGCACTAGTTCCCACCCAAGTATTTCTTCATCTGCAACCTTCACGATAGATTTTCTCCATTCAGCAGAGATCTAGACTTGCTTATGTCTAGCGACGTTGCGTACCAGAGAAGAGGGGGAAGCACTGTCTCATTGTGGAATTGTAAGTTGAAAGCTTGTTATAGGGCATTAATCACGACACCACGGTTCATGCTCGTGCTGGACGCCAGGCTGCTGAATTTTGAGGAGATCATCGCGTCCGCTCGATTTCAGCTTCAAGGAACACTGCACTTTGTCAGCCACATGCGGCTGGAATTCCTGGACTGGACATTCAAGGCTTCCTCAGCGCAATCTCGCATCTTTTGTCAGTTAAGGTCGCCAAGGGTCTAGGACTCGTCAGGGCCGCGTGCACGTACGCGTGTTGACGGGAACGCCTGCATCAGGAGCTCAGAATCGCCACTTTGCCCAGCCTGCGAAGAAAGCGAAGAAACGGTACACCACTTCTTGATGGCCTGTCCTGCATACCGCACACAGCGGGATGCCCTGCAAAGTTCGATCCCCAACCGAGCCTTCCACATTCGACGCCTGCTAAGCAAAGACGAATATATATCAGACCTATTCAAGTACATCGCTGCAACCAGACGACTAGAACGCACGTTCGGCAATTTCGCTACCGACAACTAAAAGGAACTGAGCCAACTCGTTCCCCGCGCAGTCAGATCCACACCACGTACGCATACCTCTTAGACCCCAAGAAAATGAAAACCTCGTGTACTCGCGCACACGCCCCCATCCCCGTTAGCCTTAGGTTGGCTTCCGATGCTCCAACGCCCAAAACCCTTGTACGGGGCGCGAGCCAATGGTCTATAATTACACCAATGTTAGTTATCACACGAGAACATAGTAGCACATAGCATGTACTGTCTACATCGGGCGTTGTCCTCAGCAGACAATAAATTGGATTTTTAAAAAAAACGGGAACGCGTCGTCGGAGTCAAACTGTAGGTCTCCAACCGCCACGTCATTCCACATCAGATTGATCGATGACGGTCCACATTTGTGCCACATTGGTCGACCAGATACAAGGTAAGCAGGAAGCAGTTGTCATTCTTGTCCTTTGAGTTTTCTCCACCTCACCAGTTCTGCTCACAACGCTCGGTCAGCGTACTCGTTGAACGCCTCGCGTTATGCTCCCTGCCAGCGAGACTGGCGCATCGCCTACTCCGACACGCGCCAATGCACCAGCTCATCATGCTAGCACAATAGAATACACCCTAAAGAGCCGTGGGGCTCCCGTCGTCAACGAGAACATCGGCGTGGTCGGTGTCCAGTGCGTACCTTTCCTGTTTTTATTGAGTAGCACCTGACATTCCATCAAGGGCTAAAGAAGTCGGCCTATGGATTCAGCGGGACATCAAGCAGATTAAGCAGTGCATGGCGAATGCCATGCTGGAAGCCCTCCTGCAGCGCGCTTCTTGCGCTCCAGAGACTAAACAGCCTGAGCTCGTGCAAAAGTGCCCCATGAAAATTGTGCCAGTCTGCAATGGACAGGCCTCCGCTGGAGACATATTCTTCAGGCATCGTCCAGGATTGGGTGATGGCCAAGATCTTTTGGGGGGAGGCTGATCGCACTAGCGAGCCGGAGATCCTGAAAAAGTCAAGGAGATCGCTAAGCTACACGATACAGTCAAAGACTATATTCCCGAGTTCCCTGGCACCACACGTTTACGAACCCCACGTCCGCTATCCGAGAAGCGTTCGGTGTCCCAGGACCCACCACGGGCAGTCACGTGCTCTACATTCTCGCATTTCGCAAGCTCCAGCCCATCACAAAGCTTCACGGCAGAGAGCTTTTCGACGCCTGGCGTCAGTGTATCCTGTGTATATATTTTATTGAATTTATGTGGCTCTTCGTTGACATAGCGTGCAGGTCACCTTAATCTGTGGAAGGAAGGTGTCTATCATCAAGATATCACCCCTGGAAACTTGATGTGATACAGAAAAAACGGCAAACTGATTGGTGTGCTGTACGACTACGATCTATCCTCGTTGGCGAATGTAGTGGGTCCTCGGGGCAACGAGCGTACGGGCACGGTACCGTTCATGGCGCTGGATGTTCTCAGTGCAAAGGCTCAACAAGGCGAAGTCAAACACCTGTATCGCCATGATCTGGAGTCTTTTATGTGGGTTTTTGCATGGGTTTTCTTGCGTTACAAGCAGAGAGTCCTTCTACCATGCGGATCGCGCCCCTTCGATGAGTGGGCGACTTTAGACGCCATTGCATGTGGCGAGAAGAAGTTGTTCTTTCTGGAAAATGCTTTCGATTATCAACCTCCGGAATTCCGAACTTCCGAATTAGACATAGATTGGGAACTTCTTGTAGAATATTTTGAGGCGCTCGATACAGCTGCCTACAATCGCCGGACTCGCGTCCGCCGTATTCGACTTGTTCACCCGCGATCGATGGAAGGAGCAGGCGAGCGGACAAACGATGAAGAATCAGTATCGGATATGGATGATTTGCTACACAAATTCACAGGTACTATGGCCTGGGTTAAGTTCAGCAATCGTTCACCTTCACAGTGATTTTATTTAGTTGTGACAGTGCGTATTTTTTTTTGTGTTTTGCTACCTGCGTCAGTTGCTCATGGAATAGACGGATGACAGTCACTCAATTGGCTGTCCCAAAATGGTCAAATACAATATGTCTCAAACCGCCCGTTAAACGGTTCCAGTTATAACCCGGGTTAAGCCCGCACTGCATCAAACAACTTCTTTATCCAACATCAACTATCTTTGCTATCAACCAACCAACCAGCTAAGAGCTTCGTCCGATGCGCTATGCTTGCACACTGAATCAGTGTACTCGTTTTTAGACCTGTTCGGGCCCGCCCACTCACTGGCATGTCCATAACTACCCTTGATACACTCCGTACTCGCTTGTTTCTCTTTTAGGTCACTAGTACCGAAACGCATAGCGGCGCAGTGCTAACCCTGTGCATGTCGCTGGGTGTCATGTTGAGCTACAGATGCACTCGGAGATTTTCGTCGCTAAAAGCAATATAAAGTCATATTGCGACATGAAGGTCTCACAATCAACCTAAATTTTGGACGGTTCCTTGATGCGATATCCCGGCCGGATGCCACATTTATTTTCTACTTGAAGTTAGGCTGAAACACTTTGTACTTCTGCCAATCAGATGTCATCCTTCAAAAGCTTCAAATCTCAGTTTGGTATTGTAAGCGCTGGATTGTGGTATATCAAGCACGAATGCGATCGTTATACGTCCACCAAATCCCCCCGCTCACTCGCTCCATCCTCTAATAGTATGACCCTAGTCTCGAACGATCCCAGTTGGTGGCCACTCATCAATGCGAATGTTATTTTCAGCTATTTCATAGGTTCGTGTAGAGTCAACCGCATGATGACGGCGATGATTTGATTCAGTTTGATTTCAATCTCGCAGTTGCTATCTGTGTTGGACTAATATATGATTGGGGTGAGCAAGATAAAGGATAAAATAACCACTGATATCCTTATGGTATTCTCAGCGCTTACGTTCGGACAAGAGGTACGTCAATCTCGATTACTGGAGGAGCCGACTTGCTTAGAATTGTGTCATAGGTTGAACTGATCTGGGTGAGCGGACTCCCACATCGAAAGAACGAAGTGAAAATACAACTTGTTCGCGGCAGAGGCAACGCTGGTCCCTGATGACCTTTCTCTATATCAGTGTATGTGCCTTGTGTTTCAATATCTACGCTTAGCAAGTCCAGGTTTTGCTAACTTGAAAATATCCTAGGTGCGCTATGTTGGAATAGGATATGCTTTGTACGTTTGGAAGTTTAAGCCACTGATGTTGCTCTCATCATCCATCTCTCACAATCAGGATGAACATTTTGAGTATGTCTCCTCGCATAGACTTTTCCTTCTTGCTTGTGACGGGCGGCATATAGTTGATGTTCCAACTATTTCGATGACAGATGCAGTGAGTATTCCACATCGATGCCTTCCATTCCTGTCGAAACACTGAACCACCATGCAGGGGTGAGTAATATTCTTGAATAACTCGTCGATTCAACATAACGACTCCCACAGTTGTGAGTTTGTTTAGACCCTGTGATCTTCCGAAGCTGATAACTAACGTTGCTGCATGTGTCAGGCCTTATCATAAACGACGGACTTGAGTGGATGACTGACGTTTTAAATGTAATACTGGGCGATGAGCTATGCACCCCCGCGACATTTACTTGACTGAAAGACCATGCAAGTCATCATGATCGCTCGGTTACATGCTATGCATCAGCGATCCAGAAAGGTGCTGATATTTCTCGTCGTCATCTTTCTGGCCATCAGAATTGCCAATGCAGTGATGACTGTAATAATAACGATGCAGAGTCCAGCGGGTAAGTTTTAATTATGTATGAAATGTTCAAGTGCATCAGGCTGATTGAAAAATACCAGAGGAATACGTTCTCTCCGGCACCTATCAGTGCATGTTTGACTACGAGGGAGATTCCGTATTTCTTATTTCCATGACTTGGATACTTGGCACTGTATGGGAGGTCCTTGCACTGTGTCTCGCGGTCTGGATTTCTGTACAGCACTTCCGTGAACTGCGACAGCACTCAACAAGAGGTATTATCGGTGACTGTTTCATGGTACTAATGAAAACTCATGTGAGTTACTTTGCGAGGTGAGCCCATAATGTGAATGTGGTTCTCTTGTTCCGCTGAATTTTTGCACGTGCTAGTTTTTTTCGCTATCTCTTGCTTCCAGATCGGTTTCATGTCTTCACCGCTGTTAGCGGTATGTCAAGCTGTCACCGACCTCTACATGCATGCGACCATCATTCATCATTCCTATAGGACACATATTCCGTGGGCGCTCTGCTTTATAATGGTCTCGCTCAGATATTCCAGTTTGTGGGATTGTTTATGCTGGGACCACGGCTGATCCTCGGTGTTCGAGAATATCACGCCGAGCTCGTGGCCAACTCTGATACGGCAACCGCTATGACTTCAATTGTATGGAAGCCCGGACACTCGTGCTCAATTACTAAGCTAGAATGGCTACTTATGGTAATCGGACCTCGAGCACCACACTTCCGTATTTGTTCATGTTGACCAGTGCATACCTATTTGTCTATGTCGACGAAGAGAGTTCGAAATCTCGTCAAGTGGCGAACGCAATTTCAAACAGTTCAGAGAAACGTCGTCCCAAGACGAAAAAGTCCTTATACATCGTAAACACAACCAAAAAAACATAAGCCAAAACAAAACATAGTGCAATCTAAGCTACTTCTACCCCGAGCACCTCCAGTCCAAATCCTGGCCATTTGCAGAACTCGTTGCAAACATGGCGTCTCTCGAATTCACTCACTGCCTTCTCAATGTTGCCCTCCCCAAATATATCATTGCCCTGGCTAACAGATGAGTGCGTCATGATTTGTGGGTCAGTCAGTAGCTTTGTACTGCCTGTTCAATTCCATATCAACGACACTGAGAATATAGAATACTGGGTCATAGACTCGGAGCACATACCTTGATAGTCGGATATAAAGACCAGTCCACCCTGTCTTCATGTACTGGACATGTTGCGTGAATGCCAAAAACTGCACAAAGTCATACCCATCCTGGTCCGGGTCAAGCAGTGGGTCAGGATCCATATTATGAATAAACTTGGTGAAATCTTCGCCGTCAATAATCTCCTCGAGGAGGAAAGCTCCACGTGGTATCGTCGCAGTCTTTAATGTAGACTTGCCGGTACCTTGAGAGTAGGATAGCGCAAGGCCGGCTTCAACAAACCGCACGCATGGAATATTGAATGGTGGAGGATCAGATGTGTCTGCAATGGCACAGTCAATGAAATCATAGACAAGACCTAACAGAGCTTTCGCCCAGTACAGGACGTTTGCTTCTCTGAACAGCTTGGCCAGCTTGGCGAGTGGTGCATAGCGTCCAATTTTGTAATCGGTGCTAGATGTAGGCATGCCTTGGGGGTACACTCTTTCGAACGGACATTTCACAACAACCTTTTGACTCGCCCACAACCCCAGACCTGACCTAGGAGGCACCGTTAGTGTCAACCATCCTTGGTGTGCTGTTTTGAATCCACCTATTCCAATACAGCCTTCAATGGATGGGTCAATCGTCACATAGCCGACTGACGAATCGGCATTATCTACCGAGAATGAGTGGTAGCGGTGTCTTCTTACTTGAGGGTCTTATATGTTGATCAGAATACAATGACTATCACAATTGTACTCTTTAAGACTAAGGTGCCAGCTCCTCAAGTTCACGGTCAATGTATTTTCTACTTCTCGGTTGATAACGTGGTGTTTGTGGGTGGCCAAAGGGTAATAAATTACTTCTTTGCTAGATCACTTCTTGATAGTAAAGGAGTATAATATATTTTGTCAGGTGTACTTAAACCTAGTAGGTAATATGAACCTCTCTGAACTGAATGTGACTCGAATACGTAAGATGATGGATAAAACGATAGATTATTGTATAGGCGATCCCTGTAAGATAGTATACAATCAATCTAGACTAGTGAATATGATTGTTTTCAAAGGCAACTCGTAGGCCTTCACTTTCTTTGTGATCTCATAGTGTTGAGACAGAAAGTGGGAAAACTCCCGACTTCAAATTCCTACGTTCCCACACAGTTTGGGAAAAGAATGGAAGGGGAAAAACTTATATATTATGTGAGAATGGAGTCCTTATATACATTTTAGAAACCATCCTTACTAAGCAATGAGTCATCACTGGATTGGTAAGATTATGCTTACAAACCAAGCCTTTTGGTGTGCTGAATCAGCTGCTTACTAAAGTACATGAGTAAAATATTACAAAGCATGACGAATCATGACAAAACATGATGAGTCATGGAAAGTCCTTACAAATCAGAATATTACCAGTCACATGACATGCTTACAAACATATCTGAATGGCTCACTGATGTAATCAAGTGGCTGAATAAACATAAACAAATAATGGAAAGAGACAGGAACTAATGGAAACTACAAATACAACTAAATAAATAGAAACAAAGCTTACATAAGTGAGAAGTATATCCTTTGTACACTCCTCTACTCATCTCCTTTTATACTGCTATTCGTATATGTCATGGTATGAACTCCACACCATGCATGACAGCGGGTGCACTTCAGGAGCTCATTGAGAGGTCGGGTAGGGATCGAGTGAAAATGGATATTTTCATTCTGAAACTTGGAGACTGATGCTAGATAGTCAGTGCGTTGAATAAACTCAATGGACTGCAACATACTTTGTTTGACATTCAAGTTGGCACCTCCCCCAATCTTAAGGGCCTCTCTGAGGTGATCGCGATCAAGGCACAATGCAGGAGGTACCCATACTTTGTGAGGGGGTGAAATTGTGCTAGAACTGCTTGCACGTTCATGCGTCCGTTTGATGGAGATACTGGTAGTGGGGACCGGCGAGTGGGACTTTGTCTCATGCAACTGGACTGGGTTTGATGACGGAGCTGTGCTGCTAGCAGACATGACCTGTGCTGAGTCGAATGAGGGGAGTGCAGCGCTGGCCACTGTGTCAAGTGCTGAGTGAAATAAAGGCAGTCGGACTGTGGACAGTGCATCATCTGCTGAGTACGAGTATGAGGTATCCTTGACTGGTGCACGACTGCCCTTGGTATTGACATTGTCAGTACCACCATCGGCATTAGAGGACCGACTTGAACGCTCAATAGCCTGTAGTATCGAGTGTAAGTTAGCATAGACAATGAGCATACAATACATAGGCGTACCGTCTCATTATCTTCTTGCCAATCTTTGAACTCTGTCCACTGACACTCTGGAATGACTACCATGAGGGAAAATTGCTTCGTCTTGAATGTAGGGCCCTTGATGGAATTTTTGGGACCTTTGCGGCCTGGCTGCAGACACTGTGAGTAGAAGTATGGAATTAATGGCTGGTGCGTTGATAGGTCCACCCATCCTGAGTCTCGTACAATGAACTCATCATCACGCCATGAAAATATGCCACCAAAAGCACGTAGCTTAGGGAGCACCGTCTCCAAAGCAAGGTTGATAAGATGTGGAGCGTTGATGCGGGCATCAATGTCCTTTTTGCCTTCACAGATATTCTAAAAATATGTTAGCACACATTTAAGAGAGCATACTAAGGAAAGACCGTACTCCAATTGATATACACCTCTTGATTTCTTGCGGCCCCCTGCTTCATGAACAGCTGAAATCTCGAGCAAAATAGTCTCAGCTGCCAGCGTAGCACCAGGAGGAGAATATGAAGCTTTGGCCCATCTGAGATATTCTCCTGGGTACAATTTATGGTGCGATGAATAACTGACAGCACCAGTGAGCCTTGATGGTATCGGTGGTGCTGCTGACCCCTGCCAAGATGTAGGGATAACCACATCAGGGCCAGTGACCGCACGGCGGCGAGGGACCAGCGGTGGACCCATAGCGGCATTAATCCAGTCAGGAACTGCAATGACAGGAGGGGGATTAATGCTTGCTGTGGTGGTAATGTCAGCGCAAGTCCTGTCATAATGAAGATTAATGCAACTTACACTTCCTTTGGGCAGCATTCACTGACTGCCGGATCATCTGAGGATCAGGCCGGCGATCACAGGCTACAGTAGACGGTGCACTAGATGACGGATATGATGCTGCTAGTAGTTAGATTGTGTCATTTAAAATCTACATTATTGACTCACCTGTGGGTCTCTTCATTGATGTCACAGACTTTGTCTGGTACCATGCATAGCAGGCTGCGCATACATGACGCCCTGCTTTGCCAGGTTCAATTGTTTGCACGTAGTAACAAGGTTGGCCTTTGTTGATCTGGGCACGACAAGAGGGTCGCTCACAGATCCGATCTTCAGCAGCAAAAGTGTCTTCAGTAAAGTGACAGATGATGTTGTTAGGGTTGGCCATGGGAATGAGAGGGACTGTGAATAGTAGCAGTAGCGCAGAGACCCTGCATGGCTTAAATATGACACAAAATATAATGAGTCAATAAAATTCAATGGCCAAGTATGTTGAGAGAACATACTAATCTTTTGAAAGACCGGGAACGTTGACCGCCGGTGAAGTCACATTGAGAGCGCAGGGCACACATGATGGGAGACTGTTCCCTGAAGAGTGCCTGTTGCGCACAGGGGCTTGTGAGGAGAAGGCCAAGCTCCAAAAATGAGGACTCACAAAACAACACGAAAGGGAAAATGATTGATAGCTCATGAAGAGCAGCAAGAGTTTCACAAGAGCAGCCAGAGTCTCACAAGATGGAAGCTTGGTGGGAGGAGCGGTGCAAGTTTTGCAAGATGCACAAGATGAGCTTCACCAAACTGAGCTTCACCAAACTTAGCACAGTAAGGAATTACTAGAGTGGGGAATCAAGTAGCGAAGATAGTGTGTGAGCTTGGCAGGAGGAGCGGCAGGAAGAAGCTTTGTTGGGAGAAGGAATTACTCTGAAGTGGTCAATACGTTCAAGTTAGACAACACTATGTTCAAGTTGGACAATGCTATGTTCAAGTTAGACAACACTATGAATCTATGGAATTAGGGCGGCGGGCGGCAGTGAAAGACTTGATGGGGATAACTTGTCTCGGGTTATGTATCCGACTCTATCCGACTCGGAGTTGGAGGTACATAACTTAGCTTAGAGGTACTGACACCTCTCGTTGTTCTAGCATCCCTTGTGTGCCCTCTTCCCTAGCATCCCTCGTTGCTCTAGTGTCCCCCCTGTCGCTATGCCCAACCAATGGAAACTTACACGTACGTCCTGTTGTTCTAGACCAATGCTGCTAACTCACATCAGATTAGCACCTTTGGATGTAATTCGACCACACATCCTTTGTCTTTGGAAGGCATGTCAGACAGATAAGCAAATCATTGCGGAACTGCAACAACACTTCGATACATCACATTATGGTCTTCGGTTAGTTCTCTCATTTGCTATCCCTTCAATGCATTCATGTTCTGACACTGTGCTTAGACTCACAAAATTTCTCAAGATTCAGTGAGGACATGGGCCTTCGAAGAATGCGCCAGCAACATCATACCGTCGAGACCATACGTGAGACTATGACTGATCTGCACATGACTTATCCCCAAGCTGGAACACGTGAAATGGTAAGCTTGTTGTTTCATGAACAAAACATGAGCGTAGCCAGGTATTGTAGTATTTTCATAAATATCATATCTTGATCGTTAACTGTTGTATCTTTTTGTATTGCAGGAGTGTGGTGACTTCTTACTTTGCTATATATGAGCCAGACCTTGTCCTCCAGCGCAAGGCCAATCACCTTTGAAGGAGGCGATTTTGGGCAGCAGGAGTTAATGATGTATTCGCAGTTGATCAACACGATAAGTGGCTTAGGTATGGTCTCGGCCTCCATACTGGCATCAAGCCTGTTCTCAGGTAGGATCATGTGGATGAGGGTTTGGCATTCGAACCAGAACCCGCAGCTGATCCTCAGCTACTACCTCGACACACTTGATATGCTTGGCTGTAAGTATTTTTCTTTCTGGTTTAGTTCTTCACTAACATTGTAATCTTTCTAACCAGATATGCCCATGGTGACTCAGAGCGACCCTGGGTCGGAAAATTTTGGGATTGCCAATGCACATACTATGCTCCGCCAATGGCATGATCCGGTGCTACAGGGTACTTTGCAGCATCACTGGATGCGAAATAAGAAGAATGTAATGCCTGAGATAACGTGGTCGCAAATGCGACGCCGGTTCATGCCAGGATTCGAGTCGCTTTTGGACCATGGAGTAACGTCAGGTTGGTACAATAGCAATAATACTCTCCAAATGTATGTGTCTGATTCATTCATCTCACCCCGAGTCTGATAATACCTTTAGGATGGTGTTTCGATGTGTTTTTATACCATGGTTGCAGCGGGAGCTGGACACATACCAGGACCGAGTGAATAACAGCCAAAAGAGGCGAGACCGAAACAAGATTCTCCCCCACGGTGTACCGAACCTCATCTACCAGTCAGCCAACAACTTTGGTGCCCTGGACTTCAAAGTAAGCAAAACCATGTGTGCTCGATCTGTTTGTTCTTACCATTTTTTCACAGATCACAGTTGAACATGAGGCATTATATCACGTATGCAATCTATATATTGATCGTTCTCATGTTGTCTTCGACCTCGTGCCACAATCATTTGAGAAGCTTATACAGCGCTGCTATGAGGAACTGGGGCGCCCATCGGTCACAAGGCAGTCTGCTTGGGATGTGTACCTACATTTACTTGACATGCTGCAGGTCGATGAGGAGATACCGTCCACTATTGAAGATGTTGAAGAAGATCTCCCACTTTTAGAGAACCACCAGGACTTGCCTTATCATGAGGAAGATAATGGTGCATACTATATGGGTGGGGTGGGTGGTGGACTTGGCCTTGGTACATTATCCACTCGTGGCTATGTTGAACACAGATGCTGATATCTATGCAGGTGACAAGCATCTGCATCAACTAGAGAGACTTGTGTGTGATGATGAGCCTGAAACTACGAGTAGCATTGATGAAGACGTTGGACTGGACCATGATGGTTTGGTCATATGGGAGTTTTCCGAGGACTCAGATGGTGATGCAGATGCGATGGACGAATGGTGACTTGCATCCATTGATATTTTCGATTTGATTTCTTGCAGTAGTAATTCATTGACCTCACAGCGGTCAATCTATAGCCTGGACACTCGTGCTCTACCTAGTAGGCTTAGTGTAGTAGTACGGACAGCGAATCTCTGTTATACATTTGTTCAACGCATGTGGCACATAATATTATTTCTTATTCACATCCATGGTATTCGTGGTCCTGCAGAAGCATGGCCTGTATATGGTAATTCTGGCTTAGTAATTGAGCACGAGTGTCCGGGCTTCCATACAATTGCTTTTCAGGAGCACGTCCACATGTCAACTAGCAGCAGTGTGTAGCGCAGGAGATGCTATGATTGATTTGTGATTTGGGGGGTAGTGTGCAGGGAGCGGGAGAATTTGTTTTTATTTATTCCAGGTTTTGTCGTGGTACTTATTTATGTACGAGTCATATCTTGATCACAGTCGGGCCCGCTGATGTGACTTGGTGCTCCCAGGGATAATGCAGTTGTGGGGAAGCCTAACATTGTAAACTGACAAGCTTTGACTCAGTGTAAGTTCTTGAAGTGCTGAGACTTTAAGTCCAGAGAGGGCATGATAGAATTCGTGCGTTTCGTGATAGCGCTATGCCAGCTCTGGGTCATCGATATAAAGTAGCTGGGTCGGTAATGGTGAGCGTGTGGTATGCACAGCCTGGAATAAAAATGACCCCACAGGCTCTCGAGAATCGGGTGACTTTGCATGCATCAAGCCATTCTGCATAAGCACGCCCAAAGATACATGATTTTATTCCATAATTAATTTTGATATCACACATATGTGGTGCATGGGAAAGATGACTATGCTAGCGCAGATGGGGTTCAGATGTTCGGACTGGGTCGGAGGGGTGAATTTCCTGGGATCAAGATGTCCTGGTTTCAATCATGATACTTCGTAATCTGCTAGCATTGTAGAGATTATATGGCCGAATGCGACACAACTACGCAATAAAATCCAGGAGACCTTCGAAGCTCAGACATTCGAGAGTAGCAAAGGTATAAGTTTTTCCTAACACCATAAAGAGCGTTATCCAGCATATGAAAGCAAGGTGTCGCTGTCTTCCTACCAACCATTCAGACTTATTTGATCCCATATCACATCCTCACACATGATGCGTGTCTCCTTTGCAATCATCTTCGCCGTCGCTGCATCATTAATCTCTGCCATGCCCATCGACGCTAGCGCCCAGAAATGTCCCTTCTTTCGCTGGATTGACATAAATTGCAAGGACTGCACTTGGGGGCTCTGCATGAGTATCAGTCGTTTTCCTCGATTTGATAATATGACTCACCTACATGACAGAAATTTCCTTTCTGCACAGTGAGTTGCGTTTCTGCTTTCACATTGTATGGCCGTTGGCACTGACACGCGAGTTATCAGTGATTTGTAGAGCCACTAGTAAAACATTGGTGGAGTTAGCAGTCATTTTTGTTCGATTGGGAAATGTTAGATATGACATGGAAGGATATCTATTACCGCACAGATCAACGTTGGTGACTGTTGCTCCTTTGCAGATGGGCCTGAGCCTTTACATTGTAGAATTGTAAGTATATGCACATGATGGTCGTAATGAAAACACACCTAGGCCTTGACTTTTGACTTTGATTGTTTCTCAAACAGCATTCAATAGGATTTGGATAGACCCACTTGAGGAGTGGAACTGGCTGCTTGATAAAGAATCAAGAGATGACAGTGGGGCATCAGAGTCGGTGCTTGTGCGGGGAAGGTTCATGTATGTTTCGGGGACTGCTGGTGAGATAGGGTGAATGTTTTGGGGTTAGTATGAAAGGAGGCTGGGAATAGATGGACTCTTCTCCCCGACGCGCACTCGATTTCAGTTGTGCTGTCAAGATCATAGCGGCTGGTTAAAGTCTGTTCGTTTCTGATGCCATCACTGAAAGATGGCTGTTTCCAGGACCCTGGAGAAGTACTCGACCACTCAAGTGGCGCCTGTAGACCCATTCAGCATCCCTGTTCATCCTAGCTGCTCTAGGGTTACGCACTGAGTACCTCTAGCAGGACTTTGGCTCATTGATGAGGCTACTTCATTTACCCCAAGCGGACCCAGTGCTGCAGTACCATCGACCACATTCGAATTGTGATGACGAGGGCAAATTGTGAGAAATGTGCGGGTGCAGACGGTTGTGCTTATGGAGCAGGTCCCGAGTATTGGAGTACTTTAGATCAGGGAGTAAACAATGTTGGTGTTGGTATATACTGGAACATGCCGAACTGCAGGTATTAGGGCTTGTCGGGATTGCAGGGGAGGAATTAATATAGACACTAGGAGGCGACGTGTTGGGTAGGTCGAGATTTTGAGTGAGGTGATGAGCAGATGGGATGAAAAAGTATGAGCAACTGCACCTGAGGGCAAGTCTCGTAAGGAGACACGAGTCACCAATGAGATTGAGTGACTTTCTTGCACCATAGTTATGATGTCATGAGTCATATGGTGCAAGACTAAGTAGACTCCGACTAAATCTCAGCACAATTTTCTGAGCTGGTACTGTGCTTGGAGCTCAGTGGACACACCACAGAGCTTATCCCTCGATTTGGGTAACTTGCCCATAAGTCTTTGGAATGGAAGTTCGTCCTGTGAATGGCAGCACCTCATTTAGACAAATGCTTTCTCCAAGTCGGGGTGGAGCCCCGTGGTCTGGAATGTCACTTGCTGTACTTAGTAGCTCGAAGACACGTTCAATTGGTACTTTGGAAATCATGACACCAATAGTGCATAAGGATCTGACTAGTGGGCTCCCTTGCCCGTGTCCTTGCCGAATGTGAAATCTTGAAACCCAAGCCAAATGAGACGAAAAGACAACAACAACAAAGCCATAGCCCATCCGCTGCAAGTTGTGCAACCCTCCATTAAAGTCCTTCTTGAATGGGGCTGGTTCCTATGGTGTAACACCTGCGCATTTATTATTTGCGCGTTTTTGTCAAAATTTGTGCGATGCGCGTTTCCCACTGCGCATTGTCTTTGTATCAGTTGAATGTTTGTACAGCTACTAGGCTAAGTCACTACATCACTCTCAGAGATGATATATACAAGCACAACACAGACAAGTCATGCGCGTTTTCATCAAGTGTTCCCACTACACATTTTCGTAGCTTCCGTGGTTGCCAATGCTGGAAAATTTGAGTTTGAGAACACTATGGACGGTTAACTTGGTAGGTTTCGAAATGAATCATACTTAGGTTCTGTAATATCAATGTTTCTCTTAATGCAGTGCAGGGCTAGTGTTGCATCGATTTATGTATTCAGCGAGTGTCTATGAAGTAATGAGTGAAATCGTGTGTGACTGCAAGATATTATTAGTAGGTGATGCATCATGAGGGTGCAAGGTAGGAATACTATGGAAAGGGATGGGGATGGGGACCAGGATAGTATGTACTACAATGCACAAAGAACGAGAACTACCAAATTAGCATGCCTGTCATTAGAATAGACCTGGTCACTGTGCCAGTGAAATGTTGTGCGAGATACTAGTAAATCACTTTGCTCTGTACAGCACTGTACAGAGCTGTACAGTGTGCCAGCCTGACAGCTTGGTCTCTATTAGCTAGCTCACCACAGTACCAATTCTTTCTGTGAGATTCTGTGCACACACTCTACAGACACCCAGAAACCGGCTCTCGTACAATCAAATAACATTATGCTCACTGCTCAACAGTCCACCCATGCACAAATAAGCACAAATGATCACAAAATGCATGGTATTCAATCAGATAACGCACTAGCGGATACATGGTACTATACTAATAGGAAAAAGACACTCGAGATAAATGGGGCAATAGGACAAAGCACTCTGAGACCTCAATCAAGCACGAGTTGCAGATGACAATGCCTTGATCCGTCATCCAAGTTGCCGTTCGACCTTGTAAGACTCCACCCTGTGTAGGGAACTGCACGGGTATACCCCCGGGTATCAGAGGCCTTACCCGCACCCGTACCCGGCGAAAACCCGTACCCACTCTGATGGGTGCAGGTTTTTGGTGGGTATGACGGGCTCATACCCTTACCCTGCACCCGTACAGGGTTTACCCACGGGTAATACATATAAATATTAAGTTAGCAATTATAAAAATATGAAAAAACGATCGTGAAAAAGGACAAACTCGCCGACACGCTGCAGACGGCGGGCAACTGACTTCGATCAGCATGGCTCAAGCTCGACGGAGGATCGACACGCTGCAAACAGCAGACAACGACTTTCGATCAGCATGACTCGAGCTCGAAGGAGGATTGACACACTCACCTCCTGCGAACAGCAGGAAACGACTTCAATCAGCATGGCTCGAGCGTGAAGGAGAATCGACACACTCACCTCCTGCAAACAGCGGGAAATGACTTCGATCAACATGGCTCAAGCTCGAAGGAGGATTGACACACCCACTGCTACGAACAGCAGGAAATGACTTCGATCAGCATGGCTCGAGCTCGAAGGAGGATCAACGCATCACTTCCCGCGAACGGCAGACTTCAATCGGCATGGCTCGAGCTCGAAGGAGGATCAACACATTCACCTCCTGCAAACAGCGGACTTCGATCAGCGTGGCTCGAGCTCAAAGGAGGACCGACACACTCACAGGTGTTGTGTTGAAGAAGATGGAGGGGCATAGCAGCAGGGTGTGGATGAGTGCAGAGGATGGAGAATGAGGTTGAGGTTGGATAGCGGCGCTGTGTGCAGACAGTGCCTGATATTGAAAAAAGGGTTGTAAATACTTGTAAGTAATGTACTGTACATACATACATAGATTTTAAAAACATACCTTTAAGTTTTGAGAGCAGCATTACCTAGAGTCAGCAACAATAAGATCTAATAGTACGAGTATAAAGAGGAAGTGTTAGTGGTACTTTGAACAACTGAACGCCAAACAATTACCACATTAGGAAGGCACGGGTATGCCAGGGGTATGGGTTAGCCCGCAGGTTTTTGAATCCCGACCCCCACCCATACCCGTGCATATGCCTAACCCTGTGTGAATTTCGATTAGTATTCAAAACTTCATAAAAAACGCGCAGCTTGCCATCCAGCTTCGGCCCATGAACGAAGCTGTTGCACCAGCTTTGGGCCATGATAAGAATCATCCATGAGTCATCTCAGTAGTTTGAACATTGACTCATACAAAGCGCCATACTCCTTGGAAGTAAACTTTGGAATTGATTTGCCGTTACCATTCCTCTTTAAGCCATCAAGGACACAATTAACCTAGGGAAAATGGTGTCAGTAGATTGTAAAGTAGTATACCAACACGAAAAACTTTACCACCGTACAAACTAAAGCAAGGCATTCCAAAGGTAACTGCTTCTGAAATATGACAGGTCTCCTGCGAGCGACACGATAAGAGCCAGTGTAGAAGAAAGCAATGACAGCCTTGCGCAGTGCCTGGGCGAGCTGCATTTTGAGTTTTGCCGAGTTCATCCACACCAAAGCGCAGAAAGGCGGAGTCCTCTAGCAACATCATTACGGCCTCTTCAACCCAGGCTGCACATTCTTGGGGAGGAATGTCAGATGGCGTGATGAGGTTGTATAAGGATGGCGCGATGCTAGTTACAATCTTCTTGAGATCTGAGCGCCACGTTGATAAATCTTCATAAAGCTAAAATAACAGTGCATTAGTAGAAATCAGATGCGCGACAGTAGACCACCAGATGTACATACCAGCTTTGCCATATCATGTTTCCGATCAGGCCACACACCTAGTAGACTCCCTTGAGTAAAATGTCTCGAGGTGGAAAGAATGTGTACCCTCTTCAACTTGCTTACCCCCTTCAAGCCACTCTACAAGCGAAGACATGAGGGCCTCATTAACAGAACCTGGCAAATCATCGACAAATTTTGGGAATGGGTTCTCTATCGCATGTTGGACATGGCACTCTCCCTTCGCATACTCGAGAAAACTCTTCCAACGGGGACCATACCATCCCAACTGCGTAGCCTTCGGCCCTTCATGTGATGCCTTTGATTTCGATTTGGCCTTTGATTTCGATTTGGCCTTTGATTTCGACTTGAGATCTTTTGTCTCAGCCTGACATAAGAGATCAAGGATTACAGGGTTGGGAGGGCAGGGACGTCCGTTTCGCTTGTGGTGAAGGTGTAGGACATCAGCAGGTACGACCTTCAACAAAGAGAAGGTTAGCAGATAGCAGAAAAATATATAAGATGTACCGGAGTCGAAGCATCGTCAGTGCTGGATATGACATCGTCTACTAAAGACTTCATTGCTGCATTATCATCTTCATCACGCGAGTGTTGAAATTCAAAGTCAGTGGGAAGGGCGGTAGTGACAAGAGGTTGTGATGGTTGAGCTTATTTTGAAAAACCTGTCTTACATCCAGTATAATCACCAAGAATAACTATTGGCTTACCGGGATGAGCACTATGGCGCCCATACGCTACACCCCATCCCACTTCTTGGTCTCCATGAGCGTCCTGACCATCGTTGTCGTCATCGCCACTACTGCTATCCTTGTTGTCGTCATCACTTTTATCACCATTGTCAGTAGTCTCAGAGTCTGAACTTTCAGAAGCAGTGTCTTGCGATTCCAAACATACATCAGCAGTTGACCGCAGGGCAGGGTCCAAATTCTTGTAAAAGTAGGTGTCAGCTTGACACATAACTGACGTGGATGTGGTAGGTGCTTTTGGCATTGGATATATGGGGGCTGGAGGACGTTCTGTGGGGTCTGAAGGCTTCTGTGTGGCAGCTACGAGTGTATTGTTAGCCTGCAAATGAATGTCTGTGCCAGGGGGGATGAGGGACTGCTTGAATCCAAACCGCAACCCAGGTTTGCGGTGCAAAAAGCTGGGTTGGAGATTTGGTACCTCACAGCTACTAGTAGAGGCAGGAACAACACCCTTCTTCATTGCCTTATCCTTCTTATCCTTCTTCCCCTGCTTTCTAGAACTCGGAGGATCCACTGTCTCTGAGGGGCTGTATGGAGGAGGTGGAGGGGGTTTCTGGATAACATTCAGTATGATTATCTATGGCTGTAAGCATGTTTACCTTTGAGCGACTCCCGTGGCCCTTACGAGGCTGTTCTGGAGCAAGAGGGTTCGCAGGAGTGTTTGAGTCGAGGGAAGTAGTGCCCTTGCGTTGGGTGGTGCACGTGTGAGAGGCATCTCAAAGAGCACCAATCTTCTCTAGTTGGATGGCCCTACCTCCTGTTCCGGCGCCTGCACGCCCAGTACATCGAGTGGCCAGGGTGTTGTCCACAAACTCTGGCTGCTGTAATTGCAGGGGTATCTCGGCCCCAGCCCGCAACTTCTTGGTTGAATTCGCTTGCCCGTCAGAGTCTACAGCTTTACACTTTGATCTCTTTTTCTTGGGGCTGGAGCGAGACCTAGAATTTGACATGACTGGTCCAGGTTAAGGCCCGGGACAGAAGGAATGCAGTCTGAGTAGCACTAGTGGTGAGTAGCAAGAAAACCATTGATAAATACACACCGTCTTTTAAGTGTTGTCGCATAATTCCAAGTGAGTATCTCTCACTGCCGGCAGGTAGATATTCAGAAAAATGAGTCAACTGGCGCTGCCTACAGGCAGAAAAACTCGTAAGTTGGATCTTCACCGAGGTGATAAGGATGATGACTCGATCAAGGACGTACAAAGTTCAACTCGGAGTAGGGATTTAAATTATATTTGGCCACATCTGGGGCAATCATGTGACTCGAACTCTTAGAATTGGTATCATATCTGGTATGAGTATAATGCATTGTAATACTACATGCTGCTATTACTACTCTATCCAATCTTGTTTCTCTTTGGCTTGGGTAGTATAAGGTCTGTCATCCATTGGTGTTCAATAACTTGTTTCTTTGACGTCTCATCTACAGATGGCGTGTCTTTCGTCAGTACTAAGAGAGCTCGCTGATGCTGAGAGCCCCTGGAGCATCCATGTCGAGACTAAAAGCCCAGGGGACAGGCTCATTCCGCGGAAGGTTGGCAAGGTGTTTGTCCAGCATTGCAATTACGTTGTCGAAACACACTGATGCCGGATCTTTGATTAGGTTGTACCATTCCAATGCGAGCGGAAGGAGATCCCGGAAGTAAGGATCAAATTGTTTGGTAAGTTGTGCAGTGTAGTGATCAGAATGGTGAAAGAACCGTGTTTTGCCGGCACTGCACTGCTCATATGTCCCAGACCATTCACGTGTGATCCAATTCAAATTCTCTTTCGTGCGCTTAGGGAGAACATGCTTCATGCCAAGAGGGCCCCTGTACTCGATACAGGTCCAGACAAATACGTAAAACATCGATTCGAGATCATCCTTGTAGTCAGTGCTTGATCAGGGCGACTGGATATGGTCTCGAACCCGACGCACTGCTTGCCACTGCGCTCATCCAATGTATCCGGTGTGTGAAGGTAAAGGTTAAAAAGGAGCGACCACGACATGAACTGGTAATGTGCCCTGGGGTGATCAACATGTTATCAATACTTACTTGTCCCAAAAGTGAAATAATACTCACAGTACCACCGACAACATATTGCTCGCCTTCTACAATATCAACCGCGAACTCCCAGTCTACCAGCATTCCGTGGGAGCCATCACCATCATCCTCAATCATCGCATTGTTCAGACTAGCATCACGGTGGAGAACCTTGCACTTTTCCACCACTTGCCTCTGGACTGAAGGATAACGATAAGTACTAGTAGGATATTCATTTGAAATATATTACTCACTATTCACGATATCCCATATTGCGCTTAAGAACTCGACCTTCGAGCGGAATTTATGCAATGGTTGCGCATGGGGCTTCAAGACCAGCCGAACATGAGTATGGAAGGTGTGCTGTATGCTATATGGAAATTTGTAACAATACGCTCGCGTGTCCTCGACCTCGCTGGGTGCAACTTCGATGAGCCAATACTCAATAAGTTGAGGAACTCCACGGACGCCCTCCATCTTCTTCATCATATTGATCTCATTCAGCACTGCTTTTTTGCCCCCGAGAACCCAATGGTCTTTTATGATATACTCCTCGTTGTCCTTCCTGGCCAAGTAGCACACACTGCTGCGACCAACGAGGCCTTGGGTAGAGAAGATGATTTCAAAGATGTCGTATGTGTTCTTATCGACATGTATTTTGCCGATCGGCTCTAGAACTGGCTCAGGGTTGAGAGGATCTTCGGGGACTTCTATTACAGGGGGGCACATCGGAGGGTCACCAGCTGTGGGGGTGGGCACCATGTCCTCTGCGACAGCAGGAGGGAGGGAGAGCTCGTTCTCCTTGAGTTGGGAACTCTCAACAACCTCCTCTATCTGTGCACTCTCGATGAGATCCCATCTCTTGGAAGGTAGGTTCTTGGTAGGGCGGGAGCCAGAGAGTTCGAGTGTGCGGTGAAGGGTGTGTTTTAATATGCTAATGGTAGGGTCGAATATGATGCATTCAAGATTCCCGAAGACAATGCATGAAAAAATGTGCAAATACTTATCAGGCTCCTTGGCGATATTAGTGCACGGACTCACGACACTGCCGGAGTAGTCATACAAGTGGACGCGAAGATCGCGGTACCCATTGCAGAGAGAGATAAATAAAGCGAAGCGTCTCCAGGGTTGATGCTTCAAAAGAAGGTAGGCTTTGCTGTCGAGAGTTTTTGAGAGGGTCTGGGAGGGTAGGTATGGACTCGCAGTCAGCTCGCACACTGCTTTGATGGTGTCCCACCTAGCCTCCAAATCATCGAGTAAGGTAAGGTCTGGTTTTCGCACGATTTCTTCACCACGAAGTGGGCGTGAGGAGTTTGCTGCACTCCATTTATGCGATAAGTTATGTTTGTGAGCGAGATTAGGTTCCTTAGAAGGGCAGAGGTAACGGTGTTGAAAAAGGACCCGAAGATGGCCTCGGTTGTCAATGGGTTGGGTTCTTTTTCTCTACTAATCTCTGAGTCCGAGGACTGCTGATGCCAGTGCCTCCCCACCGTGTCCATCAGGAGATGTCTCCCAAGGGTCCCCAGAGTCCCCAGAGCCCCCAGAATCCCCACTAACATCAGTCATGGACAACATAGGGTCAGTCCTTTACCGGCGAGTCTGAATTTGTCTGATCAGTGGTGGACTCAGGCTGAGCCTGAGGCTCTGCCAGATCAGCCTCTGTCCTGTTATCGGCGACCAACACCCAATCTCCCGGCTCCCTGTTCGTGCCACCTTTCCTTCCTCCCACTCCACTACCAGCATAACTAGCAGATTTGTATGATGTTGGAAGGGCCCAATTCCATCGACGAGTTTGGCCATCATGGAGCAGGTACTGTGGTTTTCTCATTTTCAATGTCCAGAAAGGCGTTGGTCCTAGAATCAATGAGTATTTTTTAGGGAACAGTGAGTTCTTCTGCCTTTGGAATGTGATTCGTGTAGGACCTGAATATCAGCGACAATAGATGTCCTGAGTTCATCTTTGTGGTCAAGGTGACTTTCTTCCAGTATCAAGCAGCTAAGCTCCGAATCGGTGAGTTTATCCATGGTCATTGCATCGTGTACTGCGGGAGCTGGCACGAAAGATGCTAGCTTCATCCCAAGGCCAACTGAATAGAAATGTCTGCCATTTGGCATGTTGTCATAGAGTTCTATGTTGGTACACAGGAACAACTCATGGGAACGATACTACTAATACATATAACTACCCTTTGACCATACAAAAATGGCCTTATCTTTGTGCCAAATATTATTTTGATAGCTGCAAAGTACTTGGTTTTGTCCCAAATCTCATTCAACCAAAACTCCGCTGGCATGCTCCATGCTGTTGTATGCTGTTAAATGGACATCTGCAATAGTGCCAAAGCGCGGGATTAGGTTGATGGGGGCCCTCATATGAGAGACAGGTATGACATCTCCCATTCAGTTTCCATTTGAATGCTTGGCTCACTTGAGCAGATGCAGCTGCATAGTTGGATCTCAATCGTTCGAGATGTCGAAAACATTGGACATAGGTGAGAAATTGGTCTTTCCATGACCATCGTGTGCTGCTCTTACCAATAGGTCGCATGATAAGTCTAATCTGGGCGACTGTGTGATCTGTGGAAAACGGGAGGTTTGAGGTAAGGCATTTATCACAAATCAAAACAGAGATTGCACCAGAAAGACCACTGTTAGGCCATGTGTGGCTTGCATCAGTCTCGACGATGCTTGTATCATAGCGGCCTAGGGTCCAGGGGTTGCTGGGTGGTGCACAATTCAGCGTCTGAGCTGATCTAACAGCGTGAGCATCATATAGCTCCATCTCTTGCACATGAATTTTGAACCAGACTTGAATTTTGTCAAATGGAAGGATAGCGGTAGGCCCAGCCCTTCTAGGACCACCTATCGCATGAACATGTGCATGTCCATAAGTTGCCTCCCATTGGAGGAAATCAGCAATGGCTGGTCGTAAATCCGGTAGGGCAAATTTAATGGCAGCTTCATCAACAGTAATGTTCTGAATGGAGGGATCATACGCAAGATGAAGGGCAGTGCGCTTGATGACGAATGAGCGAAGTGGTAAAGGCACTGAACCCAATTCTCGGCGCTGGAGCAGCTTAGAAATTTCAAAATAGTTCGTGATTGGGCATGATTGTGTTGCGCTGATGAGAATATCTTCAGCATCGTTGACATTGATATCTTCATCATCAGGATCTGAATCTTCAAGCTTCCCTAGCACTCTCCTCACAATCTAAAATGCCAGTAGCGAGCTCAAATCGACAACACTTTTCGGCATGATCAAGATATCGGCAAATCTGAGGGCCGTAGTTGTTGTTATTGCTTGATCTTGCGGGATCTTTTACCTCAGTGATATGAGCATGTTCAGTAATGTCAGCAGACCATTGTCCTATGACGCCAGAGTTGTGAATGCTGGCAATGATGCTTTGCATCAGTTCCAGCTTGGGTATATACCAGTTGTTGATAACTCTATTGACACTCCCCCAGCGAGCCCCAGCAGCAATGATTGCATCCTTTTTGGCGTGGAACTCAGCTAATGTGCTTGAGATATGCTTCAGATCCTCCTCATCAACGCGCTGGCAACTGCACAAGATATCGGAATTGCATGAGTGCACTGCACAGCAGCGAGAACATCAGTAGGTACTCCATCTGCACTGACGGCAATGATATATCGTTCAATGTCCCGTTGACAGCGCCCAGTGACTTGTTTCAGCTTTGAGATGCCTCCGCGAAAGTGCCGATAGCCAGTCATTGGCTGTAAGACAGAAAAACGGAAGTCTATCTCAGACTCTCCAACAGTGCAAATGAGCCATTTCGTGTCATGGTCATAGAATTGCTTGTGAATAAGGTGGAGTGATTCCGGCGTGAAAAATGGGAGGGTTCCGCTAGTAACCAGTCCCACCAGAACGGTTTCTCGACACCATTCAGTCGGAACTTCTGTGCTTCATGGAAGAACACCTCAACATCATTGGGATTGGCGCGTGACTTTGCAACAGCAAGCTGTGCAAGAGTAGTTTATTTTGTCCAGGGTTTGTGCCAGGAAGGGATCTCCAAATTGCTTGTACATCGCCATAGTCACAGGCGATGTTGTTCCACCAACAGACACCAGCATCATTGCTTCCGGGGTGTCAGCAATATAGCTTGTGAGAGGGGTGAAGCAGTAATGACTATGTCCGAATGGGATCCGATAACATGATGCCCAATTGAGCAGCTTGCTTTAAAGGTTCAAGAACGATGTCAAGGCATTGGTGCATGAGGCGATCCTCCAACACGCCCCTCATTCTCTTCTTCTTATGGATGAACTTTGGGACGGGTAGTAGGGCTGTGAGAACAAAAGCATTGGATGATGATTTCAGTCGTATTTTCATATGAATATTTGTGAGGCTAATCAGGAGCGGATGAGCCACACGATCCCCTGTTAATGAAGTGATATTCGTCTTGTCGGAAGAAAGAATGGTGCAAAGGAGAGTCACACCACTAGGGATTGCTGACTTCAAGGATACATCAGCTGCAGAACTTTGAAATTTGAGTTGTGACACACCTGCATGTCCCATGCGTCATTTCCTGTCATCCATTCGGTAAATACGCGACACTTCTTCTCCTTGGTGGTGTACACCCTGCAAGGTGTGAGGTTGATATAGTTGTGGAATAACTGGATGGTTGAAGATCGCGGCTATGCACTTGATAGGGTCACGCCAGTATAGAACCACAGGTGACTTTGTAGGGTGAGACGTTGGAATTACTCGAGACAGCCAACTGTGGACCGCTGGGCAGCATCTCTGCTCGACCCCGTAATTCCTTGGCTGAATGGAATGATAAGGGTAAATCCTTGATCTGAAAAGTCATATATTCAAGGGATGACAGCGAATTCAAAGTCCTGACACTGACCATTTCGAGCGATAAAAAAGAATCAATCTTCCCCACACTCAGGCCTGAACAGTAGCAGCCATGCTGCAAGCTGCCAATCTCTCCGACTGCTAAAAGGATAGTAAAGGTTTGTTTTTCGATGTATGCTATTTTCGTCGGAGTCAAACAGGCCCAAGAATATATAGCCGTCCTGATAGGCCAGAGGGGGATTGGGAAAGAAGTCTGTCACTTCAGTCAATTCACTACTGTGCTCATGCTCACTTCCACCTCCATGTACTCTCAACACATCCTCTCCTTCAGCGCCAAAATCACCAAAGTCATAGAAATCGTTACTGAGTCCTTGAAAGGGTTCAACGTCCGAGCCATCTGCTGAGTCCATGGGATGATCTTCATTGGATAATGTGGTGGAGTTGATCAGGTCTTCCAACCAGGTGTTGCATCCAGACCGAGGCTGGCTCATGTGCTGAGCGACAGAGGTATGGTCTTGAAACATTTTTCCGCATGAGGGACAATGATGAGACATGCTATAGTACGACTCTGTATGAGTCAGTCGTTTGAGGGATATGCATACTAGTATACCTTCACGGCATTTTCCGATACCAACTTCTGCCAAACAATGACCATCACTACCACTACTCTACGAAAATTATCAGCAAGCGCGTCAGGCAAAGTGGACAACCTTGATCCGCGTCATTGGAAAGATGATGCAAAAACGGGGATGTGTGACTTGTACGAAGTTCTTGATGCTGTCAGTTCCACAGTAAGTCAATAACGTTCATTTTTGAAGGCACCTTACATTTGAACAGTCGACACTGGATCCAATGGACTCTGAAGCCAATCTTGTAATGGATCTTGTAAGAGCCAAGCGCGAGGTTCTTGTCGCGCAAAAGGTGCTGGCAGAGTGCATACTGCGCGAAAATGAAATCCAGGCCTGCTTGCTCACAGTTCAAGTTGACACCACAGGAGAAGAAGTTAGACGATACCGACATGGGCTTGGGGTACATGAGAGTTGTCTTTAAGAAGTACAAGCTAGTCTCATATTTCTCCTTTACCTGCAAGACACAGGAATCATCTACACGCTGCCAGTGGTAAGTTCATGATATGATGGTGCCATATGGAGTCCTGATGAAAGTTGTCCACAAATTAGAATCTTCGAGGAGCTGTCATCACCTCACTCTCCGGCTTGATTAATCTTCTGTTCCTTACACTTTCACATTATGATAGTCGGTTCTTGTATTATGGTGTCCTTACATGCATGATAGTGTATTATGTTTATGATATGTTGAATCATAAATTCTGTAGTAGACTCATTGAACTTCAAAATGTCATATGCCTTTCTTTCGCCCTTAGCAAATTTAGTCACTCAGCGCCACTTGAGTTGTGAATTGACAAAGTCAATAAATACAATTATACACTTGTGCTATAGTAAGTACTCAGTAGTAATAGTGCTAAGATGCGAGTTTGCTGCAAAAGCCTGCAGGTCCTGTAGAACTGTGAGCAGTTGGAGTAAATGTATACTTTGAGGCCACAGCTAACTGTGATATTTGTGCAAACTGTGGGGTCTGTGGTTGTCTGTGCAGAGAAAACAATTTTTAGACGTCTGTGGGAAAATTTGTAGTTTACTGATATATACTAAGTCTCGGTAATGTACAGTAACCTGTTTGTCCTTGATCTGCGCAGTCGCTGACAAACATCCGGCATTCCGGCTATTCCCGTTAGTCAGTATTAGTACTTGCTGCTCGGATCATTACTACTATCATATGTGTCCAACACTATAGCATGGGTTAAGTTCAGCAATCGTTCACCTTCACAGTGATTTTCTTTAGTCGTGACAGTGCGTATTGTTTTTTTGTGTTCTGCTACCTGCGTCAGTTGCTCATGGGATAGACGGATGACAGTCACTCAATTGGCTGTCCCAAAACGGTCAAATACAATACGTCATAAACTGTCCTTTAGACTGGTTCCAGTTATAACCCGGGCTAAGGCCGCACTGCATCAAACAACTTCTCGATCCAACATCAACTATCTTTGCTATCAACCAACCAGCTAAGAGCTTCGTCCGATACACTATGCTTGCACACTGAACCAGTGTACTCATTTTTAGACCTGTTCAGGGCCCACCCGCTCATGTCTACAACTACCCTTGATAGACTCCGTACTCTTTTATTTCTCTTTTAGGTCACTAGTACCAAAACGCATAGAGGCGCAGTGCTAACCCTGTGCATGTCGCTGAGTGTCATATTGAGCTCCGGATGACATTTTCGTCGCTACAAGCAAAATAAAGTTGTATGACATGCGACATGAAGGTCTCACAAGCAACCTAAACTTTGGACGGTTCCTTGATGTGATATCCCCCGATGCCACATTGATTTTCTACTTGAAGTTAGGCTGAAACACTTTGTACTGAGATCAATCAGATATCATCCGTTAAAAGGTTCAAATCTCAGTTTGGTAATGTAAGCGCTGGATTGTGGTATATCAAGCACGAATGCGATCGTTATACATCCACCAAATCCTCCCGCTCACTCATTCCATCCTCTTATAATATGACCCTAGTCTCAAATGATCCCAGTTGGTGGTCATTCATCAATACGGTTGTTATTTACAGCTATTTTACACGTTCGTGGGGAGTCAACCGCATGATGACGGTGATAATTTGATTCAGCTTCACTCCAATTTCGTAGTTGCCGCCTCTGTTGGACTAATATACGATTGGGGTGAGCAAGATAAAGGATGGAAGAACCACTGATATCCTTATGGTATTCTCAGCGCTTATGTTTGGACAAGAGGTACGTCAATCCCGATTACTGGAGGAGCCAACTTGCTTAGAATTGTGTTATAGGTTGAACTGATCTGGTGAGCGGACTCCCACATCGAAATGAACAAGGTGAAAATACAACTTGTTCAGCGGCAGAGGCAACTGCTGGTCCCTGATGACCTTTCTCTATCTCATTGTATGTACCTTGTGTTTTGGTATTGATGTTTAGCAAGTCCAAGTTTTGCTGACTTCAGAATATCCTAGGTGCGCTATGTTGGAATAGGATGGGTTGTGTATGTTTGGAAGTTCAAGTCACTGATGTTGCTCTCATCATCCATCTCTCATAATCAGGATGAACATTTTGAGTATGTCTCCTCGCATAGACTCTGTTTCTTTCTTGTGACGGGCGGCATATAGGTAGTGTTCCAACTATTTCCATGACAGATACAGTGAGTATTCCACACTGATACCTTCCGTTCCTGTCGAAACACTGAACTACTATGCAGGGGTGAGTGAGATTTTTGAACCACTCGTTTATTCAACATAACGACTCCTACAGTTGTGAGTCTGTTTAGGACCCTGTGATCTTCCGAAGCTGATAACCAATGTTGCTGCATTTGTCAGGCCTTGTCATAAACAACGCACTTAGTTGGACGAGTAACGTTGTAAATGCAATGCTGGGCGGTGAGCTATGCACCTCCGTGACATTGACTTGACTGAAAGACCATGCAAGTGATCATGATTGCTCGGTTACATGCCATGTATCAGCGATCCAGAAAGGTGCTGATTTTTCTTGTCGTCAGCTTTCTGGCCATCAGAATCACCAACATAGTGATGGTCGCATTACAGATGATGCAGATGTCAGGGGGTAAGCTTTGATTATGTATGAAATGTTTAAGTGCATCAGGCTTATTGCAAAATACCAGAGGAATATGTTCTCCTCCGGCACCTACCAGTGCATATTTGACTACGGGGGAGATTCCGTATTTCTTAATTCCATGACTTGGATACTTTCTACTGTATGGGAGGTCGCTGCACTGTGTCTCGCGGTCTGGATTGCTGTAAAGCAGTTCCGTGAACTGCAACAACACTCAACGAGAGGTGTTATCGGTGACTGTTTCAGGGTGCTAATGAAACCTCATGTGAGTTACTTTGTGAGGTGAGCTCATAATGTGAATGCGATCCCCTTGTTCCGCTGAAGTTTTGCACGTGCTAGTTTTTTGGCTATGTCTTGCCTCCAGATCGGTTTCATGTCTTCAACGCTGTTAGTGGTATGTCGAGCTGTCATCGACTTATACTTGCATGTGACCATGATTCATCACCTCTATAGGACTTGTATACCCTGGACGCTCAGATTTATGAAGGTTTCGCTGAGATATTCGAGCTTGTGGGATTGTTTGTGCTGGGACCACGCCTAATCCTCGGTGTTCGAGAATATCACGCTGAACTTGTGGCCAAATCTGATACGGCGACCACTATGACTTCAATTGCTTTTCAGGAGCACGTCCAAGTGTTAACTAGCAGTAGTGTATAGCGCAGGAGATGTTCGATATGATTGATTCGCAATGGGGGGTAGTGTGCAGGGACCAGGGAGAATTTGTTTTTGTTTATTCCAGGTTTTGTCGTGGTACTCATTTATGTACGAGAGACATATGTTGAAAGTTCTGGAAGTGTTAAATCCAGAGAGGGAGTGATAGAATCCGTGCGTTTCGCGACAGTGCTATGCCGGCTCTGGGTCCTTAACGGTGAGTGTGTGGTATGCACAGCCTGGAATAAAATGCATAACTTGTCTTGTCATTCGGGCCCGACTCGGCGGCCTTGTTGGAAACATCGATTGGCTTGTCAAGTTGGATGGGCCATCATGGTGCTATTGCCAATAGCGTAGTATTGGGCCTTATTGGTCAGGTCAGAGCCTATGATAGTATGGTTTCAAACTCAGATAGGTATTTGCTGAGCCATTAAGGGAGGCCAAGAGTCCTTCTGTTTGCTGCCTGTCTTGCAAGTTGGCAACTAGCTTGCACCCAATATATTGAGGTCCTCCATCATGAAACAGACTCGTATGCATCACCACCCCAGTTCCTATTTTCTGCCAATCAGTATATCCTATCTCTGTCTACTCTAGACTTCCGTTTAAACTTTGGGCGAACAAATCACTACAATAAGTATGAATTCTTGCGGAGCTGGATACTCTGACATATTTCAACCCCCGGACTCGGCTGTGCTTCCTTAGAAATCAGAATTGCCCACAAATTTGGTCATTAAGTAACTGGGAAAGGCTGTTTCCAGCGAAATCAAGGCAGTCCAAAGCTAGTCATCAGTTGTCCCAAAGTTGTGGTGTCTTTGTATCAGTCCTCCTATTTTCCTGCTGTAGACTCCATACGAGAGCCTCCTCCAGCACTAGTTCCCACCTAAGTATCTCCTCATCTGCAACCTTCACGATATATTTTCTCCCTTCAGCAGAGATCTATATTTACTTATGTCTAGCAATGTCGCGTACTAGAGAAGGAGGGAAGCGCTGCGTTATACTCATTGTGGAATTGTAAGTTGAAAGCTCGTTCTAGGACATTAATCACGACACCATGGTCCATGCTCGTGCTGGATGCCGGGCTGTTGAGATGCGTCCACTCGATTTCAGCTACAAGGAACACTGCACTTTGTCAGCCACATCATGATGCGGCTGGGATTCCTGGACTGGACATTCAAGGCTTCCTCAGCGCAATCTCGCATCTTTTGTCAGAGTTAAGGTCACCAAGGGTCCAGGACTTGTCAGGGTCCCGTGCGCGTGCACGTGTTGGCGGGAACACGTCGTCGGAGTCGAACTGTAGGTCCCCAACCGCCACGTCAGTTCCACATCAGATTGATCGATGGTCCACATTTGTGCCACATTGGTCGACCAGATATAAGGCAAGCAGGAAGCAGTCGTCTTTCTTGTCTTCCGAGTCTTAGTTTTCTCCACCTCACCAGTTCTGCTCAACACTTAGTCAGCGTGATAATTGAACGCCCCCCCCTGCCAGCGACACAGGCACTTTGTCTACTCCACCATGGGCCAATGCACCAGCTCATCATTCCAGCACAATAGAATCTACCCTAAAGAGCCGTGGGGCTCACGTCGTCAATGAGAACATCGGCGTGGTCTGTGTCCAGTGTGCACATTTCCTGTTTTTATTGAGTAGTACCTAACATTCCATCAAGGGCTAAAGAGGTTCACCCGTGGATTCAGCGGGACATCGAGCAGGTTAAGCAATGTAGGGCAGATGCCATGCTGGAAGCCCTCCTGCATCACACTTCTTGCGCTGCAGAGACTAAACAGCCTGAGCTCCTGCAAAGTGCCCCATGGAAATTGTGCCGGTCTGCAATGGACAGGCCTCTGCTGGAGACATATTCTTCGGGTGTCGTCCAGGATTGGGTGGTGGCCAAGATCTTGTTGGGGGATGCGAATCGCACTAGCGAGCCGGAGATCCTGAAAAAAGTCAAGGAGATCACTAAGCTGCACGATACAGTAAAAGACTATATTCCCGAGTTTCCTCTGGCACCACACATTTACGAACCCCATGTCTGCTATCCGAGAAGCGTTCGGTGTCCCAGGACCCACCACGGGCAGTCATGTACTCTACATTCTCGCATTCCGAAAGCTCCAGCCCATCACGAAGCTTCATGGCAAAGAGCTTTTCGACGTCTGGCATCAGTGTATCCCGTGTATATGTTTTATTGAATTTATGTGGCTCTTCGTTGACATAGCATGCAGGTCACCTTGATCTGTGGAAGGAAGGTGTCTATCATCAAGATATCACCCCTGGAAACTTGATGTGGTATAGTAAAAACGGCAAACTGATTGGTGTGCTAAACGACTACAGTCTATCGTCGTCGGCAATATAGTGGGTCATCAGGGCAATGAGTGTATGGGCATGGTACCGTTCATGGCACTGGATGTTCTCAGTGCAAAGGCTCAACGAGGCGGAGTCTAAACACCTGTATCGCCATGATCTGGAGTCTTTTATTTCCTGGGTTTTCTTGCATTACAGGCAGGGAGTCATTCTACCACGCGGATCGCACCCCTTTGATGAGTGGGCGACTTTAGACGCCATTGTATGTGGCGAGAAGAAGTTGTTCTTTCTGGAAAATGCTTTCGATTATCAACCTCCTGGAATTCCGAACTTCTGAATTAGACATAGATTGGGAACTTCTTGTAGAATGTTTTGAGGCGCTCGATACAGCTGCCTACAATCCCCGGACTTGCGTTCGCCATATTCACCAGCGATCGACGGACAGGAGCAGGCGAGCGGACAAACGATGAAGAATCAGTATCAGATATGGATGATTTGCTACACAAATTCACAGTGACCCAAAGTGCACGAAATTGCATGTGCCATCCTCGTGGGCATTAAAACACTGCACGTAGTCAACAATACCAGAAGGAAGGAAGACGAAGGAGAACATACAATAGCTTGCCAACAACCACGGTTGCCATGATCATTTGACTTGCACACTGTCCATGGACACACTTTGTTGCACGTCGTGCATGATACCTCATATTGAGGATGAGGGCCCGTGGGTTCCAGCTGGGGTGCAGAGCGTGGCATCACAATGACCGTACCACGACTGAATATAGAGACGGAGCGGCAAGATAAAAAGACGGAGTGGGAACAACAGCAGGGCAGAGGAGAAAACCGACAGTGGGAGAGATACGAAAGACGGCAGGTTGATGTTGATGCAGGGAGATAGCGCCCTTTTTTATTCCTGAGGGTGGGGAATAAATGGGCGGGGGCATACTGCCAGAATGCCTGAGGACAGCACGAAAGACGGCTCCAGGGTGCCTGTAAGTTGAGCAGCACCTAAAGGAATCCATATAAACTAGCAGTGAGCAAGGGAGTACTGCCCTGGAGAAGGCACAAGATTGAACTAACCTTGCCTCAGGGCCTATTTCCAGCATGGGGTAAAGCAGAAAGTCCATTAGAATACACACGCTAAGTGACGACGAGCAACGAGCAGGGCGTGATGCGCAACTGGCAAAGCACGCCAAAAGTGTATATACCGGAAATTTGGAAAGTACTGTCCGTCCCGTCCCACCCCAAATTTGGCAATCGGGGACGCCTCGGACATTCTCCGAAATCTTGGAATATATTCTCCATCGGAAATTCCACACGCTTTGGGCGTCGCTTTGCCAGTTGTGCATCACGCCTTGCTCGTTGCTCGTTGTCACTTGGCGTCGTTTATGATAACGGACTTTCTGCTCTACCCTGTGCTGACAACAGGCCTAGAGGCATGGTGAGTTCAATCTTGTGCAGGCGGCACTCCTTACTCACTGCTAGTTTATATGAATTCCTTTGGGTGCCGCTCAACTTACAGGCAGCCTGGAGCCGTCTTTCATGCTGTCCTAAGGCATTCTGGCAGTATGCCCCCGCCCACAGTATGCCCCTGCCCTCAGGAATATAAAGGGCCCTGTTTATCAATATCAACCCGCCACCTTTCACTTCTCTCTCATCGCTCTGCATCTTTGTCTCTCTCTTGTCGCTCTCCCGACAATGTTACTCTGGCCAGACGCTTGTGATGCCACGCTCTGCAGTTCAGCCGCCCACAGGCCCACGTCCTAGTTATGAAGTTTCATGCACAACATGCGATAGACCATGTCCATGGACGGTGTGCAAATCTAATGAACATGGAAACCGCGGCCGTTGGCAAGCGATTGTAAGTTCTTTCCTCCATCTCCTTCAATTTCAATGTGTTGATGGGACGCATAGTGCTTTGATGTTAGTCAGGATGGTACGAAGTGCAACTTTGTGCACTTCGGATCGCCAAGGTCCTCTCCGGCAGCCGTCGCTCATACTCATACTCGTCAGCAAACCAGAAGTGCCCGCCTACCAGTACCGAAGCTGCCGTGTGTGCATGGTTGTGGGCTGTAGCAGCACCCGTGTCAATAAGAACTGTACCTGGTCAACTTGCCGCAAACACTGCAGGTGCCTGGGTGGCTGCCACCTTTTCGACCACGTTGGCGATCCAAACGGCGCTGAAGGGTTGGAGCTCGAAGATGATCCTGAGCATCCAGATGATCAAGATGCTGTGGCTGGGTTGCCAGATGATGACGACCCTGCACCCATTGAACGCCTGTCGCGTTCACCATCTCCTCATCTGCATGATGTATCAGGTGTTGTGGCGCCCATTATCGAGACTCACATCGAGCATCTGCCTGATAACCTGCAAGCAAAGAAGCCGATGAGGGCTCGAACTGCGCCCGCACGCAATCGCGCCTCCCCAGACAGTGGCCCTCAGTATCATATGCAAATGCCTGAAGTCTTCACAACGCAACTAGCAGAAACATCCAAACGTGAGGAAGAACAACGTCAGCGCCATGCTGACAAGATTGAGGCGCAGAATCGTGCATGGTACCATACAGTTGTGTATTCCTGGGTAAAGGTTTGTCGCTCCTTCTCTGCTACGCAGTAGACACTGATCATCACGCTCACAGGATGGTGGTCAGCCCAACGTGTTCGAGTTCCAGTCGGGCACATCGTCATTTACTTGGCCCCACTTATCACTAAACCACCAAGTTATATCCCTGATGGGACTGGCCGCTGCTGGTGTTGACGAAGGGGTAGGTGCCACCTCCATCATTCATGTATGGAACCATTGACGTCGAGAATGGCGAGGTGTACAGCCAGGCTATCTTATCACTGTCGTCGAAGGCCAGCCTGTCCTCCTCAAGAACCCAAACGTAACTCAGTGTGTGGATCTCGATAGCTGTATCCGAAGCATCAGCGACTCCCCACCTAACCTCCGCTCTCACTTGGCTGCCGACCGTGCTGCAGTCCGTGAGGAGCTGCGTCAGCACCATAACGTTTTGCCTGCACCCAACAAAGTCGTCTTTCATGCTCATTCGCATTCGCATTCTCAGCCGCATTACGCTCAGGACAATGTCAAGATGGGCAACTCGCCATCTGAGTTGGAGGTCGAGGCCCTGTTGCTATCAAAGGGCAAGGGTAAAGTCAAACCTCCATTGGAAACTTCGCCTAGTCCTCCTCCTGCTGAACCTCATTCCAGACAGCCCTCCTTATCATATTCAGCATATTCAATTCCATCTTTTGGGACACTGTCTCCGCCCCCCAAACCTTTCAAACGAAATGTCCGCCGTCGCAGTCCATGTAGTCCCACGACCAGTGTGGACTCTAGCCCACCCCCACCTCGTACTCGTCGTAAACCACTCGAACGGGCCACTGCACGCCCTTCAGTAGGTTCATCGACGGCTCATGCAGCCATATCTGGAGGCACGCTCTCTGATCCGATTGACGTGGACAATGATGTCAAGGTCTGGCCAGGTGATTTCTACGCATGTGATATTGCCAAGGGCTTCAGACTCTGCGAGACAATCAGCAAGCGTCGCCAAGGTGTTGGTGCGGTGTTCCGGAAGATGTTTGGGGTCCCTTACGCTAGCACAACATATCACACTCACAAGAAGCGTTGGGCGGATGCACCCGCCAATGTTACGGATAAGTTCATCAAGGCTGGGCGAACAGAAGATGGTCTATGGTCGAAGTTCATGGCAGAGACCCAGTCCTGAGTTCCTTGAGCATCTCATTGTCTTCGTCTTGTGTCTCTAGAGGTCCATCTCATGTTATGTTGTCTCTGTACGTCTTGTCTCGCATTTGTTTGTCTTAGTTCATCTCGCATAGTTCGTCTCACATAATTTGTCTCGCACCTCTGTCTTATTTCATCTCGTACCTCTTTGTCTGAGCTCATCTCATGTCAATTAAATTGCATGTCTCCCGCATCTCCTGTATGACTCACATGGACGCCCACTAGACTCAGTACCTTCCTCTTTCTCATCAATTTGTTGTTGTCGTTGTTGTTGTTGTCTAGCTCCAGCGCGTCCGCATCTGCAGACCACCAGGTTCGTTGAACAAAACTTGTCTGCTACTCTTGATTAAGGTATGTCAATTGTCTCATGTACTACTTGCTACTTACAGTACTTGCTACTTACAGTACTTGCTACTTACAGGGACCGTAGGTGTATTGCCTATCAGTGAGCCTTCCAAGTGCAACGACCAGGATCCAAGATGCCAAGTAACGGCCATAAACTACCAAGTGCCCGCTCACGAGGTAAGTCACACAACAATACACTTGAAACTTACAAATTGACCTCATGGATATGATTTACAGGACCCTCTCTCGCTGTGTGATTCTATTTAATTGCGTTCAATGGATTATCTGCAGCAGGATGGGCCTATGTCATTTACCATCCATATGTTCCTGCAACATACAAATCGAACCATTTCTCTACCACTCTCGCATATTTCTTACATCCATATGTTCCTGCAACATACAAATCCACATTCTCTGCCCTTGCACCTGTGCAGTCGCTCGCCGCTCTTGAAGTCTTGCATGTTCTCCTTGGGTTTGTGCGCTCCCCATTCCCGACAACTGTCGTCCAGGTCTCCTCACGCCTCGTCCTGGTCTGGGGAATCGTCGAGCGCTTTCCCCAAAAGTCGGTATACCAATCCTAGTCTCCGCTCGTTCTTGGTGCCCATCATTCGTGGCCAAGAGCGATGGCGGTGGAGCAACAGCTGGTGGTGGTGGAACTTCACATATGGCCTTGTACAAAGCATCGTATATGAACCCAGCCTGCTCTTTGGTAAATCTTTTGAGTGTCTTCAAGTTTCTGATTGCCAAGCGCTTAGAGAAGGACTCAATGCTGTTGACAATTTCGTTTCTGTGCTTTCTACGTTCGGAGAGAATGGTCTCGTCGGAAATCACAGCGAACTCCCAGAACGAGATGAGAAGTAGCTCTTGGAAGCGTGTTATCGCCCTTGTTCGAGGATCTGCAGACTCTGGATGCGCAGAGTCACCAAGTGAGGCGAAGTATTCGCGCATCAAGCTAATCATAGTGAGTATAGGCCATCAAGGGTTGGTATTCACCCACCTTAAGAATCCCCCATCATCTTGAATTTGCATGGTGTCAATTTGGGTGCCTGGTGAGTTGTGCATGTCATTTTGCATTTGGTCGCTGACTCCTGGTTCTCACAGGGCTGTGGGTCAGGCTCACAACAACGCCATCCACCACAACGACAGAAACCAGTTTGTTGGCTGTAAAAACGTGAGCGCAGAACAACACCACAGGATGTATATATACCAGTATCACCATGATTGTAAATCCGGGTACACTTAACACAAAAGTGCCAACGAGCAAGTGGTTGGTTATAGATCCGCATGCGTCGGTTCCTGTCTGACATTGCCTCAACAAAGCGCTCGTTCTGGTTGATGGTCTGACCGACATTGAGGACACAATGGTGTTCACGGCAATCTTCAAGGAGTGTGCAAATGATGAAGGCGTTCCAAACATGGTCCATTGTTACATCCTTGGCGAACCATTTTGTGCCCGGGAACTGTGTGGACTCTGCATTTGCAAGTGCAATGTTATATATGTATGCGCAGTTGGTTGCTGATGTGCTGAGTGTATGGTCAGCAGGGGCAGATTCAGAATACTGAAGATACTACATACCAGGAAGCGTGCATCATGGCCTTCCATAACCTCGCTATTTGATAGTCAACGAAGTAGTGATCCGCAATCTGCACGATGTCTGGCAGTGCAGTGATGTAATCATAGTAAATGTGTCGGTCACCAACGACCTTATAGTTCGTGTGATAAGTTGTCTTGCAGGCTGAGGAGGATTTAGCAGCTGCATTATCGTGTCATCAGATAGATATAGCACTCACATTCACAATACAGTTGAACACTGTAGGCAGGGACTGTACCGGAGTGGCCAAAGTAGACTGCTTTGCGCTGTTCGGCCTTGCTGAGCAGCAAGCCTTTTCGTGTGCGATCACAGGTAGAATTGGGACACATCTTGAACGGTGGATAGAATGTGCGTTGTGCTATCAAAGTGATTCGTTCAGCCTCGTGGATATACATTGAAAAACACTCACTAAGGCCATGAGGGTGCCCGTGCATCTCGAATAAGTCTTTCATCTTCTCATAAACGGTAAAATTGCCGGCCCAGATACTACTCTTCAGGACCCTCCAGCACACCTTCACAGATGCTGGTGACAATTTGCAGGCAATGCTCAGAAAAGCGACAATGCTAGGAGGAAGAAACAAGGGTGGCTCACGTATGTTGTATGTAGCCGGCTGCTTGAGAATGATATCGTCCTTGAGGCCTGTTGCCAATGAGGCAAACACAAATGTGACTTCTAATGTTAGGCCAGAGATACCTGAAAGACGATCAGCGGCACATTTCAATGTGATCATTGTTTGCCGGACAATGCAGACAATGTGGACAAATGGGACAGATGGGACAGATGGGACAGATGGGACAGATGGGACAGATGGGACAGATGGGACAGAACGGATGGGACAGACGGGACGGGCCGGACGGTGGGACGGGTGGGACAGAACTTTCGAACTTTCAGGTTCCCTCCCGAAAGTATATTCCGAAATTTCGGAAATTTCCGAGGCGTACTGGATAGCCAAATTTGGGGGTGGGACGGGACGGACGGTCATTTCCAATTTTCCGGTATATACCTTAAACCGGCCGTTAAACGGTTCCGGTTATAACCCGGGTTAAGCCCGCACTGCATCAAACAACTTCTTGATCCAACATCAACTATCTTTGCTATCAACCAACCAACCAGCTAAGAGCTTCGTCCGATGCGCTATGCTTGCACACTGAACCAGTGTACTCGTTTTTAGACCTGTTCGGGCCCGCCCACTCACTGGCATGTCCATAACTACCTTTGATACACTCCGTACTCTTCTATTTCTCTTTTAGGTCACCGGTACCGAAACGCATAGAGGCGCAGTGCTAACCCTGCGCATGTCGTTGAGTGTCATGTTGAGCTGCGGATGACTCGGAGATTTTCATCGCTAAAAGCAATATAAAGTCATATTACGACATGAAGGTCTCACAATCAACCTAAACTTTGGACGGTTCTTTGATGCGGTATCCCCGGATGCCACATTGATTTTCTACTGGAAGTTAGGCTGAAACACTTTGTACTTCTGTCAATCAGATGACATCCTTCAAATCTCAGTTTGGTAATGTAAGCGCTGGATTGTGGTATATCAAGCACGAAATGCGATCATTATACGGCCACCAAATCCCCCCGCTCACTCGCTTTATGCTCTAATAGTATGACCCTAGTCTCGAACGATCCCAGTTGGTGGCCATTCATCAATACGGTTGTTATTTACAGCTATTTTACAGGTTCGTGGAGAGTCAACCGCATGATGACGGTGATAATTTGATTCACCTTGACTCCAATTTCGCAGTTGCCGCCTCTGTTGGACTAATATACGATTGGGGTGAGCAAGATAAAGGATAAAAGAACCACTGATATCCTTATGGTATTCTCAGCGCTTACGTTTGGACAAGAGGTACGTCAATCCCGATTACTGGAGGAGCCAACTTGCTTAGAATTGTGTTATAGGTTGAACTGATCTGGGTGAGTGGACTCCCACATCGAATGAACAAGGTGAAAATACAACTTGTTCACGGCAGAGGCAACGCTGGTCCCTGATGACCTTTCTCTATCTCATTGTATGTACCTTGTGTTTTGGTATTGATGTTTAGCAAGTCCAAGTTTTGCTGACTTCAGAATATCCTAGGTGCGCTATGTTGGAATAGGATGGGTTGTGTATGTTTGGAAGTTCAAGTCACTGATGTTGCTCTCATCATCCATCTCTCACAATCAGGATGAACATTTTGAGTATGTCTCCTCGCATAGACTCTGTTTCTTTCTTGTGACGGGCGGCATATAGGTAGTGTTCCAACTATTTCCATGACAGATACAGTGAGTATTCCACACTGATACCTTCCGTTCCTGTCGAAACATTGAACTACCATGCAGGGGTGAGTGAGATTTTCGAACAACTCGTTGATTTAACATAATGACTCCTACAGTTGTGAGTCTGTTTAGGCCCTGTGATCTTCCGAAGCTGATAACCAATGTTGCTGCATTTGTCAGGCCTTGTCATAAACAACGCACTTAGTTGGACGAGTAACGTTGTAAATGTAATACTGGGCGGTGAGCTATGCACTTCCGTGACATTGACTTGACTGAAAGACCATGCAAGTCATCATGATCGCTCGGTTACATGCCATGTATCAGCGATCCAGAAAGGTGCTGATTTTTCTCGTCGTCAGCTTTCTGGCCATCAGAATCGCCAACGTAGTGATGGTCGCAATACAGGACGATGCAGATGTCAGCGGGTAAGCTTTAATTATGTATGAAGTGTTTAAGTGCATCAGGCTTATTGCAAAATACCAGAGGAATACGTTCTCTCCGGCACCTATCAGTGCATATTTGACTACGGGGGAGATTCCGTATTTCTTAATTCCATGACTTGGATACTTTCTACTGTATGGGAGGTCGCTGCACTGTGTCTCGCGGTCTGGATTGCTGTAAAGCAGTTCCGTGAACTGCGACAACACTCAACGAGAGGTATTATCGGTGACTGTTTCAGGGTGCTAATGAAAACTCATGTGAGTTACTTTGTGAGGTGAGCTCATAATGTGAATGCGATCCTCTTGTTCCCCTGAAGTTTTGCACGTGCTAGTTTTTTGGCTATGTCTTGCTTCCAGATCGGTTTCATGTCTTCAACGCTATTAGTTGTATGTCGAGCTGTCATTGACTTTCTACTTGCATGCGACCATGATTCATCACCTCTATAGGACTCGTATACCCTGGACGCTCAGATTTATGAAGGTTTCGCTGAGATATTCGAGCTTGTGGGATTGTTTGTGCTAGGACCACGACTGATCCTCGGTGTTCGAGAATATCACGCTGAGCTCGTGGCCCACTCTGATACGGCAACCGCTATGACTTCAATTGCCTTTCAGGAGCGCATCCATGTGTCAACTAGCAGTAGTGTGTAGCGCAGGAGACGCTCGATATGATTGATTCGCGATGGGGGGGGTGGTGTGCAGGGAGCGGGAGAATTTTTATTTATTTATTCCAGGTTTTGTCGTGGTACTTATTTATGTACGAGAGTCATATCTTGATGAAAGTCGGGCCCGCTGATGTGACTTGGGGCTTCCAGGGACAATGCAGTCATAGGCAAGCCTAGAATCGTAAACTCAAAAGCTTTGACTAAGTGTAATTTCTGGAAGTGCCAAGACCTTAAATCCAGAAAGCATTCCACACTGAGAACATAAACCCCGAAATCAAGATTCTTTGAAGAAAGAATTCGAAGCATTGTGATTGATTGCGCACCGAGAACGTTCGAGGTAGATAGCGGAGTCCTTCAAGTTCTCACTACGGAAAACATGAACTACCTGGGACGCTGATGTCGATCTTATTTCAGAGTACTAGACTCGTATAGATGGATCAACTTTAGTAGTACTCGTTACAGACTTGACTGGAATCGATTTCCAGAATTCAAGATGCAAATAAGTCATAGTCACGTGCGCGTATTGATGGGAACGCGTCGTCGGAGTCAGAAAGTCAGGGTATTGGGAAGTAGCAAAAGTTGAGCACGGTGGTCTGGCTTTCCATAACATTGTGCTAAATACACGATAAGTGTAGCAGTTAAGGTTCACAGAACGCTCTGAGACTTCATGATGCATCTAGCACTTGGTTTAATCAAACTAGTGTCTATTGTGCCGAACTGCCCTTAACCACATGGAAATACACGTGCATGCATCGTCTGAACCCTGGGCCTCATCCTCTCCCTCCTCTCACCTGAACTTCATTCACAGTCCCCATATCCCCCGCTCAACTCATCCTCTTTTCTCGTCACTCCATCATCATGCTTAGTAGCTGGGAAGGCCGATATATCAGACTTGAACGTAAGTCTCACATCACCTTCGTATTCGTTTTGTGTCTTATCCTCGTGCCCTATCTACAGTCATCAGGGTAAACGATCTTCCACTCCCTTCCGAGCGCATACCTGCAGGTTTTTACGTCTCCATTAATGTTGATTCGAGGAGGCGCTGGAAATCACCCGTCCGAGTATTATCATCCGACGAATCTGAAGTGTTGGGCGACATCGTGATTTTGTAAAGTCTATAATAACTTTCAGATGCGATTCAAGGACTGATCATCCGTTTGTAGGTCATTATGCGAGATACCCAAATTATCGATGGAGCTCAGAGTATCCTATGAGCTCGGTCGAATGCTAGGCAATGGGGAAGTCGTTGCAAAACTAGAAACGTTGTGGGATGAGCTACTCGATCGCGGAGATCAGTCTTTCGGTGAGTAACCTCCTTCTCACTCAGGCGTATATACTCGCATCTTGTAGACATCTCCTTCCCACCCGTTGGTGACTATCACCCTTCCCTTACTCTGAAGGCCGCCGTCATACATCCTTGCGAGAATCAGAACAGCGCACTCTTTGACGTGAGCGACATCAGCCTCTGCTTTGTTGAATGTTGTTGACGGAACACCTGTTGTAGTCCATCGTTGAATGTGATATTGCTCGATACACGGATGCGGGCCATGAACAATTTGCCACATACGTGGCAAGCAACACAGTCTCTCACCTGAACTATGCTGTACAGCATTTTCAGTTGGCCCTGGATCAATGTCAGGTCGGCCATCCTGACCAGGCAGCGGCTCTTACCAACCTCGCGTGGGCTCGCCTCCAATGCTACATTCAAAACAATCTTGAAGACATCGACTCTATCACTTCTCTCTTCCGCCAAGCCCTTGCATTGCGTCCGCAGGGTCATCCCGATCACCCATCATCTATCTGTCACCTCATTCAAGCGTTGATCTGGCGCTACAGCAAGGAGAACTTCACCGCCGTCTACATCCACGAATCCGCGCAACTGGCCTGCAAGCTATTGCCCCTCTGTCCGGAGGGCACCTACCTTCGTAGCATCGTGACAGGGGCAAGTGGCGTCGATTTTGTGATCCGCGCATGTAATAATCTTTCAACCGACACATCCGATGAATGCATTCACCTTCGACGAGTCGTGCTCGAGCTCTGTCCTCTGGGCAGCGAATACCGTCACAAAGCCCTCCATGAGCTTGCACAGGCAGTAGAAGGTCGCTTCAAACAATGTGGTAGCATTGATGATCTAGACGAGTGCATTCAACATCGTCGCGAAGCCGTTTCTCTATGCCCCGAGGGACATCCTGAATACGAGACCTACCTGAATAACTTGGCCTTGTCACTCAAAATACGCTTCGATTACCAATGCAACTCTCATGACCTCAACGAGGCCATCTCTTTGTACGAAGAGGCACTGCGCGTTGGGAACAAATGTCGTGAATTTTCATTGGACAACCTAGGACTTGCCCTCCGCACCCGTTTCAACCAATGTAATGAGGTTAACGACATCGTTAGAGCCATCGGCCTCCATCGCGAGGCATTGATATTGTGCCCGCCTGGGAATCCATATCATGATTACACGCTTAACAACCTTGCCCTTGCGCTTCAAACCAAATCGGATGCCAGCGAGGATCTCAATGAGGTCATTGACCTGTACCGGGATTCGCTTCTCTTTACGCGGCTTGACGATCCAGAGCGCCACATAAATCTCCACAATTTGAGCTCAGCGCTCCGTTCTCGTTTCACGCACACCCAGAAGAATGAAGATATCGAGGAGGCCATTCAACTGTGCCAAGAATCATTGGAGGCTTTGACTTCACTGCATCCAGACAGATATTTCAGCTACATGCTGTTGCAGGAAGCCTACTTGTCTCGTTACAGAGTGCAGTGCAAGTCTGCTGATCTGTCACTCGCTGTAGAGAACTTCAGACTGGCATCACGACATCCCACTCAAGGATTTCCGGAACGTATCAAAGAAGCTGTAGAATGGGCTCGCCAAGCAGAAGTTTATCGACATGACTCTGCCCTCGAAGCATACCAAATGTGCTTGCAGCTTTTCGACAACCACGTAATGACACGATCGACGATTATCTCACGGCGTGAGGCTACAACCGCTTTTCGCGGTGCACAATCACTGCCAGTAGATGCAGCCTCATGTGCCGTACGTCGTGACAATTTGCGATATGCAGTTGAACTCGTCGAACAGGGTCGTGGTCAGCAGTGGTCACTGGCATCCCGACTCAGGACTCCGCTGGAAGATCTCGAGTCCACGAATTCCAACATAGCTCATACGTTCTCGGAGCTCAGCAAGTATCTGGCTGATGCTCAAGGTTCCACGGTCAGCACGGACGGAGCTACCGCTGATCAGGCAGCAATAGAGTACAGGAGGATTACGACGCAATGGGAAGCTACGGTATCTGAAATCCGTAATCTTCAAGGTTTCTCGCGGTTCCTGCTCCCACCTTCATACGAAGACTTGCAAGCGGCAGCGCGTCATGGCCCAGTCATCATCCTCATTGGGAGCCAATACTCGTGCAGTGCCATCATTGTCCCGACATCAGGAGAGCCCCGCCACGTTTCCTTCCCGCGCATCACTCTCACACATCTGGAGACGCTCAAGAAGGACTTTGCCAGGGAGATACGGCAAGCATCTCGCATGCGTCCAGAAGAGACGAGGAAGGAATTGCAGGCCCTCTTGCGGACAGTATGGGACGAGATCATGCTACCCATCGTCATTGTCCTCCAACGAGATCTCAGATTAACGTGCCGCTCTCGAATCTGGCTGTGTCCAACTGCAGCCTTCACTTCCATTCCTCTCCACGCAGCTCACCCCTTTCGAACAAAGGCCGACAGCCGTGGGCGGGAACTATGCCTGGAGGATGTCTACATCTGTTCTTACACGCCAACACTTTCAGCTCTGATCAGATCTAGACAGATGATGAAGACACGTGTGACTCCGTCCTTTGTGACAGTCGGACAAAGTTCACCGGGCGCGGGGCAAGGCGAGGCGCTCTTGACTATCGACAGCGAGCTTGAGCTCGTCCGCGAACTTGTCCCCGCGACGGCTAACCCCATCACTCTCTCCGGCGATGACGCCACGCGAGCAGGTGCGCTCGACGCTTTGCAACGTAACACCTGGGTACACCTCGCTTGTCATGGAAAGCAGGACCGCGAGCAGCCTTACAATTCACGTTTCGCCATGAGAGATGAACCTCTCACGCTGCTTGACATCATGGAGAACGACACTCCTCACGCTGAGTTTGCATTCTTATCAGCATGTCATACCGCCGTCGGCGATGAGGAGACACCCGACGAGGTCATCCACCTCGCCGCTGGTCTCCAATTTTCTGGGTTCAAGAGCGTCATCGGCACTCTGTGGGTCGTTGATGATGCTGTCGTGAAGCATGTGGTAAAAGCCTTCTACGAGAATATGTTCAGTGATTCGAAGGACGGTGGTGTCATGGACTATACGAAAGCGGCCTGGGCACTCAACCGTGCTACAAACGCCGTGAAGACGAAAGTGCCGCTTGAGCAGAGGATGGTTTTCATTCATATTGGTGTGTAGTTCCATGTCGTATTGCTTTTGTCTGGTACGGTTCCACGGGTTTGTTTATATTGCTATATTTTTCGTCTACCAGTACTTTAAGTTGTAGGAATTACCTCATCTCTCTCGTCTTCTTAGTTTTCTCTACCTCACCTGACAACACTCAATCAGTGTAAGTAATCATTGAGGAAGGTGTCTATCATTGAGATATCTATATCAGCCCTGGAAACTTCATGTGGTACAGGCAAAAGGGCAAACTGATCGGTGTGTTAGACGACTACGATCGTTGGGGAATCATGCAGTGGGTCCTGGGGCAACGAATGTACGAGCACGGTACCGTTCATGGCACTCGATCTTCTCATTGCAAAGGCTCAATGAGGCTTAGTCAGACGCCCATATTGCCATGATCTGCTCAGAGTCATATTAGTTCGCTAAAAGCTCTTGCAATTGTATGATTTATATCGACTTCGCAATTTATATAAGTATCACGACAAAACCTGGAATAAATAAAAACACGCGAATTGGTTCCGCGGGATCAAACGCTCCGTTCTTAGTACCACGACAAAACCTGGAATAAATAAAAACGGATTCTCCCGCTCCCCGCACACTACCCGCCCATTGCAAATCTCATATCGAGCATCTCCTGCGCTACACACTACTGCTAGTCGACACATGGACGTGCTCCTGAAAAGCAGTCGAAGTCATAGCGGATATTGTATCAGAGTTGGCCACGAGCTCAGCGTGATATTCTCGAACACCGAGGATCAGACGTGGTCCCAGCACAAGCATCTGCACGAGCTGGAATATCTGAACGAGACCAAGATAAATCTGAGTGTCTAGGGAAAACATGTCCTATAGAAATGATGGATCATGGTCACATGTAGAGGTCGGGGGCAGATCGACATACCGCTGAGAGCGTTGGAGAGAACAAACCGATCTGGAAGCAAGAGATGACAAAATAACTAGCACGTGCAAAACTTCAGCAGAACAAGGGAAACACATTCACATCATGAACTTACCTTGCAAAGTAACCAACGTGAGTTTGCATTAACACCGTGAAACAGTCCCCAATAATACCACTCGTTGAGTGTTGTCGTAATTCACGGAAGTGTTTTACAGCAATCCAGACTGCGAGACAGAGTGCAAGGACCTCCCAGACAGTGCCAAGTATCCAGGTCATAGAAGAAGCTAGAAATGCGGGATCTCCCGCGCTGCTAGTCATGCACTGATAGGTGCCGGAGAGAACGAATTCCTCTGGTATTTTTCAATGAGACTGACACACTGGAAATTTTATACATCATTAAAGCTTACCCCATGAAATCCGCTTCATCTTTATTGCGACCATCCCTGCGTTGGCAATTCTGATGGTCACAAAGATGATAACGAGAAATATCAGCACCCTTCTGGATCGCTGATACATGGCATGCAACCGAGCGATCATGATGACTTGCTTGATGTTTCAGTCAGGTCAATATCACGGAGGTGTATATGTAGCTCACTGCCCAGTATTATATTTATAACGTCACCCATCCAATCAAGTGCGTCGTACATGATAAGGCCTGATAAATCCGGCAAAATTAGTTATGAGCTTCGGAAGATCACAGGCTCGAAACAAACTCACAACTGTAGGAGTCGTTATGTTGAATCAACGAGTTGCTCGAGAATCCCACTCACCCCTGTATGGCAGTTCAGTTATTTGGACGGGAATGGACAGCATCAGCGTGGAATGCTCACTGCATCTGTCATCGAAATAGTTGGAACATTGACTGTATGCCGCGCGTCGTGAGAAAGAAACAGAGTCTATGCGAGGATACATACCCGGGATGTACATCCTGATTGTGAGAGATGAGCAATGAGTACAAAATCAATGGCTTAAACCTCCAAACGTACACAGCATAATCCTATTCCAGCAAAGCGCACCTAGGATATTTTGAAGTCAGCAAAACTTAGACTTGCTGAGCATAAATATTGACAGGCAAGCTACATACACTGAGATAGAAAAAGGTCATCAAGGACCAGCGTTGTTTCTGCCGTGAACAAGTTGTACTTTCACATCGCTCTTTTGATGTGGAAGTCCGCTCACCCAGATCAGTTCAACCTATAACACAATTCTAAGCGAGTTGGCTGCCCCAGTAATGGATCGACGTACTTCTTGTGCGAACGTAAGCGCTGAGAATACCATAAGGATATCAGTGGTCATTTCATACTTAGTCTTGCTCACCCCAATCATACAGTACCACGAAAGACGCAGCAACTATAAATAACAATAAAACCGCAGCCAAGGTTAATCGAGTCATCAACGTCGTCATGTGGCTAACTCTCCACGAACCTACAAAATAGCTGCCAATAATACTCGCATTGATGAATGGCCACCAACTAGGATCATTCGAGACTAGAGTCATAATATAGAGGATGTGAGTCAGTGAGCAGGGAACTTGGTAGCTGTATAACGATCGCATTCGTGCTTGATATATGTACCACCATCCAGTGCTTACATCGCCGAAGTGAGATTTGAGGGATGATATCTGATTGATCGAAGTAAGTGTTTCAGCCTGAATTCCAGTAGAAAGACAATGTGCATCCAGGGATAACGATGGGATCAAGGTAAAAGTTATCGGTGAGATCGCAAAGCAGCGACTCGCGCGGAGTGTGTGAACACCGCAAAAGATTGGAGAACTGTTCGTAATTTCGGCAACCTTCCAGGGGGCAATGCGATCTTCAAAGTAATCTTTTAGTATTTGGTATTCTTGCTACAGTCGAGTGAGGGGTTCGGCCTCGGCCCATCAATGACACTAAAACGGCGTCCAAGTTGACTGGTAACCTCGTGGCAGACATTGTCAACCACGACACGAACAGAATTTACAACCTTTCTTCTAATTCATGCGCACGTTGATCAGTACAAATGCGACCAAAAGTACATACATGCGTCGTATCAAATTTCCTGTCATAAAACACGATCGACGTGTGTAGCGATTCGAATGAGGGCAGTCGTAGGATAGAGAAATTGGGAAGTTGGGGCGAAAGGCGCGGTTGTACAAGAGGATGGTGTAACTGTACAAAGAAAGAACGATCAGATGATGTGGACAGGAACGGAGGCAGTAGGAACGAAAGCGACGACGGAGGGGCGGTGACAGTACACGCTTGCAAGCTTGAATGCGGAGTTAATGAATGTGTGATGAGTCCAGTTTCGTGGTACATAAGAAGTGATGACGGGGTGGGATGGATACTTTGGTGAAGAGAAGATTGAGTTCGTCGACGAGCTTGAGGAGCGACTAGCCGGTTGGAAGAGGGAGATTTTTCTCTATCCCTGAAAAAACCCATCCCAAGGAGACACAGATCGATATTGATGAGACCAAGAAACCGAAAATAGGGAGTGTGGACTGCCACGAGCGAGGGCGGCCGCTTAAAGCGGAGAACAAAGGAGTGCGTAAATGTGCATTATCACGTATATGACGAATGAACGAGCGAGCGAGTGTAGTAGGCGTCCCAAGAAATAAAGAATGAAATATATATCATCAGTACATACAAGGTGAGGGACAAGCGAGACATACCTTTGAAGTTTGGAAAACGAAAGAGATCGGGATGAGCGCGGATAAGATAGGTGGAACTTCAAGAGATGGGAGGGTCAAAGTGTGAAGGCGAACAGAATAAACAAAACAGAACTCGCGAACAAACTTGAAGTACCGAAACTAGGTCAGTTTTCAGAAAGGCGATAGCAAGAGAAGATTGAGAAAAATAAGTAACCATAAGTAAGAAGCAACCTACGAACTACGAACAAAAAAGACGCAAAGAAAGAAAGACTGTAACGTCAAACAGAAAAGAAAGAACAAATTTGTAGGAAAACCCGACCTACGACATCTCGTCAGATGAAGCAGATAAAAGCGATCGTAAAAGACATGCAAGGACGACGAAATCAAGCTAATGAAGCATCGAAGACTTAGATAATCTCAATTGGAGTGCGTTCAACTTCCATACCACGACCATCGCCGATCGGTCATGGCATCAGTTCAAATGATCAGATTCATATCTAACATGGTTCAGCTTTTCTGTGTGCAGGCTGCAGTTTGTATGGTTTGCACTATGAAATACACATTTTGCTAAATGATACTACGACAATTGAATGTCTATCAAAGTGTAGCAAGGGTCTCCGAGACTCTGACCCCGATGCCAGTCTGGACTCTGCATGGAAGTAGTGGCGGCCACTATGCCAGCCATTTAATATTTCTCACCAGCATTGCATTCGACCTGTTTTCCTTCTTCTGTTGCACTAGTACATACTGCATCTAAGACGGGACCCTTTCCCTCTTTCCTTAGTTCTTACTCCTCAACAAACTGAAGGGGTGCACGAGCGTCTAGAAAGCGCTTGCACCAGAGCTTTCTCCTCTTCCCAAGGACTAGTTTGTTTGTATACAAGACAATGTATAATACGATATCGAGACCGTTACAATATGTACAAGATCCTAGGGATACTGTTCATGTGCAGGTATAGAATGAAAATGTCCCGTTCTTCGCAGCTAGAATATCTCATGTCATCAACAAAAGCTATGTCCCTGACTTGTGCAATGGTATTGTTATCCGAAGCGATTCTCTTATACACCCCACCCCACTGCTGCACTAGCAAAACTGCGCCAAAAGGTTGTCCAAGGCGAACGATCAACCTCAACTCTCGTGTAGTCGGCTCGTTGTATCCAGGATAGCTGTCGAGCGTATCATCTGACGGAGACCCAAGCTCACGCGAATCTTCCACGCTCTGCGTCTCGTCTGCAAAGTTAATCAGCCCGAGATCATGCCGATTCCACGGACGGACGAGCAAAAATGTCTGTTGAGTACGCCTTGCAGGCGAGAATTGCACAAACCTGGTTTCCGTTGTGACCAGCAGGTCTTGTAGCCCGTTTGCCTTGATGTCCAAAGTGAAACATCTGGCCCCGTCTTGACCAGGCCTCCGCTGTGAGAGGAAATGTGATGCAAGGCAGTTGCAGTCTGGCATTGACAAAACGGGGAACGCCGAGGTTCTCAAGGGTATACAGTTTCGAAGCCGACTCCACAGCCACAACATTGTTTCGCAGCGTGGAGACCGATATCTACATGTCGTGTTCAGATAGAGATGGCAGGGTATACGACGGAGTCTTGTATGAAGAAATCTCGGCTGGGAGACAACTATTGAAGTTGGATGATTGTCCCACCCAATCCAGGGCTGTGATGTCGCCCGAATGAGCAATGATCTCCTGCAAGAGTCGTCCGAGCGCATTCTGTCTTTTTTCTCCGTAAATTATAGGAAGGTGGACGCCGAAGATCCCAAACAGCGGATACGCAATGGCTTCCTGCAACATAGTGACACACGTTGATGCCCATTGAGAATTCTCTCGAGCATCTCTCATCCCCGGGCGGAAGGCGACGAGCGTCCGCACGTTTATGCCAGTTGAACGTTCCAACTCCTACGTGATAGCGACAGACTGCTTGTGGTTGCGTGAGCGGTCGTCAAGATATAGGGTCCAATCGGCTTGGTAGAAGAGAACAATTTTAGGAGCGAGGAACTCCTGAATAGTTCATCCTCGCGTGTTCCAGATGCTGTTTGCGAGCGCACCAGACTCTGATGATGGTGAGCGCTGAGCAGTGATACCAGACGAACATGGAGTTGACTGATTCTTGTAGCTCAACGTTATTATACTGGTCGACAGCATGTGTCACTCCACGCACGATGCCTCGCATCGCGTGCAACTTTGCAGAACTTCTGCAACTTCACAACGGTTCCGACAGGATCCAAGTCGTATATGTCCCTACCCTTAAGGTCATACAGTACCGGCTCCTTTCTTTCCTACCTATAGGATAACATAACCCGACCGAAGTACATCGCGACCGCTTCTTTGATGGGCCCTGTTTGTAGGGGCCCATGCATGTCGAATGAATGCAAAGCTCTTTGTACTCTGTACTCTCCGTGAATGTGTTTATCTGCACATCTCGATTGCACAAACGTCCAGTGATGGTGTTGATTAGACGAAGGGGGCATTTTCCAGTTGGGTGTGAATGGCTCGTCGGATAGCATCTTCTACTTCAGATGGACCGACATATTGCTGGCATAGCTTTGCAAAAATATAAGTCATCTTCAAGCTGGCGCTTGGGTTTCTGTGGGTCGGGTGCATCATCCAACTTGGAGAGCATGATTGTGGAGGCCTCGACTGCATCATCAGAGCGATGTGCTCCACGAAGCGCTGCATGCTCCAATTCGTATCCAAGATAAGACGAAGGGTAATGTTAAAACAACGACGGATATCGTCCGCACCTTTTCCGCATCCGAAAGGGCCTCCGCATAGAATTTTTGGCCCAACTTTACCTTACTGCGATGCACAAGGAAGGAATCGTATGAGGAATCCATCCCGAATGCTGCAGAAAGTGTGTTCTCGATAGACCAGAGCTGAAGATTCCCATCAGTCTCCAGTCGCGATCAGTTCTCCACTGGAAGAAGCTGCGACGCAGAAAACCCATGTGGTATGTTCGAGTGCCTGTCCTATCTGCTGGTGTGACTTGGTGCTCCACAAGCGCACATTCTTATCGTACGAAGCAGTGGCAATGAAGGAGCCATCAAAAGAGATGGCCAGCGAGTAGATTGTGTCAGTATGACCAGTACAAGGTTGACCTATTGATATCCATTCGACGAGTTCCAAAACTTGATTGTTTTGTCTCCTGATGCAAAGATAAATTGCTGGCCATCAGGCGACCACACAATGTACACTTGAAACGAAATCTTGGTGAGCGTCGATGTTGAGAAAGAAGCTCGGCGTTACCTGTGCTCCAAACCCGGCATGTGTCGCGCCGTGTCCGATGCTAATTTTAGCCCAGATGGCTGAAGGCGACACTACGCACTGAATCCCAATTAGCACTTGGGTCGATGGATACGATCACTCTAGTTTCCCCTTGATAGACGAAAGAAAACGCTATCGCGAAACGCACGAATTCTATCGCGCCCTCTCTGGATTTAAAGTCTCGGCACTTCCTGAGCTTGCACTGGGTCAAAGCTTTTGAGTTTACGATTCTAGGCTTTCCCATGACTGCATTGTCCCTGGGAGCCCCAAGTCACATCAGCGAGCCCGACTGTTTAGCCGACTGTTATCAAGATATGACTCGTACATTAAATAAAAACAAATTCGCCCGCTCCCTGCACACTACCCCCCATCGCAAATCAATTATATCGAGCATCTCCTGCGCTACACACTACTGCTAGTTGACGCATGGATGCGCTCCTCAAAAGCAATCGAAGTCATAGTGGTTGCTGTATCAGAATTGGCCACGAGCTCAGCGTGATATTCTCGAACACCGAGGATCAGGCGTGGTCCCAGCACAAACAACTGCACAAGCCCAAAGATCTGAGCGAAACCACCATACATATCAGCGCCCAGGGAATATGGGCCCTATAGGAATGATGAATGATGTTCGCATGCATATAGAAGTCGGTGATAACTCGACATACCGCTGAGAGCATTGGAGAGAGGAAAGCGATCCGGAAGCAAGAGAAAGCCAAAAAACTAGCTCGCGTAAAACTTCAGTGGAAAAAGAGAACCACATTGACATTATGAGCTCACCTCCCAAAGTAACTCACATGAGTTTTCATTAGCACCGTGAAACTGTCACCTATGATACCTCTTGTTGAGTGTTGTCGTAGTTCACGGAAGTGCTTTACAGTAATACAGACCGCGAGACACAGTGTAAGGACCTCCCATACAGTGTCAAGTATCCAAGTCATGGAAATAAGAAATACGGAATCTCCCCCGTAGTCAAACATGCACTGATAGGTGCCAGAGAGAATCAATTCCTCTGGTATTTTTCAATGAGCCTGATGCACTTGAACATTTCATACATAATTAAAGCTTACCCCCTGAAATCTGCATCGTCCCTATTGTGAGCATCACTGCGTTGGCGACTCTGATGGCCAGAAAGACGACGACGAGACATGTCAGCACCTTTCTTGATCGCTGATACATGGCATGTAACCGAGCGATCATGATGACTTGCATGGTCTTTCAGTCAAGTAAATGTCACGGAGGTGTATAGCTCACCGCCCAGTATTACATTTATAACGTCATCCATCCAATAAATTCCGTCCTGTATGATAAGGCCTGACAAATCCAGCAACATTAGTTATCAGCTTCGGAAGATCACAGGGTCTAAACAGACTCACAACTGTAGGAGTCGTTATGTTGAATCAACGACTTATTCGAGAATATCACTCACCCCTGCATGGTAGTTCAGTGTTTTGACAGGAATGGAAATCATCAGTGTGGAATATTCACTGTATCCGTCATCGAAATAGTTGGAACATTAACTATATGCCGCCCGTCACAAGAAAGAAACAGAGTCTATGCGAGGAGACATACCCAAAATGTTCATCCTGATTGTATGAGATGGGTAATGAGCGCGACATCGATGGCTTAAACATCCAAACATACACAGTATATCCTATTCCAGCAAAGCGCACCTAGGATATTTTGAAGTCAGCAGAACTCGGATTTGCTAAGCATAAATATTGAAACACAAGGCACATACACTGAGGCAGAGAACGGTCATCAAGGACCAGCGTTGCCTCTGCCGTGAACAAGTTTTATTTTCACGTCGTTCTCTCGATGTGGGAATCCGCTCACCCAGATCAGTTCAACCTATAACACAATTCTAAGTGAGTTGGCTCCCCCAGTAATCGGGATCGACGTACCTCTTGTCCAAACGTTAGCACTGAGAATACCATAATGATATCAGTGGTTCTTTTATACTTAGTCTTGCTCACTCCAATCGTACATCACCCCAACGGAGGTGGCAACTGCGAAATTGGAGTCAATGTGAATCAAATTATCACCGTCATCATGCGGTTGACTCTCCACGAACCTATGAAATAGCTGAAAATAACATTCGAATTAATGGCTGGCCACACACTGGGATCGTTCGAGACTAGGGTCATAATGTTAGAGAATGGAGCGAGTGAGCGGGGGGATTTGGTAGACGTATAACGATCGCATTCGTGCTTGATATACCACAATCCAGCGCTTTACATTACCAAAGTGAGATTCAAGGGATGATATCTGATCGATCGGAGTAAGTGGTTCGGCCTGAATTCCAGTAAAAGACAATGTGCATCCAGGGATACCGATGGCATGAAGGTCGGCTGTTAGAACCGTTCATAGGCAACCTGCCAGTGCGATCAGCGGTTATATTGCCAAAGTGAGATTTGAAATTTGAAAGACGATATGGATGTCGTATCTTGTTAGAGGTTCAACGTAAATTCCAGTACAAAAACAATATTTGGATCCCCTATGGGATCAAGGTAATTAGCACAGCACAACACATCGGATTATCACCGCGGGTGATTATGGGGAAAATGAGACCAACAAAACATTGAAAATACCTGCAAAAATACCCATATAGATTTTGTTTGGTAATGTACAGGATTTGCCCTCAATACGTTTAAAACGCTAGAGTCGAAAGTCGAAAACCGAAAGCGAAAGTCGAAAATTGAAATTCCATATCGGGAAACGAAGCGGATATTTTTGTCCGCTTTCATAGTTTCGCGATCATTGGGTTTTGGCGCACCGGTAACTCTTCTCGAGATCAAGATTCATTCGGTTCGAAGTGTTGTATGATCGCCTGCCAAGACACTAGATTGTCTGGCTCCCCGTCTCGTATGATGCCTCTTTCGTTGCCCCTCGTCTGCCAGTGACAAGATTATGCGGCTGTGGAGTACAAACATTTCCCAGAAACCAAGTTAGTGTCGCAGCACCTTATTGCACGCGTTACGGCGCACCGCAGCACCCTCTCCGCAGAAGTCGCAGAAGTAGCACAGCACTTTCACGTAAATTGAGACGTGGGTACTAGCTGAGTACAAAACTTGAAGGTCTTGCGCCCCCGGATGAGAGAATAACAGTGCTTCGCCTTACACCAGGTTAAAAAATGATGTCCACACAATCCAACTCCAAAGGCGTCGCAGTCGTCACTGGATCTGCGCAAGGAATTGGACGCAGCATCGCAATACGTCTTGCAGGAGATGGCTATGACGTTGTGATCAACGATCTGGAAAGCAACAAAGAGAATTTGGAGGAAGTCAAGAAGGAAATCGCTGTCAATTTCCCAGAGCGCAGAGTGCTAAGTGTACTTGGGAATGTCAGCGTTGAGGAGGATGTCAAAGGCCTGGTTGAGAGTGCAGTTAAAGAGTTTGGCAGGCTGAATGTTGTGGGTTGTTCTCAACTGGTTCAATTACCCTGCCAAGCTTATATTGTATTATAGTTTGTTGCAAACGCAGGCATCTGCAGATAAAAATCACTCCTAGAAAGTAAGTTGCAGTCAATTGTCGATGTCGATGTACCACCAGAACTTACTGAAATCCTGTCGCAGCGACATCCGACGACTTTGAGTCCATGCTTTCTGTGAACGTCAAAGGCACCTTCTACAGTTATAAATATGCAGCGCAGCAGATGATAGCTCAAGGCGAGGGTGGGCGAATTATCGGTGCAAGCTCCCTTGCGGGAAAGAAAGGCAGGTCCACATATGTGGCGGTTCCTTCATGTATGATTACGTATCTTTTCAGGGCTTCGTTCACTCAGTGCTTACTGTGCGTCCAAATTCGCTGTCCGAGGGCTGACGCAATCCGCAGGTATGGTGTACTTAGTCTCATGAGCACCCGATCTCAATAACGTTCTTTGTAAGCCGTAGAACTTGGTCGCAATGGAATCACAGTGAACGCATATGCGCCAGGAACAATTCAAACACCAATGCGTAAGTTTCGAGATTTGTGCATTAAATATACGGCGGTAACTTTTACCCCGTGTAGTTGCTGAGTTTACTGGATCAGCCGACAATAACGATATTTACGAGAAGGTGACCCTCCACCAATGTGCATGACATGCTAATTTTGACATTTTTTTTTCATACTTGAGTTCAAACAGATGACAGCGGTAGGCGACATTGGAACTACCCAGGACATTTCGAGCTTGGTTTCATTTCTGGTGATCCCGGAAGCACGTTTCATCACAGGTGTGTATATTATACATGGTCTGGGTTTCATAAGCTCGAAACTGATGGTTGTAACGCATCGCTTCGCAGGCCAAACAGTAAGCATCTTCTCACTCGGACTGAGGAACGCAATCTGATATGATTCACGGACAGATATCGATCGACGGCGGTATCTTCTTTGATTGATGGACCATGGCGAAATTGCCGTAACCTTACGCATTATTTTGCAGTCTGAACAGCAGAGATCTTATCTTTTCAACCGTACCCATCAGGATGCAATCTGATACGGTTCACGAACAGGCTAACGATTGACAATACTGTGTCTTTCTTGATCGAAGGACCTTGGACATTACCTTTTCTAAATATTGTTTTTGAGCATAGTAGTCCTTCGTGTCCAGTGTTGTACTTCCTTGTAATCATGGTCTTGGGATGTCATCTACAACAGCAGGGAAGAAACGCGTCATTAACTGGGAGCTACACTGTCAAGTTTTGCGGTGATCTGACCACAGTTCAGCAAGCACAGGTCATCATTGGATATTTGATAACATCGAAGAGACGCAAGAGACTGGTGCAATGGTTATGCTGCGCGGCATATCAGAGGTGGATCCCGACCACGCCAGAGATGGCACCATGGATGCGCAGGAGGAATTCATTCTCAAAAGCCACATGGATGACCCTTTTGAAGCAGACCGGCAGAGGCACAGATGTAATCTGTACGGATGTTGACTTGGAATGTCTGTCCGTCTTCGAACAGCACCTGTTCGAAAAGTCGCCTCAGTCGGGCTCTGCATGAAACAATCAGTGGGGCCTGGATGCTGGGACCCATATGCTGTGCTTCCATCCCACTGGAACCACAAGGATCGCAATGAAGGAGATCCCGATTATGATGAAAACAAGCTGACTTTCGAAACGGTCCTAGTTAACAATCACCTTAGCACAGGCCAGATTTCAGTGACAGTGACAATGTCGAACAACATGTGTCAGGACCTCAGAAGCGAAGAAAGGTGATAATAACCGGAAGGAAGTCATTGAAACAAAATATGGGAGACCTGAGCCTTTGCAGGCCGGGAGTACTTGTGTGAATCTTGATAACACCGCCTGACTGTGACTTTGTAAGCGTGGATGTAAGTATAAGGAATCGGCGCACGCTCGACTCCATGATGGCTTGTCTGGAGGACAAGCACTGGGAGGTTCCAGTGACTAACAGTAAGTGTAGTTGAGGCGCACTCACCGTTTGGGTAGCAGCAGTCAGTGGCGCAGCATTTTCACATGACTCTCGGCAACTGCCGCTGACAACTTCTTTTCTTCTTACCATGTCGTCCCTCCTCTACATATGTACGTTCATCAACCCGCAAGAAGCTTAAGCCTCTCATGTCTCATGCTTTTTCCTCTCGTCTTTCTCCCCACCTCTTCCTTCAAAACCAGCAGAATCTCTGAGAACGGTGGGAAAGGTTCTCCCCTGTGCCCATTCCAGCTCCGCGTGCCCCTCCAGCGAGCCCCACCCACTCTCCTATGCAATTTGCACATCTATAACGCGCGCCGATATTAGCAGGAAAAGTGAAATTACATAATATCATTATCACACTCTCCTCCACGCCATCAATGGAGTCGGTAAATCATCGTCTGATCCATTGTTGATCACTTGTCCAGGTCATCATCGAAATACTCCGTTGGTGATATTGATCTTATCAATCACAATACTTCGACTTGTCCATTGCTCCGACGGTCATCGCTTAGATCGAGTAAGTCAGTGGTTTAGTGCGCTACTTTTACCGCCAGCGGCAGATGGCTCGCAACGGTTTCAAGGCAAGCTGGGTCCTCCACCTTAGCGCTCGAAGGATATCGATAATAGGAATAGATTGAGGTTCCGACTAAAATTTCAGGCCACGTATGACCTGGGAACTGGTCCGCCGCTATCTGATCAACAGACAATTTCTCGCATTCAAGCCGCGCGAGTTATGTATCTTGACGAACAGACGCCTTCACTTTGGCCAATCGAAAGTTTTGGTATGTTTCATCATCTCACAACTCCTTGGAATCCAAAAAATTGAGTCCAGTGGGTGTATCAGCGGCTGAGAGGATCGTAACTTGTCAGAATGACAACTTCGAATTGAAGGCACACTCGTCAACCATTTACTGTTTCTCGTTTCGCGAATCCAACTGCCTTGTATCGGGCTGGGTGTCGTTTTTCACTTACGATCTGTCTTCAAGACATGCTGATCGCCACCAAAGGTTTCAATTCCTGCCAGTATGGCCCACTTCACAGACATCCGTTCGTGGAATCGTCATGATTTTAGCTTGTTCGACTTTGTAGATGATGCACAGAGCGTGATCGAGTCTGCCTGAGTCTCCGTTAGACCATTTTGCTCGGGGGTATTCTAGGGATGATGATAATACGGAGTCTCACTCACGAGAGTTGGGGTTGATTGGTCGCCTCAGGTAGGCATTTGGTGTACATTTTCTAGCACAACCGCGTGGTTGGAAGACAAGAGAGTTACTTCGGATCACAATCCCATCACACGAGTCAAGTACATGGCTTCTGTTCATGACATGATGGAAACTTGTCAGGACACTAGAGATATTGTACATAGTGGCATGTATTTTGAAAACTGGATCTCTGATCAAAACGTGTTTTCATTCAAGGACACTAACAGCAGTCACATGGAACAAATAATACAACGCTAGCTTTGTATTATGTCGCATGTGTCATATCTTACAACAGGAAAAGCGAACCACCGTATCATCGGGTTATTGCCATCTTTGAGGTTCACATTGGCGAGACCGTTCGTGCGGAGACGAAAACGACTTGATTCAAACTGACTGTCGAACGGATGTACTACGTTTGTACAGCATCGTTTTCGGGGAGGGTAAGACGACAATGGTTTCGGGCGAGGGCGCGCAGCGCCCACCGGCCTCGAAGGGGCTTTAGCCTAAGGTAAAGAGGTGAGCTGCGAGGGCGGGTGGGCCGCCTCGCTGTGATTTGACTAATCTGCCCCTTCAGGGCCTTGGCAATGGTGGACATAAGGTCTCTCTCTGAGTGTTAGCGAGGCGTTCATTTGCGCTTCTGCGCAACGAAATCAGGGAGAGGAGGGTGGGGGGGAAGCTAAGTCGACGAAGTGCGCGATGAGAATTGGATGAGAATGGTCGACGCAGCAGAAGAAGGTGCGAACGTCACGGTTGTTGTTCGCTCAAAGACTTGACTCCATTTCCTCCGCTCGTGCCTTGCTACGTAATAGAGTGTCAAAATGTACAAGGCGCCCTGGCCGCCCCAGCCCAAGTCTTGAGGCTATATATAGAATCAGGTATGGTGGTTCGGTTAAACTTTGACATCCCAGCAGGAACCGCTGAGGAACGTCCGCACATGCTCGTTCGACTTCGCACTGCAACGAGTTTATATATGAACTTCTACGAAAGGCATTACAGGTATGATTCCTCATAGTCGTTTCTAATGTCATTCAAGCAGTTCAACATATCATTATTCAGTTTAAGGCGGAAGCTTACTAGCACCGTGACATATCAACTCCTTCATCAACTTTCTTGTCAGCCGACTCTTCAATCACACTCTGAATCTGTCATCGGGATGGTTGGACATACATATCATTTGTTGAGACACGGCTCTCAGATTGTTGGCACGCCGGTGTCAAACATCATTAGTTCTTCCGATGATGATCGATTTTCATTGGATCCGCTATGTATTATCCACACGGCCAAGGGGCGCTCAAAGTGGCGCTTCAACTCTAAATGTGACTCTTGTCAACATGGCCGCGGTTTGCGGGTGCATTATCATTGATCAAGCTGTCAACAAGGTTGCCAGGCATTTAGCGAACCAGCGTCCAATGTTATAACTTAAGGAACACTGCTCTACCACCCACTCTTCAGATTTTGTTCTTGCTATGTCGGATTGCGTGACAGGCGGGCTTACAGTACTTCTTGCTGCTGCTGTAATCGGCATTGCACTAAGAAGCTACTTCACCAAACCAAAGCTGCCTCACGGTGTTCAATTTCCACCAGGGCCGACGTCGCTCCCGATTCTAGGTAGCGCACTGGCAATCGATGTAAATGCGCCTTGGGTTACCTACAAGGCATGGGGCAATCGATACGGCAAGTGATCCCTCAAAATGCTGATACCCTACTCTGCGCTGTACTAACTGATGTTTGCTTAAATAGGCGACATGGTTTATACTAAGCTCTTTGGTCAAGATAACATAGTTATCAACTCTGAGGAAATCGCAAGAGATCTCCTCGAAAATCGGTCTCAAAACTACTCTGACAGACCGGAGATTGCAACCAATGAATTGTATGACTGATTGAAGGATCGAGTGTTCTTATCACTTAGTCTTGAACTAGATTTGGTGTTGACCACACTACCGCGTTCATGCGATATAATGACAGATGGCGTCTTCATCGCAAAATTCTTCACCAGTCATTCCGACAAGATGTCGTACCCGATTTTCGGTTCATGCAAGTGGCAAAAACTCACGAACTTTTGTTGAATCTGCTGGAGGATCCTTTGGGCTACCCAAAACATCTTGAAGTGTGAGCAAATGTCTATATTAGACTCGTCGTTGGCGTTGACAAGCTCTCCAGACATGCGGGTTCTATAATTATGTCTGCCGTGTACTCATATGACGCAGCGCGTCGTAATGATCATATGATTGAGCGTGCATTATTTGCCCTGGAGGTCGTATTACAGGAGATGAGACCGGAGGTAGCTGCGATATTCAGCGCATTCCCCTCCCGTAGGCCACGTTGCAATCATTTCGCACAATTTCTTACTGTCTGATCTGCAGTTCTCCGTCTCCCGTCTTGGCTACCCGGCATGCGGCTCAAGAGGGTTTCACCTTTAGCTAAGCGGTTAGCGCTTGAAAATTTAGAAAATCCGTTTGCGCACACGGAACGCGGCCTGGTAAGTGCAACATGACATGAAGTGTTTTATTCACAGTCAGTCTTCAGACCGCCGGGACCGTCTCTTCTTGCATGGTCGCTGACCATTTGCTGAAGCTCGATGAAAGCAACAGAGATTCGGCTTTGCGGAAGAAAGCAGTTATGGATTCTGCAGCAACTGCGACTGGGGGTGAGCACATCATCACAATGCGATTTGTCAGACTGATAACATCGTCTCGCAAACAGCTGGTACAGAGACGGTAGGCTGTAAATGGTGGGCGATTGGTTCAATGCTGACCATTACTAGACAGCAGGTGTAATAATGATCTTCATCCTTGTCATGGTTCTCCATCCAGACATACAAGAGAAAGCGCATAGACTTATTGAGAATGTGGTCGGTACAAAGAGACTGCCGACGTTTCAGGATCGTCCATCGTTGCCCTACATTGACGCTATTTTGCGCGAGTGCCTACGGTGGCACCCAGTGCTCCCTCTAGGTGCGTTGCTCACCCAGCACAAAAAGAACAAACCAGTAATCAGTTATAGCGATCATGCATGCTGCCGTCGAAAGCGACGTTTATGAGGGCTATTACATCCCTAAAGGTATGCGAGTCCCTCCCGTTCTGATTCAGTTGATTTTGATTTGTAGCGCAGGTGCTACGGTCACTCCAAATGTTTGGTACGGACGATAATTATTACTGGGACCCCTGATCCCCAACTTACTACTGTGCAGGGCGATGTGTCACAACGAAGTGAAATACCCACATGCATCTGAATTCAATCCTGACCGTTTCCTCAATGCGGATGGTACTCTGACAGATGATACCGTCGGTATTGTCTGGGGATTTGGACGAAGGATATGCCCTGGTAGGCATCTCGCTGAAGCATCTGTATGGTCTGCGATGGTTCACTTGCTCGCGATTTTCAAATTTTCAAACGCCAAAGACGAGAATGGTAAGGAAATCGAGATCAAGCCACGGTGGGGGGGAGGGCTTACTGTGTAAGTGGTCTTTGGCAGGATTTCAGCGGAGACATACTCAAGCTGAAGTGTATTCCTGTAGACGACCCGTGCCATTCTCTTGCAGTATCACTCCGCGGGATGCAGGGATGGATATCGTAGCCCTGCAGCATCTGATTGAAGTATCTGTTTAGGTCTGTAGTGAGTCACTACATACTCTGTGCATGCATTTTTCTGTGGGAAATGATAGGATGTATCATATGTATTACAAGGGTACGAGCCGAAACAAACAGTACGAATGCAGACAGCCCGTTCAGTTTGTCCTCGTAGCATTCATCCGCGTAATCATTTAATCCAAGGTGGGTCCTCGTGTACACCGGATGCGAAACATCTGGCATCAGTGGCCAAACTATACCTAAAAAGGTTGGTCCCTACCATTATTAAACAAGGATGGATGGAAGACCTGTGATACCAATTGCGAGGTTGAAAGTAAGCGGCAAGGAAAAAACTTAGTCACTGGCGTGTGCAGGCGCCGACGTAGATACGGTGGATGCTTCCCGTTTTTACCGCAGTTCAGCGTACAGGTACCTGGACGAATTCAAGTTCATCCGACAAACCCCCCCCCCCATTAAAGTTGGTATTGGGGATGGTGTGCATAATTAACAACATCATACCTGGGGATCCCAGCGCACTCTCTTTTGGAATTTGGATCTCCAAAACCTCAGCTGTCAGTATCTGGTTTCGTGTTCCCTGATGCATGAAGAGACTGTGAAGTTCTCTTAACATCCATGAGACGCCTGAACTCAGCTCCTGAAGGCAGAAGAGCCCTAGCACACGGTGGTAACGGAAATTCCAAATTGTTGCTGGTGTAACAGCGCAGTGTACGGTAGGCCATATACAGCAAGAATTTGAAATTGCCCGTTATTATCGTGTCCTATGGCTCTTAGACTTCTGCCTTGCAATTCAATACTGATGATAGTACAAGTCAAATTTGAGGTTTGCTGGCAATCTGCTGGCATTGTAAATGACATCTGTTTGAAGTGAGTATGGTATTCAACACATAAAAGCTTCCTACCATCCCCCTTGAGATTTATTTTCGAGATCCCATATCACATCTCACAAATAATGCATCTCACCTTCCAAGTCGTCCTCGCCGTTGTCGCTGCTTTGACAGTGTCTATGGCTGTCAGTACTGTCACTGACCGTGATTGCTCAGTACCAGTTGGCAACGGTTGCAACTCAGCTGCGGATTGCTGCGCTAACCAGAAATGCGTGCTAACAACATACTATGAGGACGGAGAAGTGAGTATGAGTAGGTTCATCAAGGATTTATTGGCTCACCGACGTGGTAGCTTTATGATACGTATGTGTGTGAGAACTACTAGTGAAGTTGTTTGCAGAGCTCTAGAGCAGTTGAAAGGAACTGAATAAATTCAGAGCATTGAAGATTTTGAAGTGCTCGAGGGAAATGCTTTTGGTCGAACAAGGAATAGTACCAAAGGCTATTCTACTATAGATGAGGTTGGGGTGGTTAATTAGAATGGTGAGGCAACATTGATGTCATCAATGTTAGGAATGTCGTACGCATGGTTTACACTAGCACTGAGATCGGAAGAGCTGCAGTGAGTCGTGTTTCTGCTTCCTCATTGGTGGGACCACATGTAAGTAGGTCATTGCACTATGCAACTTGAAAGTGCTTAGCACTTACTTCACAAATTTCACGTCGGCAATCTGCTGGCATAGCAAATGTCATCTGCTACAAGTTCTGCGCAGAATAGTTTCAGGACATACAAGCTCCCCGTCTTCCTACTGATTTATTTTCGAGATCACATAGGAAGGAGAGACTCTGTATTTGTGATGTGATATCACAAATGCAAAGTCTCTCATTCCGAGTCGTCCTCGCCGTTATCATTGTAGCTTTGACAGTGGATTCCATTTGGCATGTGGCAACTTTTGCAACCCAAAGGCACACTCAGATTGCTGCCATGGCTAGTATGAATGTGTGCCAGTGGAGCACCTGGAGTTTGGTGTTGTGAGTATGAGTGGTTTCATCCGAGTGTCCTGATTCCAGGATTTGTTGACTCACCAACGTGGTAGTCTTACTCCATATATATGTTAGTAGATATATGTCACAGTGCAGCGCTAGTTGTATTCTTGAATGCCACGACGAAACCAATGGCCCTTGCTGCAGCGCTAAAAAACTTCGAAGTTTGTTCAAGCGAAAGGTTAATTTAACTACCCAAACAACCCCACATACCGCGAACCACTCTCATCGGGCCATCTCGCCCCAATCTCATATGTCAACATTATACAAGCCATATGTTCCCAACACAAATGTTACGACTCGAACTTCAACTCCGGTCACGGAGTTCGACATCCTGAAGGCCTCGCACAAGTAAGAAGCGCCCGCATTTCCAGTCTACCTCTTTCATATCTTCTTGAAGGTTCCTACGAGATGGCGCAGACGATGAGGCCAGTACATCATGGAACGATCAGCTAGCGCAGAAGTACTACGACAGTCTCTACCGCGAATTCGCGATTTGTGATCTCAAGCATTACAAGTCAGGAAACGTATGTCTCTCGCCTCTCTACGTGTGTTCTGTCACGGTGGCTGATCATCGACCGTCTAGTTCACTCTTCGCTGGCGCACAGAAACAGAAGTTCTCTCTGGAACGGGCGAGACGACATGCGCCAACACTCGATGTCCCGAACACACCGCATCTTCTACTTCACTTACGACTCTCGAGCTACCATTTACATATGAAGAACACGGTCAAAAGAAAGAAGCCCTCGTGAAAGTCGTTCTGTGTTCGAAATGCGTTCGCAAGATCATGTGGAAGAGGAAACACGAAAAGAGAAGGGAAGACCAGGGTGTAGAGGCTAAGACGGGCGAAAGTGATAAAGTTGAGATGCATGAGGATAGAAGAGCTCCAAAGTCCAGAAGCCGCTCGAAGGATGTTGAGCGTCATGACATCGATGATGAGCGGTATCGCACCCGACGAAGACGAAGCTCACGTTCGCAGTCTCCGCGAGCTCACAAACGGAATCGGTGCGCTTCACCAACCCTATTACAAACGAGGAATAGTGGTAGCTAACCCTAGTCCTACTTGCTACATACCAAGATCTCAGAAGTCTCGTGCTTCTCAGGATGTACATTAGATTGCGTTGTGTAGCATGCAGGTGCACTCAAATGTGTACGTCTTCACCCCTACTCAAGCTAGCTTGGCTCATTCACTGCGAAGTCTTGCTCGCATACCTTTCTCAGGTCCAGTGGGACTTGAGTTGTCACGTTATCCCCGGCTGGTGGACGTATGACCGGAACTTGTAGCCCGTTCATCTTCCAGTAGATCTCCTTGACGTATCCATTTCTATCTGTCGATGCAGGCAGTGCGAAATGTATTCGTGGGACGAGGGTCGTGAGGACTTGTTCTGTAATAACTTAGCTCATATCTGCATACGGAATGGAGAAGAAAGCGCACTGATTTCCATCTCTGCAAACTTAAAGCCGCTACATCAATGATATCAATGGCTATGCATGCATTACAAAATAACACATCACGTACATGCATGCACGGCCGCCTCCGAGGAACTGTCATCCTGCGTTGACCACAGCTTTCAGCTCTTCGGTAATGCCGCAGGTTTATGTCACTTACATCAAACCATACACGCCAGGATATTTGACCCCGTTCTTGACCCCAAGACTTACACCGCTCGTGGAGTTACTTTCACCATCTCCAAGGTGAAGGCGCTCGCCGGAAGGTGATAACCATCGTTCCGGACGCCATTCCGAGGCGTCCTCGCCCCAGATCTCCTTGTTGTGATTCGAAGCCAGGATAGAAATTATAAGCGTCGTATTTTCTGGAACGTGGACGGAAGAAATCATTTCGCCAGACGCAGACCTGATTGGCTGGTGTAATGGAAGCACGGAAGCCTGACGAGCACTAAAATGCAGCCGAAAATTTTGTTCGGTGAGTGTTTCAGGCTGATGCTGGCAAGATAAACTTACGTTCGGCTGAGAAGAGAAGTCGGTGGATACACTCGAAGTGTTTCACGAACTATGGCATCTAGATAAGGCAGCCCCATAAGCGTGTCGTAGGGTAATTCTACGTCTTCCCATGGGCTGGACAGGCCCTGCGCATCCGCATAGTCTCGTTTAGCCTTGCGGATTGCGCTTCGTAGTCGTGCCTGAACGTCCTGCTTTTCGGCCAGGATCCAAAGAATGCGGCATATGGCAGAGGTGGTCGTTTCAAAGCCCGCAAAGATGATCGTGCTAAAAGGGTACTTGAGTTTAGGATTCACGCTGGCAGTGTATGTAAATAACGCCCACTTCATTTGACCCAGCAATTCCGAGTCAGTCAATCGATCGTCGTTGGAAGAAGATGCATTGGCTCGCACTGGTAGTAGTCGTTTCATTAGTAGAACGTTTACGTGTGTGAAAAGAAGACTGACGCATGATACTCATGATATCTTTACCTTGTATGCGATTCCCTGCGATTCCGACGAAGCCTTCATTCTCTAAAGCTGCTCTCTTCTCATTGAAAATCTTCTTGCTGGCAGTGTCCATCACGTTTACTACATGACGAACGTTTTTTAATGCGTCACTCGGCATCCAATCCATCATCTTGTTTCTCCAATACAAGGAAAACCTTCGCACAATCATTGGAATAAAGGGGCGAAGGAAAATCAATCGAAGTGTGGATGGTCTGTCAGGATTCATTTCAGAAGTGTTTGCGGGAACAAACAAATTACGCACGCAAGTGTCCTGATGGCTTCCATGTATTCGTTTTCTTTTGTTGGGTCAAGAGCATTGAATGAGTGTCCGAGCGCTGCTTGACATATGTATTCCAGTGCCCCTCTCGACAACCACGGAAGTAAGTTAACCTCCACAACCGCTACAAATAAGTAGGTGAACAAACGAAATTCGAATTAAATTCATGCAACTTACAACCATCAGCTGGAATTTTTGCATTCAAGATGGTGCGTAGTTGATCAGCGATAGGCTGAATTACAGGAAGTAGATCACGCATATTTGCGAGAGAAAATACTGGATTTAGCATCTTGCGCTGCTTCCTGTGCTGTTCGCCTTTCAAATAGAATGACATACACACGCTTCGTTAAATAAGTCTTCTGTATGCTCACCAAGAGTAGCGATAAGGCCTTCTCCAAAGATGAGTCGGTTGCCCCTATCACGCGGGATTATCAGCTGCTTCTGCAGAAGCACTTGCCAAACTCACATGATGAACATATCGGTCTCCTCGTAAACATTTTGCTCTTTCACGATGATGTGATGCAAAGCAAGTGGATCTGATATGTACAGTTGCTCTTGCTAGATAGTCTTGAGTTAAGTGGAGATAACACATCTAAAATGAGGACCCTGACCCCAAGAAGGGCATAAATCTTGACTGCCCCGCCGTATCGCTGCACCAAATCAAGGTTATACCGCAAACCATCTTGGAATATACGGTGATAATTGCCTGACACGTATTAAGATTAATACGTGGTATTGCCATAGAAGCGCATCTACCTTTGAGCCAGTGCTCTTTCTTTGGTCCGAGGATGTGAGCGAGAGGAGACTTTGGAGCACGAAGACGTTTAATGAGCCTCCATATAATGAAGACTGAAGATGCTCGACCCGCAGACTCTCAGAAGAGCCATGAGTGGACGAAGGAGGATTAAGGCCATCCACCAAAAATGGCTCAGCAATGGCCATCACACGCTGATGACATCAATTTAACAATGTGAGAAGAGGATTGGCGCCTGCACTGCAATTGACCGACATGAGCCCGTTGTGAGTCTCCCGCGATTCACAATAACATTATGGTTCAGCAAACTATGAGAGGTCTGTCTCTACGACTAAATATTAGTGTTTCGTTGAGCCTGAGTCAGACTTACCTGGCAAGCCGCGGAGTTTGAATGGAGGTAAGAAGGTTCAAGGCAGCATGCTGCATGAACGTTTATAGCCTCGCAAAGCTCCTTCTTAACCTTATACAGTAACTGCTTGCTTCAGTTTTGACCCATATTAATAGTTCGGTGTGTAGGTTTTACCCGGTAGCCCGCATCTCACGAGGTTCTCGGTTTGATCATCAGAATGAAAAACAAACATTCTTTCCGTGCACTCAGGCTGCTGCGCACCCCCTTCGTTGACCACCGCCAGCATCATCATACCAACGCAAAACCTGTTCATCGCTATCAGGGCCGTTCTATGCAATGTCAACGTCTCCAACTGATTTAGCAGCTTTGATTGGCTTTGGTTGTGAAGCAGTCTTGTATGGTGAGACTCCACAGGTTCCGACATACGCTCAAGCGCTCACGTACAACTACAGGCAGTTACTGCATTCTTTTCATCATCTCTTGGATAGTCTTGGGTCAAAACCGACGTTCGCCAAACCTTAGTAGCCCTGTTGTTTTTGCCAATTGTTTGCTCTTTTTCTGCTGCACTGCGCATTTTGCTCTCGAATTCAATCATTATTATACAACTCTTGTGGGTTTCCCTATCAAATCGTTAGAAAATACATATTCTCATACCAATTTTCTGGATAGGAGTCAACAGGAGTCCAATGGTTTTTCCGCGGAGACTCCTGGTCTTATGGGTGCAGATTTCCTTATCTCGTTCACAGATCTCGTCGGTGACCTGGTTCTTGTCTACCGCTGCTGGATGCTTTGGGGTCAGAACTACTATGTAGTCATACTTCCTCTTCTTTCTGCCTTCGGTGGCTTCGGTACGTCGTCCCACTTCGAGTAATCAACCAGTCAGTGACCAATTCGAATAGCTTGTATAATGGAGGTACTCCACCTCGTCATTGTCACCGATCCCACCGCGCCTGCCCCTCCGGCCGCCATAGTGCCGCTAGGGCTCGCAGGGTACATCCTGCCCCTTGCCACCAATATCATCGTCACCACTCTCATAGTTTACCGCATCTGGATGTCCTCCCGTATTGTGAAGGAATCACCTGTGGTCATCGGCCAAGGCGCCTCCTATCGCGCGATGATGCTTATCATCGAAAGTGGTGCCCTCTATCTTTTCATACAATTCGTGTTCGTCGTACTCTTCTCGATGCAACACCCCGCACAAGGCATCGTAGCGGTGATTGCCACCCAAATATACGTGAGTAGGACCCAAATCTGTACTTTTCTAATTTCCGCTCATTGCTTACTTACACACTTCCATTATAGGGTATCGCACCTACCCTCATTATTATTCGGGTTGGTTTGGGAGTTTCATCAGAGCATACCACCAAGGCAATGACGTCCACTCGTATTGATTGGATCGCGCGCCGTGGGGGCGACACGGGCACTTCGGGTACCCAGTTCACTGTTGAAAACAGCATGGCCGAAACCGATATGGATATTCGGATGAAAGACTTCGATCTCGCCCACATGAAGGGACACGACGAGATCGAGATTGCAGAGGTCGACATGGCGCCTACTAGCAATTACGAGAGTGCTTCGCCTGTATAACCCCTTGGTATATGTACCGAAAACGTCTTGAAGCTTGTTGTAGTGGTGTAGTTGTGTATTTGTACATATAATTACGAGGAATCTTTGACGTATCTAGATAGTAGCTATTAGAAATATCAATTTGGCATTACAAGAAGCATCGCACATATGACACCCACCCCTTATTCGAACGGTGTGCTTGGGTTTTCTAGCATGAACTGTCGCAGTACCGTCCAATCCCTACACCTGTGAACCGAACCCACCCCGTTCGCAGTGTGATACAACTTCCCATCCTCCGGGGATATCTGCGGAATATCCACTTCCAGCGTGGTATCAGCATGACACAGCAACGCCTGCCGCAAATATCGCAAGCAGTGCTGAATATGCTCTGCAGCATGCGTGCGATTCACGACATAGCCAACGCGGATGATGTCTAAGCAGTGAAATTGATGGTAGAGGGAGACTAGGAATGTGCGGTTGGTCGGGCCTAGACCGACAAACCCGTCCGAGGGGAAAAGCGTGCCCCAGTCATCATCATTGTATAATGAAAAGTGGCCTTCGCCGCTCTCGAGTTCGAGACCGACAGATGGTAGTTCCAGCGGTAGCTGGGAGGGGTGGTCGTCACCGACATACGCTGTGAACGAGATGGTCAGGTCAATTTCACGCCTAAAATGGTAAAAGCACACAGTTGACGTACTGTGAACGTGAGGAGTTGGGGGGAGGAGCTCATTGAGAACAGAAACACTGTGTAATGTAAACATCACATTGACTATCGTGACCAGCACGAGAACGGAGATGCAAGCGAAGACGACATTAGAGGGGTCCCGTAAAGACCACCTCGATACTGGAGAGGTATGTTGAAGACGTCGCGGGTAAGACATTATGACTTTAGATGGTAGAAACAGTTAATATGCAACAGGCTTCTGTGAATTGATGATACACATATAGCCGCGTCGTGCGGTGCCGAGAATGAACTGCTATATGTGACGGACAGTGTTATCGCGAATTCCCAGATGAGGGGACTGATCCGGCGAAGTACCTGTATAGTGTGGAGCAGTGCCATAATGATACTGTGCACAAGAGTCAACCGCATTTCAACTCCCATGATATCGATAAAGGTTCGCCAGATAAAGCAAAGTATTCCAAGTTAAGATCAAATCTCACCCAATTGTCCTGATAAGTGGCCAAGCAGAGCCCAAGTGACTAAATTTCCGTGTGAAATGAATGCAGTAATCTCTGCTGCGATATGCTGTGCTCCGACACGTTTAGTTAAACTGGCGCGGTAATCAATCATGGTGACTCCCAGGAAGGCACGACATCAGATGGCGCGATGGCAGTATGTCGGCGCACTTATTGTAAGCTGTGAGTAACAATGAACTTTTTTAATACAAGGTTTTGGGGTAAAACGTGATACAGACCGTCATCGAACTTCTCAGCCGCATAAATACCCCGTCCATTTCATTAATCATTCAGTCCTAAAACTGTCACTTGACGAGCACTAGGTAAGCCCAAGAAATACAACACATATCTGCTGACTGACAGACGGTACACACGATTGTCACAGCAGTACAATTGTAACATAACACTCAACCAGATGAACAACAAAGAATATACCCTGCTTGCGCAAAGAACTGAAGAAGAGGAGCAAGAGGAGCAAAGTAAAGTCCCGCTTGAAGCGGATGGAACGTGCACCCCAAGCACAAAACGCTTCACCTCACCGTGGTGCATCGGTATTGCCTTGGTTGCATTCCTTGCGATCAACGGGCTTTGTCTGATGATTATGACCAACCGGCTCAGAGCTGTATCAACGACACTGGAACCACTGCTCGACTTCACGGATACCCGGCATCTGCCCCGCCCCGATCAATACGATGGGCTGTGACCAATTTTCATAATACATGGGTCTAGATGTGGAATAAAGGAGTAGACTCTCACAGGGCCGCCTTTGGGAGTGGGATGAATACCAGAGAATCTATTTAGTGCACAATGAAACAATATAAATATTACCCAGTGATTGGTTCGATTACCTGTAGTACGGGACCTTCCAGTGTGAAAGATAACGAGGCTTGTTTTGGACCATTCCAGACATTATGGTCCTGTGGTACCATGAGGGACTGTCTCAGAACACCTGTCGAAGCAGTTGAGCTTCCGATACATCGAGCGCGCTTCCCGCGCGCTGGCACCGCTTCATCATCGAAGCGCAGCTAATATGGAGCTTGGAGCAGATGTACGAAGACCCTCAGAAGAAGTCCTCAACGGCAACCGAGCCCAATTTCTCAAGGCTACAAAGGCCCCACGCCCACGAGTCATGAGTTCTGCTATAAGATCAGCTTGGTTGTAGAAGAAGTTTTTTCCATCAAGATCGTAGGCCATACCTCTCGCAACCGTCATCATGATGTACTCCAGCATTCTCTCTCTGATCTGCACTGCATGGATACTTCTTATTCCGTGTGCTGCCAGTGTTATTGTTAGTGACACAGGTTAGTACCGTGTCTTGGCTCAGATGAATATCAATAACCTGTATAATGAACTTGCCCCTGATATAGAAGGTGAAGATCTCCGAATATCTCTTGCAGCTATATGTGAACGTTGCATTAGTGGCGTCAGGAGCGCTATGGGCGCCATACATCCACGACAAGATTGTTCCAAATAAAGGTAAGAAGTCATCGCTCATCGCTCACTGCTTGGACTGACCACTCACAGTTCGAGCCGTTCTAAATGCGGCAGAGGCTCGATCGACGCCAGTCGATAGCGCCTTGCGGCAACTAAATGTCCATGAGAAAGCATCGCCCAGCCGAGGTAAACACGATCGCTTAACTCGTCTTTAAAGCAGACTACCATTTCTGCTTTACCACAGCTCGTGCAGTAGATCGCAGGGCGAACGAACCGCGAGAGACATTCGCTGGAAATATCTGGCAACCTACCACTCATGCAGGCGTAGCCGCAAGGCAACGTGAGTCAGTGTAGTTAGTTGGTTGACCAGTGCTCAAAGACGCTTAGCGGTTGTTAAACGTGCCGAAGGACCTGTTGGAGGGTTTTTATTTCAGGACGCCGTTCACGACAAGATTGCCGATTCTTGACACAGTAGTGATCGAGTAGAGTCTCGCGTGCGCTGCACGATAGGCAATGAAAGAAGCATTTATTCAAGGAGGGCACTGAATCGAGGGATTGAAAAGCATTGATTAAACATTCCCATACCTGGTTTTCGTAGAAAATTTGTTAAACGAGGATGGCATTCGACTAACGAGATCCAATCACTTACATTTCTACGCAAGACCCCGTATTGCCCAAAATACGGACTGTCGCCGTCAATGCGTCCGGAATAAATTAAGTACACAAGAATGGCGGGCTGAAGTGTAAAAAAATTAACGACGACGTTGATCATAATCCCTCGACTGCTGATATTTATTCTAGCGCACAAGGTTCGAGGCGACCTCCATCTGTACAGGGGAAACGACCTGAATGTGAACCGCGTCATCCCGCAACTACGGTTTGGCCTCGTTAAATTATCGCTAAATCCATAATTAAGGACACCTACCCATGTTAAAGTAAGTCGATCATCTTCCAAGAATAACCTGGCAAAGCAGTGAGGCGAAAATTGAGTACGACAGATGGTGGAAATGTAAGGACGATATGAGATGATGGGTCCATGGGAATGATCAGAAGGCTTGCATATAAAGCGGGTTGGTAAGTTGGGGTCGTAAATGTTTTCCGCGCGAGCGATGACTCGCTGATTGAAGTCCAAGATGTGCACGTAGAAACAAGTGTCAGTGCAGAGTCCTTTAGGGGTGGAAAGAGGCAAAGGCCGAAGAAGAGCATAGCGAGGAAGAGCACAGGCTATTTTGCTACCAAACACACTGATTTGGCAGCTTGGATGATGCCGGAAGCAGCACGTATACTGGGGTCCCCACTCCGACCAGGGAACTTCGACAGGCGTCTCTGAGTGCAAGACTTTTCCTGAGAAGATGACCATATCGATGACTAGAATCACGGGGCATGCGTTTGTGAGAGTCTCTAAAACAATGATTTGTGACTCCAGAGAGGGCACGTAGCCGGGCTCAAGGTCTGGACAAGCTGTTGCACCTTGGAACGGGGTGGCATGGAATAGGTAGAACGGCGCACGCACAGATTCCTGAAGGCGATACATGACTCGGCGCTGTGGTGAACCATGTTCTTGTAATGTGTACAACGTTATAACACCCTGAGTGTCGATGACAACAAACTTCTGTTCATCAACTAGATGGAAACCCGCAACATCTTCACGTAAAGGATACTGCTTATGCTGAGCAGCAGGGTTTCAAAAATAGAGTGAACTTACACTCTTCGCATGCCCCTTCCTCCAATCAATCACTTGTATGAACTCGTTGGACCCCAATATGCCCGATGTGCAATAGAGAACAACTATACGATCCCCACAGATTACAGGCTCTTGCGTAAAAGTGACACGGTAATGGCCAGATTCCTCAAAAGAATGTTGGCACTTCAAGGAAGCGTCTACAGAATCTGGATGTGGAAGCAGGGATGAAGCTAACCGAAACTCCACCGAAAAAATGTGGCGATTTTGCTCGGCACCAGTTACGATGCATATAGCAGGCAAGGGAACTACGACCACAAGATCCTGAATAGGATCGAAGACAACTGATCTCACCGATCTCGGCAACCGATCCTGGGATAACCGCTCGTATCTGGGGAACGAACGAGAGAGTTTGATATTTGTGTTGCAGTCCCGAATGAAGAGATTGCCATTGTCCCACATCCACCAAATCCCGCATTTCATGTATTGTATTCCTGCAGTGTAGGTGCTGACAGGGGACACCGCATGTTCGAAAACAGTACTGGCGTGGAAAACAGATCGCCATAAGGTTACCAATTTCTTGAGTGAGGACATCCTTCTGTCAACACCGATCGAGTTTAGAGTTCTTGTTTCTGTGAAGCCCTGAGCATACAGCTCAAGCTTGTATTGGACGTGGATAGAATCCTGGGCTGCATTCCGTACGGTTTTGCATGTCTAGCATTAAACGGAAGTTAGCATCGGATCAACATGTAATCACGGAAAGAGCAGACCATTGCACAGCGACAAAGGTCCCTTGGAGCAAGGAGGAATAGAATATGACATATCAACTCTGCCGGAAGCGACAAAAACCCAATTGCAACCGTCATCGTCGTGAGCGCTGTTTCAAGATCAACAAACGATGTTGAAACGATGCGATGAATCTTTGAAGCAGTACCGTGACTTTGTGCCAACTCGAAATAGCCGCCAAATTTTGCAGTCCGTTAGAGACTCCGCCGGTTCAGGACGTCCGCCAGGTATTGGACCGCATGCACTAAAATTAGAAAGTACAAAGTACTATTCTCCACGATCCATTGACAACTGGCAGCACTGGCTGGTGCCCAATTGTAGGACTGCAGCTTTCTGCAAATATGGCTTCTTTGGGCCTTCCGTTCTTGATATTCACAATCATCCCAACAATTCAACTGACTAGTCACGGTAAACCTAAACATCAACACTGGTTTCGTGCTCATGGTGACTCGGAGCAGGCTGGACACAGCCTGAGGATGCTGGCAGTGTATCACACCTTAATCTCGACTACTCTTGGGGCGGGGGGCTTCATATCTGACTATCAGATGGTATCATTATTAATGTCGTCACCCTCTGGCGACACCGCTCGGTCATTTAGCCCCTTTCGCCACCTGAGGCTGCTATGTCAGGGCATCGAGGAACGCAGATTCAGCACCGGCCAGGATCTCGCCGCTTGCGCGCGGCTTGTCATACCCTGACTACCGCGTTCCATCAGGTCCTAGTCAGAGCGCTGAGTCTTCACACCGATGTCCTGAGTGCTATTTCTGCTAGCCAGGTCTCGGTCCCGTGCGGTATCTACCAAATTAATTATGCAAAGTCAGTGGCTGATGCTGCCGGATTGCCTCGTTCTTTCTTGAAACGGGAATATCAACGCCTCTCGGAACAGATATAGTTCACAACTCACTGCCTGCCCCGCTCATAAGTGATCATTGCTCCGGCATGAACAGTGCTTCCACCGTGGAATAGACCTGATGTGACTCGTACTGGTTGTCAACGGGGTCTTTCGCACTGCGTGCGCTTGCCAAGCAGCAAAGTCATTCGTATAAATGGTTTAGAGACTTCGAGCATTCAGATTTTCATAGTCCTTTAATCCCAACATCATCCACATAAACACATCCCTTTAGCCTTATCTCGTTATTAATATGTTGACTTCTTTAACTCGCTTCACAGTCGCTCTTGCTCTCACTTCATCTGTTCTTGGTGCTGCTATTCCAGTAGCGACAGTGACCACTGATACCACCGCGACTGCTACTTCCTCTGCTGCTAGTAGTGAGGTCACTGCCGCTGGTGCTCTGTGGAAGAACAACGTTCATGACAAGATCTCTGAACCACCTGCAGTAACAGCAATTGCAGAAGGTGATCTCTCAACCACGTCGAGTCGGGATCTTTTACTGACAGTCTCACCAGGCAGACTTGCTCCTTCCCGGCGGTCCGGAAACCTCTGGAGGGGGAGGGAACACGAAGAGGTCGCGCGTGATGGCTTGGCACCCTCTCGCCGATCCGGTGAACTCTGGGAGGGGATCGAGCACCAAGAGGTCGCACGAGACGGAGGAGCACCCTCTCGCAGATCTGGCGAGCTCTGGCGTGGACTTGAGCATGAAGAGGTAGCACGAGACGGAGGAGCACCCTCTCGCAGATCTGGCGAGCTCTGGCGCGGACTTGAACATGAAGAGGTAGCACAAGACGGAGGAGCACCCTCTCGTAGATCTGGCGAGCTCTGGCGCGGACTTGAGCATGAAGAGGTAGCACGAGACGGAGGAGCACCCTCTCGCAGATCTGGCGAGCTCTGGCGCGGCCTTGAACATGAAGAGGTTTCCACTTCTCCTGATGCTTGAGGTCAGTTCCTGTATGTGCCTCACACCTAGTTTTGGTCCCTGATGCACCACATCCAGTTATATTGCGTCATCCGGAAATCGGTGCTTTATTAATATCAACCATGAGCGCTGAGTGAGGATCTCCGCGCTCTGGCCGTGTACGCGGGCATACACAGCAAAGTCGGCCAGTTCCACGCGGGCATTAATATCACATACCTTCATATAATTGTTTTTGGCCGATCACCACTTTATCACCATATACTTATCTATACTTATCTATCCTACAGCAGCCCACAGCAATCGCTGAGAGCGAACCCCACAACTTATACTCCGCTACTTTATTATTTCGATGGTTACTTATTTTATATCGGTAAGTTATTCGTAACGTGTATGTATCTGTAGTACGAGTTAAAATTTATATCTGTCCCGCTTGTTATATCTTATAACGATTAACGAGAATGAGTGAATCGGACCGGATATACTTGATGTTGAAAACATAAACTGGCAGGGGTTTACGTAGAATCAGCGGAGCGCTGGCGGATGAATTTTTTTTTTTAAATCAAGATTTTTGTCTTTGAGAGATTTACTCTATGTAAGACAATACTGTCTAGTCTTGGGGGCCCCTGTGCCCCCCCTGCGCCTCTAGATTCATGAATGCCCCGATGTGAGGCGTGCCTCCATCGGTCCGCCGTTCCCGCCGCGCGTTTTAGACATGCAATCTAACGAAGGAGAGGTGACTTTGATATAAACGTGCGATGTTGTATCTGTATATGTAAGGATCTTCTGAACGCGTTCTCGGCTGCATAGCGACTAGTATAGGAATCTAGTTGGATGCAAATTTTATGGTAAAGAGGAGAAGGTCCTGGTGGTGCCGGAGGATCTTGTTCTTCGAAATTTGACTGATTCCAATGGAGGACGTGATTCCGTATAGGCGAGTGGTTATGGTTATGGTTGGTGTAGAATTATAGAGTTGAATTTATTGATTATTTTGAGGGTATAGGTAGTTTAGTTGATGGTGGCGTGCATAGATGACGAGGGGGGGAGTCTACGATTCTGTCAGATCGAGCGTTTCGGCAGGCGGATGAATTATTGACCGTTCTCCTGTTAGCATCAGACGGTGTCTAGCGCATATGCAATGACGACGATGAAGACCCGTGTAATTTTCAGTGAATCACGTTGGAAGTACTCATGGATAGCATAACAGTACCACGTTTCCTTGCAGGGACACCATGATACTCAGCTAAGGCCCCCCGTACATCAAAGGGCTGACTTGGTGACGTCAATTGCCTTTTAGTAATGCCATTCCACCCCGCCAAAAAAAAAAAAAACTTACAGCTGCAGGTTGATGCATCATAGATATGAGAAAAACAACATGTAGTTTGTATCTAATACATTGCAACGTAATTTTTGATGAAGCCACTGAGCACGCCAGCTCGGCCTAAAATAAGCTCCAAGACCTCAATGGTCCACAGAAACATGGTACAAGATTGATTCCAAATTACAGTCGACCAGGATATGAAACTCATCACATCTAGTGAAATAGTAGCAACACTTCAAGCATCTACCATAAATCACCAATAAAAAAAGAAAGGAAAGAAACCCCAGCTCCGTGCGTGGAAGGACGTGTATAAGATAAAGATATTCGTATGATCACCAGGATAATTGTAAGTCAGCCGGCGGGGTATCTCCCGTCGTAAACGTGTGGGTATCAAGGCTATTACAGAGCTAATGCAAAAAGTGCCAAAAGTCCAGAACCAACAGAGGTCAAAGCGCTAAGAGGGCGGATGGACAAGGCGCCGGAGGGAGCAAGACCCGCGTTAGCAGCGCCAGCGGGAGAGTATGTAGTAGGCGTCGCCGTGGATTTAGCAGCTGTGGCAGGATTTGCGAGCCTGTCAACGCAGATGTTAGTTTAATGTATATTGATTGTCGGCATAAGAACTTACGGAGTGCCAGCTGGAGATGAGGTGGTCGGGGTAGTGCCGGTCAGGCATGATGTGTCACTGCTAGCTCCCACAGTCATCTGGTATCTGTGTTAAAGAAAATCCCTCATTGAACAAAAGACGCTTCGCTCACAGTTCCACTCCAAGCTTCATTGTCTTCGGAATCCTGGATAAAGAACACAACTGCAGTGCCACTAGCGAGAGCGACGTCCCACTGATATGAAAGACCGGTTTGTTGACCAAGATCGAGACTGCACACCAAGAACGTAAGATCACATGAGCCAGAAGAGGTTCAAATAAACACACAGAGCCTCGCCACAGAGGTCATCTGCGGGAACTACAAGAAGGTCGTATGGAGGGCTTGACGCCGTCCAATTGATTTGAACGCTTCCACACTGATTTGACGCAAGTAAGTAAGCACCCTAACTTATGGTCAGATGCATTACCTGGGTGAGGCTGGGGGTGTCGATGGTAAGATTAGCAAATACGCCTTGGATGGCAAGTGCGACAAAGAGAGTGACTGAAAAGAGTGTAGCGAACATGTTGTGATTTCGCGGGTTGTGTCGTTTGCAAGGAGGGTCGGGGTATACGCGGACGGGGAAGCCAGTAGGACACGGTGAAAGCAGAAGGAGACGACAAAGGGGATTTCGGATGACCTCGAACAAACAACCAATAACATTTAGAACCCCGCTGCATAGTGCATTCACCACGGCCCGGGTTGTCATTGTCAAACTGACTCTTTGAAACATTAATACTTGACACAATATGCAAGTGCTTTAAAAATATAGACAAGCCAGGTGTACGAGGACTCTGCAGGACGCCCTGCTGCCGTCGGTGAATAGCTGTTCGATATTGAGCTGTGTAGTCTATAATATCAAACCTTGAGGGTCCCGAATCATTCTTTGAACAGAAATTAGGCTATCACTCCAAGATAAAAACACAAACAAAGATTTAACTGGCATAAGCGTTGACTCTACATTTGGGCCTCTCCTCTTTAATGTACTCTCACCATCATGGAAAATTATGCTGTTGTGTCACAAGCTTTTATGGAAATCACAATATTCAGCAGCATTCAGCTGTGGGCGGCTCAAGCGCCCGGGCGTTTGGTGAGTCCAATCTTGGTTATAAAAAGAACAATCAATAATTAAACCATCTCCATGAATCAAACATGTGCACATGTACTACATGTAAGTTAAATAATCAATTCACTCATGGTCGTCAAAACTGACGTTAGAAATGGGCTATCGGGCTTGAATGGAGAGCGCATGAATTACATGGAGACTCAGAGAATTAGCCCGTCCCCCAAGAGTTTCCACAATAGCTCCATGTTGTCTTGTCCCTTTCGTGGGCGACTTTGTGGGTCCTGGCTGGAACTTCTATTTCCTTGCCTACCGATATCGTTATTATTCTGCAGTCCTGTGAGGACGCCTTAACGTTGAACAACAACTAAACTAGCATTCATTGCGGGTCCCTGGAGGAATAGAAATATGCGACCTGTTGGAAGTATGCTTTAGTATCTATCCATTCTACAAACCCGTCCCAAGACTTCACCAAAGTTCATCCTACCAGATCCGCAGCATGCCTTTCCGCTGGCCACATAATCCACCCCCACAGAAAGTCATCAAAGAAATCGAAGAGATTCTGACAGATGCTCTCACAATCCTGTCCTATAACGCCGACCTGATTGCTGACGAAGAACAAAATTCGTTCAGCGAGGAGTTCAGCAGGTGCCGTGCATATATTGTATCGTCTCGTATATCACCTTCTCAATTCTGAAAGGCTCATAAATGTTCGTGTCGAGTTGAAAAAGCGCACGGCGTACCACAGATTGACCGAAGTACGAGATGAATGCAAGCTTTTAAAACAACGCCTCAAAGTTTGGCTTCTTCTGCTTTGAGTGACAAGTAATTGATGGCATCCAATAGCAAGCATGCAAGACGCACCGGGAAGAAAACTTCAGGATGGGATTTCTTGCAACTGCCGCAGGTACTTGAGATCACAGCTGTTTTTCAATGATGGTCAGAACTGACTCCTGCCACTGCAGTATATGAAGTGCCCGCAACAGGTACTGGAACTGGTACATCTCATGAGACTAACACCTGAGAGCCTTGTCTCGTTCGGCCTGCCTCATTTTGAGTTTCTCCTCAGGCAGGCTCTCTCTCGATTCCCGGAATGATTGATATGTTTTGCTCTGGACGAGTAGATAGCCCAATCTTTAGTGCATATATTAGCATCTCGAAGCGATACGATTACTTTTGTTATTGTGTCGTTTGTCTTGGATGACCTTCTGAAGCAAGATCTGGCAGCTGAGTTTGATCTCGACGGGTCTAGTCTGCCACTGGGGTCGAATCTAGTTTGGCTACGGAAATGCGGTACCACCTTCATGAGGTCATGGCGGTGGTTCTGCAGAATACCAAGCTGTGACACATTGACCACCCGACGGTGCTAGATTGTATTCCAGAAACCCAGACCAAAAGTTATCGCCGAAGGTCACGTCCAGGATATTTTAGAATCTTTGCGGGAAAGCTCGACATCGATGGCATTCAACGGTATACGATAGCAAATCTTGCACCCTTACTCAAAGTTTACTCCTGACCTTTCCAGCAGCCTCGGCCAATTTCCGCCTCTTCGTCATCCTGCCAAGTGAATCAGTATCCTGTCCCACCACCAAAGATCACACATACCCTGAATGCTCAATCACGCTCGGCTCCATGCCGACGCCAACTTGGAAAGTACCCGTGCGCTCCTCTTGAGGCACATAGTCACGTGTGGACGAGCCAAGGTAAAGTTGTCGAGGGCGCCAGATCTTGACTCCCGATGGAGAAAGCATCATCTACATATGGGCGACATTTAGTGATTCGGTGGAATGGTAGGCGAAGGGCATACGCACCTGTCGCCAATGTGCAACCCAGCCCACGACTCTGGGCACAACGAACAGGACTGGGAAGAAGTCCATCGGAAAGCCTACCCGTTACCGTGTTACACATTTTCCATCTTCGTACAATACTGACACTTACCCATTGCACGGTAGATCAGCCCACTGATAGATGAGATCTGGTTAGTTTATATCAATGATTGGACAAAGATAAATTTTACCTCCAGAAATCAACGTTCGGAGCTAACCTCCTCGATACGAAGTAATCATCCTTCAGTGCTGCATCATGCAGAGCCATCGCGGTATCAAGCAATGGATCACGGCCAGTCCTTGACCCCAATATCAGTCCCACAATCCCGCCACAATGATAAACGCTTACACAGCAAACACCTCATCAGCCACCTTGCGAATGATGAATGACCGCGGATCAGACTGCGGATTCTCAACAATCATCAGAACAGCAAACAGTGGGAGAACGACTACGCACAGTCTTGTATACTCTGTGGCCGAATCCACTTAGCACCTTTTGGCGCTTCTTGACTGCTTCTAAAAAGGCAGGGACGTTCTTGGGACTTAATAAAGATATGAGGAGATGACAAAAATAGTTGCTATAAAAACGGACCTGCCAATGGAAATAAGCATCCGGATAACAGCTTCGTTGGCACCTCCATGGAGTGGACCGCTGAGAGAGAAGTCCGTCAGCGTCGACAAGAAGCAGATGCCCACGAATGAACAAAAAACAGCAAAACACAAGTAGAAGTGCGTTAAAGGCAACTCCATCTTACAAAACCTCGGGAGGTAGAGTCGGTAGGACGCTGAACAATACTCACTACAGTGATGCACAGCCTGCCGCAACGGCGCTGAACGGATCAGGTAACGACGACCCAGTCTGAAGCACGGTCGTCGAACTCGCGTTCATTTCGTGGTCGGCATGGAGGATAAAAAGGATGTCAAGTGCCTTTGCAAGAACAGGATGTGGCTTGTTTGAGTGAAGCTCTGATAGATGATCTGTAGGTGAGAGATGGTCGAGCTGGTAGAGGAACCTTGTGCGTGAAGAGTTTGAGATACACCGATGCAAAACTAGTAAAATTGTGACTAACGACTCTGTATAGCTCATTCCTGTTGGAGGCACGACAAAATCGCGGCCTTGGCGGATACGGTATGCCATGCTACATATATAATTATCAGTGAACGAATGAGTGGGCAACTACTAGTACGCACGCAGCTAATGTGGTAGCTTTACCGATTAGCCTGAATATTTGCCTATCCATATTCTGGAGTGCAGCAGGATCACCCTTGGCGGCTTTGGTGAACAAATCTTGCCCTATAAAAGGTCACGAAAATGAGAAAATACTCCAGGTCTACCAACTCACCCTGCAGACTCGGATTTGCCTCCCCATAGTAGCTTCCCAAGTATGCAAAGGCACTTGTGAGCATTGACATGGGATGAGCATCGTATCTAAACGCGCGAAAGAATCCTTCTGCGTCAGAATGTATTGGCCCGTGGAGGAGGACCTCGCTAGTGAAGTGGGACAATTGGGACGCGCTAGGCAACGCGCCATATATGAGGAGGTAAGAAACCTCAAGGAAGCTGGAGCGTTCGGCGAGTTGTTCAATTGGATAACCTCTACAAAAATTAATGAGTGGTATAGTGACAGGAGGAGAATGCGTAGGTACCTGTACCGCAATACCCCATTGTCACCGTCAATATATGTTATATGACTCTCGATCACGGCTGTGTTGAGAAAACCTCTATCAGCGACACGTAAACCACGTTCTGTCTCGTCTTCAGGTCTGTCATTTGGACCCGCAGCAGCACGAATGCCCTTGAAGAAGTTTGCAGGAATCGAGTTGTGTGTGATCCTGCATGATGTCAATCGGAGTCGAAATTCTAAGGAAGAGGGACGCACGGGACAGTGTACTCCTTCCCAGTGCGGTTGTCGACGATTCTGAGGGACTCGTCTCGCTTGAGCTCAGATGCAGGAAATTGTTTGCCCATGTGAAGTTGCAAGGAGGATACACCTGGAGGCTACTTAGATGGGTGACACGGAACAACTAACCGGACGCGAGCAGCCTTGTTTTATTCGCATCCCGATTTCAGTTTGGTTCCTAGTTTTACCGGACCATCGACAGAGGCAGTCAATTTCACAAGCTTGCCACTCCGAGGTCACGCCGGTCACGGGACCGGGAACATGGACGTGAGATTTCATCTCTTCTCATAACACCAACATGTGGTCTGTTACATGTTAGCAAATGCTTCTGGGAAACATATGATGTGGACAGAATCATTGGCATTTAGACTTGGCAAATGTTTCACTTGAATGTTGCAATTGCGGTGCAGTCAAAGTTCAAATGTCTTGGAGTTGCACCGCTTGCTCCAAACTTGCTCACTGCGGCTGAGCGCTAGCGCTCAAGTTTGACTCCTATCTTACCCTGTTTTGCCTTCCGTCATCATGCCACTGAGAACTTACCCCGCATTCTGCTCCCTCAACCAGCCCGAACTGGAATTGCTGTCAATGCCGGTCCAGGCGCCTGCTGATCAAGCCATAAATTTATATCCTATATTTGACGAGATAGCTTGGCACGAGAGTCTCATGGTCACACTCCAACTTTTTAAACAATTTCTTAGTGGTGCAGCGCCGCACTACAGTAACACATTATCTCCACTGGCTGGAGATCTTCCGGCCATCACTCAGCAGAACATGTCTCCTAGGGAATCATCTACTCCGATTCGCAAAGCCTTTTCTCCTGCCAGTGGGGGATCATCTACCCCTGCCTCGCGAAACCAGTTTCTCCTGAGGGATCATATGCTCCAACTCATGAGCTGACTGGGCCAGTGCGATCGAAACGTGCTCAACCTCGCGTTGTTCATGCCTGTGATGAATGCCGCAATAAGAAAAAGAAAGTGAGGAGCAGCCATCACCCTCATTTTCGTACCTCTGACGACAAAGCACAGTGTTCCGGGGAGCAGCCACTGTGTCTGAGTTGCCAAAAGGCGGGAAGGGTATGCACCTGGACACCCATAAAAACATTGAAAACCCGCCCTTGTCTCAATTATGGTGTAGCCAAGTTGTGTCGACCACGATCTTATACAAGCGAGCGGGACTCCATGACTAGGCAGCTACACATCGCGGCCCCCAAACCAACGTATCCAATCAAGCTTAAGGATATGCAGGGCGCAGCTATTCTGGCGGCTGGCGTGCGGAATCCTCAAGCAGCGAGCTCACCTTTGGGGGTTGGGTTTCCTGCGCAGATAGTCACCCGTCGGACGCAGCGGGCTGTTGACTTCAACTGGAGTGACTTGGGTTCGTCCGACTTCAGTCAGGAGTGTATTCTGCTGCCTCCCTCCCATCCTCCATATTTTGGCAACGTCTTGTCTCCCGTCCATTCTCTCCACATGCACCAACGACTGCACAATGAAGATATCTACCGCCAGGCCCTTGCCGGACAGTGACACCTTGCAAGAGGACACATTCCTGTCAGACACGTACATCCTGTCCCTGCGTTTCATTTTAACCATCCTTGGGTGTTGACATGACATTGTTCATTTGCATGACTTTGGACTGCGGTATGGAGTCTGGACGCTATCGCTATTACTTACACGGACACTTCAGAGATGGATGCTACTAACTACACGGACGCTTTAGTGGTCTACGTTATAGATATCGATATTGGTACTTATTACACACACGCTTCTGCGATGGACTACGATATGATCATTCTTTCAGCTGTAGACTACATGCGCATGGACAGTGCAGCCATGGACACTTTGCTCGTGTATATGAAAGAATCCCAGAAATCGACCGATCTCACATTCTAAGTATGTTGTGTAGCTCACCTGAAGAAGCGGCAACAGGCGCACCGTTTGTTCATCCACTGGTTTGAGGGAATGGGTGCAGCATACGAACTGAGCCCGATCGAACCTACAGTTTGGCCATGCATGAATGATCGTGGTGTATTCGATTCGCAACTAAGAGTGCATGCCAAGGTAATCATTCGCGCAATTCTTCCGAAATGACAATGTCAGTTTGTCCTTGGGGGGCCATGAAACATTTGTACTGTACTACAACAACTTTTCTCTGTGTCTTTCAGATTTCAAGTCAACCTCCATCAGTACGGGTGAAACAACCTGAATATTAACGAAGCCAGCAGGTGACTATGATTTTGCCATGTTAAACCATCGCTATATCTCGAATCATAAAAAAACACCTACCCTTGTTAAAGTAAATCGATCTTGTTCCAAGAAAATCCTGTCAAAGTGATGCATCGAAAAAGCCTCGGCGCAGACAGAGGCAATGTAAGGACGGTTCGAGGTCAAATCTTCATCAAAGCACGACTGAGCAAGCCGACCAGGCTTGCAAATCACAACTTCTGGTGAATCTGGGCCGTGTATATTTTCTGAGCGAGCAATGAAACGCTTGTTGAAGTCCCAGATGTGTACGTAGAAGTGATCCTCGGAGGAGACTGCTTCCACCCTTTGACCAGGTTTGGGAGTACGATCTCAAGGAAGAGCATACGCCATTTTGCTACCGAACACGCTGATTTGGTGGCTCGGATGATGCGGAAAGCACCATGTATACTTGGATCCCCAGTCTGACCATGGAATTTCAACAGGAGTCTCTGATTGTATGGCTTTTTCTGAAAACATGGCCATATCAATGACCATTATTATGGGCCATGAGATAGGGAGAATTTCTAAAATCATGATTTGTGACTCTGGAGAGGGTACGTAGCTGGGCATCAGGTCCGGGTGAGCTACTGCACCGTGGAACGACGGGGAGGCATAAACAACATAGTATGGCAAGGTAGATGCTGATTCTGGAGATGAATCGAGGCTGGGTTTCAGAATCGGAAGGAGATACGTGATTCGACGCCTGAGGTGATCCATCAAGTCCTTGTAAGGTGTACAAGACTATATGACCTTTTGAGTTGATGATAACAATTGTGTGTTTGTCGATTAGATGTAAATTTGTATGCAATTGATCTCCTGGTTCACATAAAGCATGCTGCTTATGCTAAATGACAGAGTTTTCAAGAGTAGAGTAGACTTACTCTTTTAACATGTCCATTCCTCCAATCTATAACTTGTATGAACATATTGGACAGCCAGTGTTCCGTAAAGTGCGATGGTTCGTGCAATAGAGCACAATTATACGATCCCCACAGATTGCGGGCCTACCCACAATACGAACAAGATAGGTATTAAGTGCAGGAAATTCACAAGGATGTCTGCACTCCAACGAAGTGCACGCAGAGTCCGGATGTGGAAGCTGGGATGAAGCCAGCCAAAAGTCGACCCAAAAGACGAGGTGATCTTGCTGAGCATCGTCCAAACTAAACACAGGAGGCGATGAGACTGCGACTACAAGATCCTGCAGTGGGTCGAAGACGACTGAATGCATAACCAAGCCGTGTGGGTGTCTGGGTTGTTTGAACAAGTCATGTTCGGGCCACACGTGAGGGAGTTTGGTCTTTTCCTTGCAGTCTCGAATCAAAAGACTGTTCATTCTCCATACCCACAAAGTCCCCTGAAGTAACCACATCTTGGAAAACTGGTATTGACATGGAAACCGGACCGCCACAAGGATGCTAAGTTCTTGAGTGAACACATCTTTCTGGCAATGCTGATAGAGTCTGCACCCATGGAATCGGTCTCATGGAGGCCTTGGACATAAAGCTCAAGCTTGTATTGGATGTGGACCGAATTTTGAGCTGCACCCCTGGACAGTTTTGCAGGTCTAACATGATTCAGAAGTTAGCCCTCGCAAAAATACAGAACACAGGGGAAGAGCAGACAATTGCACAACGACAAAGGTCCTTGGGGGTAAGGAAGAGTAAGATGTGACATATCAGCTCTGTAGGAAGCGACGATAATCCAACCGCCATGGTGATGATTTTGAAGTAAGAAAAGGTCCTCAGCGAGTTAAAGCTGGCAAGTACTATCGATCACTGCGCCCAGTGAGGTTTTGAGCAGAGTTTAGTGTGACAGAGATTCGACTGACGTTTCAATGCCATCCATGCATAATTGCATATGGGTACTTACCAATCAAGCCTGGTACCCATTCTGAATATTAATTCCGGTCTCAAAGGTGGCTGTGCAATCAATGCTCGCGCAAGTTCTCTCGTTTCTCTCATCGTACATAATTGACCTCAATGGTCGGTATACTTTGAGCTGAATTAAGCTGTAAAAAACCATGATTGCTTCAAAAAATTACAATATACACGTGGTATCGTCAGCTTTCGCTGTACATGTCCTCGCTCCCGACCATTTACTCGTTCGCAGCCTGCTTCTTCTCTCGTGAAAGCCAGCCTATCGTCGTGACCAATCTCAGCAGGGACAAAGAGGAACCTAGAAAAACATCTTACCTCTCATTTTCTGATCATGAACCTTTTGCCGTTCACGATCCATCATTTTCTGACGCGCAAGCTCTGCGTCAGCCATGGATGCCTCTGGAAAGTAGTACATATTCGTTGGTCAACAAGATATCCCGAAAGAGAATTCGAAACACGACGCACCGTTGGGAGCGACCTTCTTGATCTCGTTGAGAGCCATCTCTGCTTTCTCAAAAAATCCAAGCTCTCCAAGAGCTTTTGCTTTTCGGAAAAGTGCTTTAGAATTAGCAGCGTTTTTGCTGAGAGCCTACAAAACTAAGCGAGTGAGATTTGTGTCGGAGAGCGACAAACCTTGTCAGCGGTGTCCACCGCCCGCTTCCAGTTCTGTTGTTTGATATGACAGGCGGACATATTTGCGTATACTTTCTCCAGAATCACATCTGCCTGTCGAGCAAAGATATCCTGTTACCTTCTATTGATCGACGGACCTCGGGATCGTACCTCAGTCGTTACGTCTTTTGCACCAGCAGCTTGATCTACTGCTGATATCGACGACGGAGATGATGGACTACCTATTCCAAGTGATTTAAGGGCGTTTCTGTAGGATTAAGGGCTCGTAAAGCATGGACATGAGCTATAGTGCAACCGTACTTATCGATGCCGTGAAGATACAGAAGCGTCTTCACGCAGTAGCTATGTCAGAGGTCGTCTGTACACCATACAAGTCCTTGGTCATATCCTCACCTCATGGTACGATCGCAATGCTGCACACGATATAAGGATCACTCAATTAACAACGCAAAGGATGCGCCACTCACCACTCTTGACATCTCCTACTTTGAACGCAGCATCACCAGTGTCTTTCTTCGAGCGTGCGGTGGCTAACTTTGACTCTACGGTGGACAATTCCGCTTGCGTAGGTACTTTGACGTTTGCATCGCGCAGGCTATCCTGTACGACACCAGGTGATGATACCGACTCGATGATCTCCGAGGCCTGGGCAGTTGAGCTAGAGGTGTCTGGATGTGACATCGTTGGGCAAATTAATGGTAGAATAGAGAAATTTAGGAGTAGTGATAGAAAGACTTAGGAATTTGGGAAATCAATGGGCAGTAGTACTGACTTTTGAGTCCCTATTAGCTCGGGTTCTGCCGAGTCCCGACAAGGTCAGACGTAAGTCACTCTCATGTAACTGACTCCCTCTTCACTCATGTAGTAACGGCGCCAGCGCCAGTCTTCGACTAGGGTGATCTTGTGTCCCTCGAATCGCAAACTTGTCTCTGTTCAGCTCAGTGGTTTCCTCCTGTGTGTCTTATACTAGCTCTTCACGGAAGCTAGTTCGCGCTTGATTTTGTTCTCACTATATGACCAGACTGTGTCACGTCCGGAATCGCATATCGTCTTTGGCGCGCGGACCGAGATGCAGCTATTACGACTGACCACCATGCCTACAAGGACTCTATGTTTACTTTCATCGAGTGCGGTGTGATATATACCAGAAGTATTTTGGTAATCTTGCACTAAATTCAACATGTTTCGTACTCACATGTGAGTAATCTAATAGGCTTCTAAGATTATGACTCGTAGACGACTTCTTTTTTTCTGTTCCAGTTTCTGTCCATTGGAGTGATGTACCATATGTTAAACAGTACTTTCTAGTCTAAAGGACCCCTACCTTTCCCATATCTTTGGACGTGCGAATGCCCCAGCGTGAGGGCGACTCCGCTTGTCTGCCGTTCCTGCTGGCCGTTCTAGACGTGCAGTCCATCGAAGATGTGACGGTTCTCTTAGTAACGTGATGTGCAAGTATTTGAATCGTGTTAAAACTGAAGCTCGTACTCGACCGCGTATGGTGCGCACATCAGGCTTGTCGCAAAGCACCCAGGTAGACTGAAAGCAACATGTACTTGAATATATTCGATTTGAATTCTACTCCTTCCGCTATTCAGTTCGAGCACTGAGGGACGCGAGACCTTCGAATCTAAGCTCATGGTTTCTGCTTGCCACACAGTATAAGTGCAGGCGGGCAACGAGTGATACAACAAGTCAATAATGATTGGTTTGCCCAGACCTATGTTTCCCTCGCATCTTCGGGTCACGAAATAAATTATTTAACAAATACGATGAAATTTGGAACGACAAACAAGTCCCTCAATCCCCCATCCCTACGGAGTACCTAACGAAGGTCAATCACATAGAGCATCTTCCTTGCTACATACTGCTGCTAGTTGACACACGCATGCGCTCCTGGAAAGTGAACGAAGTCATAGTGGTTCCTACATCGTCATTGGCGACAAGCTTAGCGTTATGTTTTCGAACGCCAAGGATAAGACAGTGGTCCCAGTAAAAACAATTGCGCGAGCAAGAAAAACCAAGATAAATCCGAGTTTTTAAGGAATATAGATTCCATAGACATAATGAACCATATTCACATGCAGAGGTCAGTGATAGATCGGCGTACCGCTGAGAGCGTTGGTGACAAATAACTGGTCTCGAAGTAAGAAACAGCCAAAACGCCAGCACGTGCAGGAAAAAGAGAACCATACTCACGTTATGGACAGACCCCGCAAAGTAACCTATATGACTTTTGATCAACACCGTGAAACAATCCCTGATAATCCCTCCTGCCGATAATCGTCGCAGGTCATGGGAATTCTTCACAACAATCCAAACTGCGAGACAAAGCGCAAGCATACCATCCTTAGATTAGAACGGAATTCAGAGTGAACACGGAGGATAGGATGGCTCGGATCATTGCGCCTGGCCGAGCAGTAGACTGTTTGTTCTTCGAATAGGTACTAGAGATTTGCCTTGAAGACACCAAGGCAAATCTCATCACAAGGTCAGCGAGGAGCTCTTCCGGGCACTGGTGGACGATCCGTACACAAGTTTAGAAGTTTCTAAGAAGTTGGTGGACACTAGAATCAGAGACTGGATATCAAACTTGCAAGGCCTAGCTACACCACGATTCACGAGAAATTCTACAAACGAGGGGCTTATTTGTCGGTATTTGGCTTGGTTAACAAACGTTTCAAGCTCGACGTTCACGACATCCCCCGCACAGTTCACCTTGTACCCGTCCAGTGGAAATTACACCAAAACAAACAGAAACGCGATGGCACTCCTCAGCACGATCGCTGGGTTCTCATTATTCGGTCTTGCAGCGCGTTTTGGGCAGCTCGCAATAAAGAAGAGAAATCTCATGGAGAGTGCGTACCCTCATTAACGTTCATTGTACCGTAGGTATAATATTGACATTGATGTTGTGAACAGACCTCGGCGGACACGCATTGTCAATGGGCGTTTTTGGTTATGCTGGTTATTGGGCATACCAGTGGGACGAACGTGCGGCGGTTATGCTTGCGCAGAAGCGTGCGGAGATTACTGAACGAAGAGAACGGAAGTTGGCGCAAGCTGCGTGATTTATCTAGATTTTGCGATGCGGAGGTGAGTTCGTTATTCGGGGTTCTTTTTTTGTTGTGATGGTGGGCTGAAATATGGCTTGAAGGTCATGCATAGCGTACGCGGGGATACCAGCCTCGTTAACGGAGTGTACTGTGTATATCAGGTATAAATTTCGACGCTACGCTGAACGTTGAACCTTCTGGTTATTGAGCAATATCATCCTCCACACCGGAATGACATTACGGAGCCTCATGTTCATCACACGCCAACTTTACGCCACGAAATACTTCCTTTTGGTGCCAATGCTTTGAAGATTTGGTGATGAATATCTCCCTTCTCGATGTTTTCCACAGTCTGTAGTAGGGACTAGTGGAGTAACTGTATGTGTTCACACTGTCCCTCCTTTGGCCCCTACTACTATATGCTCGGTTGTGCATATGTTTCCACTGCCTCTATCTGACTCGAGCAGTGAGTTTTCTATGGTGCCGAGGGATTGGATCCCAGAGTCGTCCAAAACCCGATCTAGATGTTGTCGTAGCCCACGAGGAACACGTGTTGGAGCACGCTCATGTCGGCTCACCACGAATTTGTGTTCTTGATGCTTCCATTGGACTTGAGATGTGATTTTTCTCGTGGCGCCAAGGCATAGAATCCCAGAGTCATACGTACCCCAGTCACTTGCCACACCCCATGAAGAACACGTGTGTACTAAACGCTGGGGTCGGCTCTTAATGAGTTTATTCTCCGCTGCTTCTAACGATTCTTACCCCAATCTATGGTGCTCTAGGCCTTGTCTGTAAGATGGACTGTATTCTTCAACCGCTTCGAGCCTTCTCATTTGGGGATGCTCACCCACTATGACTCATGATGGTGTGGGGTACAAGACGTCAAAGTGACTGCACAAAAATGTCAAATGCCGGTATATGCCTTCAATCGCCTGTGCGAAGCGCCCATGATGGCTCTCACTGTATAGATAGAAGGGCGGTGGTGAAGCTAAGCTTGTGAAGTGCCGCCGGATTGAAAAATCAGTAAATATTGTACGTATGAGAAGTCTTCTTGATTTCATGCATAGACTGTGCCACGACGTCTGCTTCGGTCGGAGTTGTCGGACCTAGCAGTAATAAGTGTGATTAGGTAATTTTGTGCCTCATGGTCATTGTTTTCTCCCCCGGACGACGACGACGACGAGGACATTCAAGATTGTCGGTGCCATTCGACTCGTTCCCTAATAAATCCGATGCCAGTCGCTCATTTGATGTCTGCTCAAGTTTCCCCGCTCGCTCTCATCATCCCCCGTCCACATGTTCCTTCAGTTATCAGACCGCGTCTTTCAACAAGTTCTTTCGTTTCTTCTGCTCCACGGACTCCTTCTCGTAGCCCAGTCGCGTCACATATCTTCATTTCGCCCCCAGCTCCAAATAGGAACAGTTGCGATTCATGGAATAGCTCAAACTATGATTTTGACGACCCAAGCGTAGACTGGAAGGAGGATGAGGTTAGATTACTTGGCAGGGTACGTTGAATTTCGGTTTTCATTAAATAATTATCCTAAAGTTCATCCCAGACCTTGGATGCGCTACCTTCTCATCTTATTACGCCTTTCAACGGCTCAATTCCGCCCCCTAACCTTCTTGACAAGATTGCACGCGGTATCACTGCTGCTAAAGGCCCAAATGACTGGCCTCATTCCGTCACCGCGACGCGTGCTAAATTGCTCGACCTGGCCCGCGCAAGAGCAATGGAGGAGCGGAGGAAGTCTATTATTGACGAGGACGTTATCTTTCTCAGCGGCAATGTACATCATCCGGCAGATTTGAGCAAATGTGCTGAGCGCAACGATGCTTCACCAGATGTACTTCAACCTACCACAAACACTCCTAAGCGGCACCCACTATACAGGCAGTCCAGCATGGATTTCATGACCGACGCGAAGGCTGACCATAAGGAGAGCATTGCTCGGTACGTCCCCCCCTCCGTTCTATCCCCTTATCTCATTATACACAGCCTTTCGCACCGTCTACAACGACACGAGCACACTTTCCACCACCCGTACCTGCGTCCTGCTCATTTGCGTCGTCCAACAGAACATTCCATTGCTCCCTCGACACCCAGCTCATCAACGCTCAATGCCTCTCAGAGCAATATACGAAAGTCGACTGCGTCTTCGAATTCGAACTCCACCTTTGGCACTCCCGTTTCTGCGTCGGCGCCTCTCCTGTCCGTCCTCCCTGCGTAGATCGTCCACGTTAACCCTCGCAAGCTCCTGCGACATGCGCGTGGACCCGGAAGGTGACGGCGAGAATCTGTTCAAGACTGCCGAATTTCGCCGTAGCGGAGGATATCCTGACGCAGCTATCGTTGGTGTCAAGGTCAAGAAAGTCCCTATGCAGCCTGCTACTCCAAGGACACCGTCAACGAAGAACGTCAAAACGCCCTATTCAAAAACAAAACCTAAAGTCCCTGCTCTCTCCGTAATTTCTTCGCCAAAGACACCTTCATCCAAACCTCGAGTGCTACCCACCACCGCAATCAAAGCAGCCACACCTATCAAACAGCCTAAATTTCGCAAGGGACACATGCCTTCCTTATCCGTCTCCTCTGACGAAGAGGAGAAAGCACGTTCTCAACGTGCGAAGAAGCCCCGTACGAAGGAACCTTCTTGGTCGTTAATCGCATCCTCAGATGCACATACACAACAGACCCTGCCAGTTTTGGCATCAACGCAAATTACTACTACATCGTCTGTGCACAAGGATCTGACTAGGAAACGCGAGTCAGGGCGGAGCGCTTTTTCACTGTCCAAGGCTTCCTCTAGCTCGTCGGATAATGACAATGAATTTTCGACGGGGAGCGTAGAGACTGCTGCAACAACCGTCTCGCTCTCTACACCTGCCTCGCCCGTGTCTATGCCAAAGGCGAAACCCAAGGCAAAAGAGAAAGAGGAGCCGAAGACGACGAAGCCAAAGCCTATCCGCCGCAACCTCATGCGAAACCCTTCGATGTTTGGTCCTGAACTCCCGTGTCCACAGGCGACTCCATCGCCCCCGTCACGTATCCCGCTGTCGTCTCCCATCGGATCACCTGTTGCGGTATCCCTCGCATCTCCTGTGACTGCATCCCCGAGTACGCCTTCTATGTCCCCGGGTATGCCTGCTACGCCTTTGCTTGCTACCCAGACGCGTCCACGCACGCTTCGCCGTGCCGCACGTAGAATCTCGTTTGGGAGTTTGAGGGCTGCGAGTCCTGTCTTATCTGGCGAGAGTGGGATGGTTGCGCTTGGGAGTGCGTTTCAGCTTGCTTGATTTCACTTTCGATGGTCTGGTGTGAGCAGTGCTCGCAGACATCTATCTTTCCCATCTTCGATGCTTCATTTTTGATTTCTTCGTTCCCCTCTGGCTTTATCTTGGATTTCGATGTACTTTTATGTCTTTTACGATCACTCTATCTGTTTCATTTGACGAGTTCTTTTGATGTCTTTTCTGTTTGGCGTCTTTCTTTCTTTGCATCTTTTTTGTTTGCCGTTCGCAGGTTGCTTCTTACTTATGGTTGCTTATTTTTCTCAATCTTCTCTTGCTGTCGCCCTTTTGAAAACTGATCTGGTTTCGATCCTTTGTTTGCAAGTTTTTATCTGTTCGTCCTGTTTGCCTCCCCCACACTTTGACCTCCCTTCTATATCTCGTCCCCACCCATGCCTTCGCTTCTGACCAGTCTTTTTCGCTTTGCAATCGTCAAGGGTATGTCTCGCATGTCCCTCACTTTGCCTATACTGACAATCCGTATTTCATTCTGTATTTCCTAGGACGGCCCACACTCGCTCGTTCGTTCGCCATTATGCGTGATAATGCACGCTTACACACTCCTTCGTTCTCCTTTTTAAGCGGCCACTGTCGCTCTCATTCGTGCCATTAAACGCGCAGTTCACACTCCCTATGTTTCAGTTTCTTTATCTCATCAATATCGGTCTCTGCGTCTCCTTGGGACAGGTTTTTTTTACGGATGGGGGAAATTCTCCTGTCAACGAACGGCAGATGTCTCTCCCTCTCCCAACCAGCTATTTGCTTCTCAAGCTCGTCGACGACCTTGATTTATCTATTCATCAGTGCATCAATCCCATCCCATCATTACTTATCAGCCACCAAAGTGGAGTCATCACACATTCATTAACTTTGCATTCAAAGCGTGTACCACCACCGCCCCTTCGTCATCGCTTTCATTCCTACTACCTCCGCTCCTGTCCACATAATTTGATCGTTCTTTCTTTGTACAACAATTCCCTCCTTTTTTGTACTATCGCCCCTCTCTCCCCTCTTTGTACAGCCTCATAGTTTCTTTGTACGACTGCCCTCGTCGCTATACACGTCGATCGTGTTTTATGACAGGGAATTGGATACGATGCATGTATGTACTTTTGGTCGCATTTGTACTAATCAGCGTGTACATGAATCAGAAGGAAGGTCGCGGATTTTGCTCGTGTCGTAATTGGCAATGTCTGCCACGATGTCGACTTGGGCTGTGTTGGATCCATGATCTAAATGCTGTCATTGATGGGCCAAGGCTGAACCTCTCACTCGACTGTAGCAAGAATACCAAAAGAGTACTTCGAAAATCGCACTGGCAGGTAGCCGAAGTCACAAACAGTTCTCCGATCGTTTGCGACATTCAAATATTCCGCACGAGTCACTGCCTTGCGATCTCACCAACAACTTTTACCTTGATCTCATCATCCCTCGAATGTCATTTTGGCGATGTAAGCACTCGATCGTGGTATATCAAGCGCGAATGCGATCGTTACACATCCACCAAGTTCCCCTGCTTACTGACTCCCATCCTCTAATACTATGACTCTAGTCTCGAATGACCCAAGTTGGTGGCCAATCATCAATGCGAATCTCATTTCCAGCTATTTTTTTTGTTCGTTCAGAGCCAGCTGCATGATGACAATGATGATTTAATTCGCCTTGATTCCGATTTCGCAGTTGCCGCCTTTGCTGGGGTAATGTACGATTGGGGTGAGCAAGACTAAGTGTAAAAAACCACTGATATCCTTATGGTATTCCCAGCGCTTACGTGCGGACAAGAGGTACGTCGATCCGTTACTGGGGCAGTCAACTCGCTTAGAATTGTGTTGCAGGTCGAACTGATCTGGGTGAGCGGACTCCCACATGAAAAGAACGGCTTGAACATATAACTTGTTGACGGCAGAAACAACGCTGGTCCTTGATGACCTTTCTCTACCTCAGTGTATGTACCTTGTGTTTTATTATTTACGCTTAGCAAGTCCAAATTTTGCTGACTTCAAAATATCCTAGGTGCGCTATGCTGGAATAGGATTTGTTGTGTACGTTTGGATATTTAAGCCATTGATGTTGCGCTCATTACCCATCTCTCAAAATCAGGGTCAACATGTTGCGTATGTATCCTCGCATAGACTCTATTTCTTTCTTGTGACGGGCGGCATACATAGACTGTTCCAACAGTTTCGATGACAGACGCAGTGAGTATTCCACATCGATGCCTTTCATTCCCGTCTAAACACTGAACTACCATGCAGGGGTGAGTGAGATTCTCTAACAACTCGTTGATTCCACTTAACGACTCCCACAGTTGTGAGTATGTTTCGAGCCTGTGGTCCTCCGAAGCTAATAACTAATGTTGCCGGATTTGTCAGGCCTTATGATGTACAATGCAACCGACTGGATGGTTGTTGTTTGAAATGCAATACTGGGCGGTGAGCTATACACCTCCGTGATATTTACTTGACTGAAACATCATGCAAGTCATCATCATCGCTCGGTTACATGCCATGTATCAGCGATCCAGAAAGGTGCTGATATTTCTCGTTGTCATCTTTCTGGCCATCGGAATCGCCAATGTAGTGATAAGCACAGTATTGACGATGCATTTGTTAGGAGGTAAGCATTAATTATGGATGGAATTTCAAGTGCATCAGGCTCATTGACAAGTACCAGAGGAATTCGTTCTCTCCGGCACCTATCAGTGCTTGATTGGCTATACGGGAGATTCCACATTTTTGGCTCCCACGACTTGGATACTTAGCACTGTATGGGAGGTCGTTGCACTGTGTCTCGCGATCTGGATTGCTGTAAAGCACTTCCGTGAACTGCGACAACACTCAACAATTGGTATTATCGGGGACTGTTTCACGGTGTTAATGAAAACTCACGTGAGTTACTTTGCAAGGTGAGCTCATAATGTGAATGTGGTTTGCTCGTTCCGCTGAAGTTCTGTGCGTGCTAGCTTTTTGGCTATATCTTGCTTCAAGATCGGTTTATTCTCTCAGACACTCTTAGTGGTATGCCGATCTATCGCCGACCTCTACATGCGACTATGTTTCATTATTTCTATAGGACACTTCCCTGGCCACTCAGGTTTATCTTGGTCTCTCTCAGATATTCCAGGTCGTGCAGATGTTTGTACTGGGACCACGCCTGATCCTCGGTGTTCGAGAATATAACGCTGAGCTCGTGACCAATTCTGATACAGCGACCGCTATGACTTCAGTTGCTTTTCAGGAGCGCGTCCATTTGTCAACTAGCAGTAGCGTGTAGTATGGGAGATACTCGATCGATATGATTTACAATCAGCGGCCAGTCTGTAGGGAGCGGTTTTTGTTTTATTTATTTCAAGTCATGTCCTGTCTTCGATCCAGTTTCAAAACCGACTTCATCCTTATTTACTTGTGTTCTGAGCGTGGGTCTGGGCAATGTTATCGTTGTGGTACTTGATTAAGTTATTTGATGTTGCAAATATATTTGAAAGAAACAGCTTTGAATAATATCTCTACTGACACTAGCTGCCTGCCCACGCTTGCACCATGTGGCAAGCTGAAACGTACGTCTAACGACTTCACTTGAAGACAGTCGTTCTTGTGATGCTTATTTATAACATACAGATTTATTGGAATAAGCAAATCACACGTACACACTATACAACGTGAAGGGACCACGTCCGTAGGCTCGAGGCAAAGTTGTCAGACACCATCCTGTAATGATGGACACAGTTGCGTCATCACTCCGTTCCTCATCTTACCTCCATTCCACTCCAAGAACACTTAACGGGCTGAAAGGGAGTAGCAATGTCCCGATTCTCCTTTTCCTTCGGTGAGCAGGATTCAGATTGTAAAGTCGAAAAGAAAATGATAGTTGAGTTCTGTCAAATTGCAGTTGAGAACTGCTCGAGTGGCACAATAGCGGGAATAGTTGAGTATGATGGAGGCGCATGCTGCCTAATGGCAGGTTCGGCTGGGAAGAGAATATCAACGTAAGTCGACAAACTCGAGTTGCTGGAGGTATCATCGAAGCAATTATTGGGTACGATATACAAGTTCTAGAGGGAGTGAAAGCTGAATGGAAGCGAGGGAGACAGGCTCATCATATGTCAGCATGCGGGGAGTTTCAGACAGCAGTGTGGTCTATTCAACAAAGTTAGAACAGCGCCTTGTACCGCCTGGATGGCGACGACTGCCTTTGTGCAGAGAATCGCATTGTGAATACATGTGTATTAGCTTTCCAGCGGTGTTGAAATATGCACCAATGCTGGGCACGGAAGGAATTTCCTGGTGACCTGTACAGACAGTATAGTGCTAGTACGCCCGAGAGTTCGATAATTCTGCAAAGAAATTATCTGATGTACAAGGATCGGCAGAGTTCAGAGCGTCTAGCTCAGATGATAAGGTGCATGCAAAGTTAAACACAACGCATGAGGGCCCTTGCATCATACTCGACACACACAAGTGTGCAAGAGTTAGAGCAGCTGCTAGTCGTTAAATGCAAGATGAAACAGCTGATGAGCTTGAGAACGGGAGCTTGGAGGCACGACTTATGTATACGAGCGCTTGAGTAACGATCGAGTTGGTGATCGTAGCGCTGAAATATCTGACGTGCCCGAATAAAACCATCGTTATATTCGTTTCGCCTTCAGCCTGAGACAGTCGAAACAGCTGTGCAAACCGCGCGAAGCTGTTCCTCGAGGCCTCTAACTACTTAGTAACGTGAAAGGGTACATTCTCACGTTACTAAGTAGTAACATAAATGTCACTCAGGTGGTTGTAGCGCGTTTGGCTCCCAACTTGAACGACTGAAACAATAACGAAATTTTAGAATCGAGCATCCCACAATATTGTTAGGCTGAAACACTTAGTTCAATCAATCAGGTATCATCCCTCAAACATCACTTTGGTGATGTACGCTGGATTGTGGTATATCAAAGCACGACTCGGAATGCGGATCGTTATAGTGACGTCCACCAACTGTTCCCCCCGCTCGCCGCTCACTCTCATTCTCTAATAGTATGACTCTAGTCTCGAATGATCCCAGTTGGTGGCCATCAATCAATGCGAACCTTATTGGCAGCTACTTTGTAGGTTCGTGGAGAGTCAGCCACATGACGACGTTGATGACTCGATTGACCTTGGTTGCGGTTTCGCAGTTGCCGCCTCTGTTTGGGTACTGTACGATTGGGGTGAGCGAGATTATGTATGAAAAGACGACTGACATTATACTATTTCTAGCACTTATGTTCGGACAAGAGGTAGGTCGATCCATTACTGGGGCAGCTCACTCGCTTAGAAATGTGTTATAGGTCGAGCTGATCTGGGTGAGCGGATTTCCACATCAAAAGAACGACATGAAAATACAACTTGTTCATTGCAGAGGCAACGCTGGTCTCTGATGACCTTGCTCTATCTCAGTGTATGTATCTTGTGTTTCAATATTTACGCTTCGCAAGTCCATGTTTCGCTGACTATCCTAGGTGCGCTATGCTGGGATAGGATATGCTCTGTACGTTTGAATGTTTAAGCCATCGATGTTGTACTCATTACCCATCTCTAACAATTAGGATCAGTATGTTGGGTATGTCTCCTCGCATAGACTCTGTTTCTTTCTTGTGATGGGCGGCATACAGTCAGTGTTCCAACAATTTCGACAACAGATCCAGTGAGTATTCCACTGATGCCTTCAATTCTCGTTCAAACAACTGAACTACCACGCAGGGGTGAGTGACATTCTCGAACAACTCGTTGATTCAACACAACGACTCCCACAGTTGTGAGTTTGTTTCGAGCCTGTGATCTTCCGAAGCTGATAACTAATGTTGCTGGATTTGTCAGGCCTTGTCATGTATAACGTACTTGATTGGATGGGTGACGTTGTAGATGTGACACTGGACGGTGAGCTACATACCTTCGTGGTATTGACTTGACTAAAACACTATGCAAGTTATCATAATCGCTCGGTTACATGCCATGTATCAGCGATCCAGAAAGGTGCTGATATTTCTCGTCATCATCTTTCTGGCAATTAGAATCGCCAATGCAGTGATGCTCGCAATAGAGACGACACAGATTTCAGGAGGTAAGCTTTAATTAAGTATGAAACGTTTAAGTAAATCAGGCTCATTGAAAATACCAGAGGAATTCATTCTCTCCGGCACCTATCAGTGCAACATTGACCTCGCAGGAGATTCCTCATCTCTGAGTTCCACGACTTGGATACTTGGCACTGTATGGGAGGTCATTGCACTGTGCCTCGCGGTCTGGATTGCTGTAAAGCACTTCCGTGAACTACGACAGCACTCAACAAGTGGGACTATCGGCGACTGTCTTACGGTGTTGATGAAAACTCACGTTAGTTACTTTGCGAGGTGAGTTCATAATGTGAATGTGATTCTTTTGTTCCGCTGAAGTTTTGCACGTCCTAGTTTTTTGATTGTCTCTTGCTTCCAGATGGGTTCATTCTCCCCAACACTCTCAGCGGTATGCCGATCTATCACCGACCTCTACATGCGACCATGTTTCATCATTTTTATAGGACTCATATTCCCTGGGATATCGGATTTATTTTGGTCTCGCTCAGATATTCAAACTCGTGCAGCTGTTTGTGCTAGGACCACGCCTTATCCTCGGTATTCGGGAATATAACGCTGAGGTCGTGGCCAACTCTGATACATCAACCGCTATGACTTCAATTGCTTTCCAAGAGCGCGTCTATGTGTCCACTAGCAGTAGTGTATAGTGCAGGACATGCGCGATATGATTGATTTGCGATGAGTGGGCAGTGTGCAGGGAGCGGAAGATTTGTTTTTATTTATTCCAGGTTTTGTCGTGGTACTTATCTATTTAAGTTGCGAAGTAGAGAGGTCATATAAGAGCTTTTGGCGAACTGAGCTGATATCTCTCCCCAACCCTGAGGTTCAAGCACTCGAATTCAGTAGTGTTGTTAAGATTGTACCGGCTGGTTCGCTCCTGATGCCATCACTGAAAGATGGCTGTTTCCAGCAGAGGTACTCAACCACTCAAGTGGCGCCTGTAGACCCTTTCAGCATCTCCGTTCATCCTAACTGTTCCTGGGTTATGCACTGCGTACCTGCAGCAGGGCTGTGGCTCGTTGATCAGGTTACTTCATTGAGCCCAAGCGGATCCGGTCCGACTGGACTCACATTCTGTGTGCAGAGGGTTGTACGTACGGAGCAGGTCCCGAGTATGGGAGTACTACTTTGGACAGAGGAACAAATGAATGTTGGTGTTGGTGTATGGGAACACGCCGAACTGCAGGTATTAGGACTTGTCAGGGGTATTAGGAGGCGAAGTGTTGGGTAGGCTGAGATTACGAGTGAGGAGATGAGTCAATGGGATGAAAAAGTATGAGCAACGTACCTAGTGAGGCTGAGTCTTGTAAGGAGACCCGAAAAGCAATGGGAACTGATTGACCTTCTTGCACTATAGGCCCTATGGGCATGGAGCGATACGAGGTCGATAGGAATCGAAAGGAGTAACTAGAGGTCAATGTGCGCTCTGTTTCGAATGTATTCATATTTATAAAGTATGACACAACCAAAGCAACAAACTCACATCGGTTGACGAGGAAAATCTGTATTTGCCCAGGAGTTCTGCGGCAGTGGTGTAGTAGAAAGAGCGACATTTTTGCTGAGATGATTGTTTGATTGTGATGACGGTGGTACAAGAAAGGGATGCAAAAATTCAAGGTAGGCGGGTGCACGACAAGTGAGCCGGTCAACAGCAACAGAGGAATGCACTGATGATGGTGAGAGGAGAGTTTATTGAAACTCCGAGTCTCCGAGTTGCAGGTAAGTGGAACTGCTGAAATGTTGAAGTTGGATCGAGTGTGGCGAAGAACGAAATACTTGAGCAACGAGATATGTATTACGCACGGACCTTGCGCAGATCAGTTGAATGAACACATGGACGGTTGAGCTGCACAAGCCTTGCATGTGGGGTTCTTGCAGTATTGAACATGCTGTACTGCTCAAATCGTAGACAAATTGTTCAACAAGTGTTTGCACAACTTCGATTTCCATCGATATGAGTCTACTGACTACTCGGAACTTACAAATCCGTCGACCTCCGTGGAAATGGCCATGTCCGATTTTCACTGGGGGTCAACGTTCAACCAAGGAAGAAGCACAGACTAACTTATGCAGCTAGCTTGAGTCTAATAATAGTGCTCCAGGAGTGTGCTGCGGAACGCAGATGGCAGGCATCACTGCCGCATCAGAAAGGTGTGTCGTCGCCACATCTCTAAATCCCCGATCGCCCAATTGATTTTACATAGCATCCATGCGCAGAGCAGATGGCGGCAGTCCACTGTAACTACTTCTCAGGAAGTTATACGACGAGAGTGATATGGTAAGCTTTAAACTTGCTCCTTCGTCACCTAGCTCATCAACGCTTCCCAGAGTCATATTTGAAAGTTCACTGCGTCCTCGAGTTCCAACTCGATGTTTGGCACTCTTGTTTCAGCATCTGTGTCCGTCCTCCCTGAATAAGTCATCTACTTTGACCCTCGTAAGTTCCTATGACATGCACGCACGTAGATGCGGAAGGTAATATGTTCAAGACATCTTCGAGTCGGACTTCCGCTCATCACGTCCCAGATGTCCCATTCCGATTTGTACTACCTCCCACTTCTATGTACGATTGCCGTCATCGCCTCAAACATCGATCATATATCTTATGACAGGAAACTGCGTATGACGCATGTATATACTTGTGATTGCATTTTATCAGCGTGTACATGAATTGGAAGAGAGGTTGTGGGATGTTCGCTCGTGTTGTGATTTGCTAACCTTAACAGAAAATGTCCTCACAAGTACTTGGGTGTTGTGTTAGATCTATGATCATCTATGATAGTGTCATTGTGGGGCCGAACCCAGCAATTCCAAGAACACCCCAAAGATCGCACATTGCCACAATCACGAACAGTTCTCCGCTCAATCTTTTGCGGCGTTCAAACATTCCGCGCGAGTCACTGCTTTGCGATCTCATGAAGAACTTCTACCTTGATCTTGATCTCATCTGTATCCTTGGATACAGGTTGTCTTTCTACTGAATTTCATGCTGAATCACTTCGAAGTTCAATCAATCAGATATCATCCCTCACTTTGTGTAAGCGCTGGATTGTGGTATATTAAGCACGAATGCGATCGTTATATGTCCACCAAGTTTCCCCGCTCGCTCACTCCCATCCTCTAATAGTATGACTGTAGTCTCGAATGATCCCATTTGGTGGCCACTCATCAATGCGAGTATTATTTCCAGTTATTTTATAGGTTCGTGGAGATTCAGCCACATGACGAAGTTGATGACTCGATTAACCTTGGCTGCGCTTTTGCAGTTGCTGCCTTTGTCGGGGTAATGTACGATTGGGGTGAGCAAGGCGAAGTATGAAAAGGCCACTGATATCCTTATGGTATTCTCAGCGCTTACGTTTGGACAAGAAGTACGTCGATCCATTACTGGGGCAGCCAACTCACTCAGAATTGTGTTATAGGTTGAACTGATCTGGGTGAGTGGACTTCCACATCAAAAGAACGATGTGAAAATACAACCTGTTCACGGCAGAGACAACGCTGGTCCTTGATGACCTTTCTCTATCTCAGTGTATGTACCCTGTCTGTCAATATTTGTGCTTCGCAAGTCCAAGTTTTGCTGACTATCCTAGGTGCGCTATATTGGAATAGGATATGCTATGTACGTTCGGAGGTTTAAGGCATTGATGTTGCGCTCATTACTCATCTCTCATAATAAGGATGTACATCCTAGGTATGTATCCTCGCATATACTCTGTTTCTTTCATATGACGGGCGGCATACAGACAATGTTCCAACTATTTCGATGACAGATGCAGTGAGTATTCCACACTGATGTCTTGAGTCCATTCCCGTCCAAACAACTGAACTGCCATGCAGGGGTGAGTGATATTCTCGAGCAACTCGTTAATTCAACATAACGACTCCTACAGTTGTGAGTTTGTTTCAAGCCTACGATCTTCCGAAGCTGATAACTGATGTTGCTCGATGTGTCAGGCCTTATCATAAACGACGCAATTGATTGGACAGGTGACGTTGTAGATGTAATACTGGGCGGTGAGCTATACGCCTCCGTGATATTGACTTGACTGAAACATCCTGCAAGTCATCATGATCACACGGTTAAATGCCATGTATCAGCGATCCAGAAAGGTGCTGATATTTCTCGTTGTCATCTTTCTGGCCATCAGAATCGCCAACGCAGTGATCGTCATAATAATGACGATACATACTTCAGGGGGTAAGCTTTAATTATGTATGAAATATTTGAGTGCATCAGGCTCATTGACAAATATCAGAGGAATACATTCTCTTCGGCACCTATCAGTGCATCATTGACGAGACGGGAGATTCCTTAATTTTAAGTTCAACGACTTGGATACTTGGCACAGTATGGGAGGTCCTTGCACTGTGCCTCGCGGTCTGGATTGCCATAAAGCACTTCCGTGAACTACGACAACACTCAGCAGGTAGTATTATGGGGGACTGTTTCACAGTGTTGATGCAAACTCACATTAGCTACTTTGCAAGGTGAGCTCATAATGTGAATGTGGTTATCTGGTTCCGCTCAAGTTTTGCACGTGCTAGTTTTGTGGTTCTCTCTTGCTTCCGGATCGGTTTCTTCTCTCCAACGCTCTCAGCGGTATGTCGATCTGTCACGGACCTCTACATGCGACCATGATTCATCATTTCTATAGGACATATATTCCATGGACACTCAGATTTATTTTGGTCTTGGTCAGATTTTTGCGATCGTGCAGATGTTTGTGCTGGGACCACGCCTGATCCTCAGTGTTCGAGAATATAACGCTGAGCTCGTGGCCAACTCTGATACAGCAACAGCTATGACTTCAATTGCTTTTCAGGAGAACGTCCATGTGTCAACCAGCAGTAGTGTGTAGCGCAAGAGATGCTCGATATGGTTGATTTGCCACGATAGGCGGGTAGTACTATGCACGGAGCAGGAGAATTTGTTTTTATTTATTCCAGGTTTTGTCGTGGTACATATTTATGTCAGTTGCGAAATACATATAGGTCATAGAAGAGGTTTTGGCGAACCATGAGTAGAGATCTCTCCCCGACGCTGAGGTTCACGCACTCGATCTCAGTAGTGCTGTCAAGATCGTCCCGGCTGGTGGAAGTCTGATCGTTCCTGATGCCATCGCTGAAAGATGGCTGTTTCCAAAACCTCAGAGAAGTACTCGACCACTGCAGTGGCGCCTGTCGACCCTTTCAGCACCCTTGTGCATCCCAGCTGCTCCTATGCACAGAGTACCTCTAGCAGGACCGTAGCTCGTTGATCGGGTTCCCAAGCGAATCCAGTCACGGTACTGCAGGGGCCATCGACCGCATTCGAATTGGGATAATGAGGGCGAATAGAGAGAAACGTGCGAACGTAGATGGTGTGACTGAACCTATTATATTCGTTTCGCGAGATAGTGTACACTGGCCAAACTGCGTGAGTGAGTCCATAATGGCGGAGTTCGAAAGCAAGCAGAAACGACGCCAAGGAGGAAGATACTACTAGATAGTCCCACGAGTTCGCGCGTCCCTAGAGTTCGCGCATTGGCTTTAGCACACGCAATTCTGCACGAAATCCTTATATATGTTATACATAGGTTTCTCCCAACATCATACACATGGCCATGTATTTTTTTTGGCAAAAAATGAAGCGGATCTCGTGCCATGGTCGAGTTATGGGTGTTCGAGGCTCGTTTTGTGCATAAATGACTCCCTCGAAAGGTCAGATCACCACGGAAAAATCTGGGATGTGATATGATGGTTCTACATGATTATAGAATGCTAAAATAAATTTCTCCGTGGCCACATGCTTGTCAGAATTATCCTCTGTGAATGAAATACGACCTAGACGTGACAATCTATCCAAAGCGTTACAATGAGACTGCATGCATCTAAACTCCGCTGTGCCGAAATGCGGCACAAAAACACCAATGTCAAATTGAAGTCCATGCTCCGAGTCAGTGCTCACCTAAACAGCTGCATGGTCAAGTCCAAACAGCTGCGCCAGGCCCAAGAAGAAAAAATCCAGAAGGCCTGTGCAAAGCTCAGGAACTGATCAGCAAGCTGGGAACACACCAAACATCAGAAGAACAGCAACTTATTATGATGTCCCCGAGAGCACTCTTTGTGGCCGTTTTCGTGGTGCTCACAAGCCTCCTGCTGTACACAAGCTCATTATTCAAGTGCACGCTAGTATACACAATTCCCACTACGTAAGTAGTGAGTTTTTCCATGCCATGGCCGTTTGGACCTCATCTCAATTTTTTTGGTGAAAAATCGATTCCGGCCCTAAACACATCTGTTTGTGGTGTTTGATTCACATGATTTTGAACTTGTTTGTGTACATCCATCTGATTTGTCAGTTGTTGACTACACATTATGTTTCCTCATAAAGTCCTTGGATCTTTCGCCGACATTCCTGCTGTTATTCGCATCGATGATGTGAGTTTTGATTCAACTGTATCATTGTCTTTTCTGCATGATCGCAATGTTCCGTGTTCCATCATCAATCATGATGGAGTCGCAGTGGAATCTGCTTTTGGGCCTGTGCGTGTTCCTACTGTCGATGGTTGGTACAATTCTCGACAGACATTTCGATCTGGCTATTTGAATGGGTGCGACGTCAAGTTGGGCTGTGATTGGCTTGCATTTGTGAATGCAAAGTCTGATGGCATACGATTCCTTCGACCTTCGGATTTAGACGTTGCCCGGCTTCCTGATGGTCATAGTTGGAATCTTTGGTCTTGAGGTACATATATTTGTATAGATTATTTTCATATGTTTGATGATTGTATCTAGATAATCTTTCACCCTCTTCGTCTGTTATCTCTGATAAAGAAGAAGATTTAACTACCCAAGCGGGTTTATGTTTAGCTGCCCAAGCGGGTTCTTCTACTGCAACCCAAGCGGGTTCTTCTACTATAACCCAAGCAGGTTCATCTCTCGCATCTTCACCTATACCTTCGCGAAATGAACATGTTGTCGATAATTTTTTCGGTGGTTATGAAAGCTTGTCGAGATCAAGCCTGAGTGAATTGGCAGTTGCACATGGCCTTAAAGTGAATCCTAATGTATCTATGGAGGATTTGCGTCAGGCTATATCTCGTCATGTTGGCACAGGATGTTGTGGTTCTCATGTATTGCAACATTTTGAGGGCTGCGAATCGATCTGTCAAGGGCTTGACATGTCTTGCGGTGGTGAGGATACCGTGCTTTCTGCGAGGATAGCGCTTTTGACTGCTATATTGACAACTACGAAATGACGTCCTCTTGAACGGCTGTTGAAAGCAAATGGTGTCAGTTTTGTCATCGGTTCGAAAACAGGGCAACTTTGTCGTACGCTGAGAAAGCATATCAAGTCACTATGAAAGCAAAGTCAAAATCTATTAATTCTAATGATCGTGAAGACCATCGTCGATGGGTTTGTTGTGAATGGCCTCAGATTCCATCGTCGGATTTGAAGCATCGTTTGGTGCAGATGTTTAGGGATGAGACTTCTTCTGAACATCTGGCTATGTTTACATGCACGTCTTGTGCTGAAAGTGTTTTGTGTTCGGAACGTACATTAGTATCTCTGGATGATTTTGATTCGTCTCTGTTGTGCAGACCAGACCGACAAGATGATCAGCATATGTCAGGTGATTATTTTGACGGAGATTGTCCCCTACCTCGAATTCCATTTGCAGAATCGAATGATGTGCTTAGTGAATTGATGCTCGATTCGTCCGGAGTAAAAACATGCAGCGATGGTGAGTATCAGCTGTCTCTCTGCAGTGTATGCCACAAAAAACTTGTGAAGGGAAAATGACCGGCTCTTAGCCTCGCAAACCACACTTTTTTAGGAGACGTACCTAACGAATTGAAGGATTTGATGGTCGTTGAGGAAGCCATGATTGCTCGTTGTCATGCGAAGTGCTGGATCATTCAGCTTAAGGAAGAAAACCAGAACCTGCAATTGTCAACTAATCAACGAGGAATTAAAGGACACATAATCATCTATCCTCAGTGCCCGGAAGGTATTGCCGCCATCTTGCCTCCAACAGTTGATGACATTGTCACTCCAATCTGCGTCATTTTTGTAGGTTCATGTCCACCATCTCGAGAATGGCTTCAAGAAAAAGCCAAACCTTTGATAGTGCGAAGAGAAAAAGTGCGTGCTGCATTAGTTTGGCTGAAGAAACACAACTGATTGTACAAGGACATTACCATTGATCACACTATACTGGATTTGATGGAAGAGGAGACATTGATGCCCTTTCATGTCAATCATATTCTTCCTGATGATGTGTGAGAATCCTTGACTTCAAGATACGATGCAGACGAAGTGATGCAATTGGAAGACTCACTTGATTCGGAGTCGCATTCAGTCGAACCTCAGTCTAATTTTGAGAGTGTGGTGGTTACTGATGTCGATGGTCATGCCTCTGCGAATGAGTTATGAGCTGTGGCAGTACGTCATATAAAGAACAAGGGTGGTGGATATGTCCAAATCCCCCATGATCCTTTTAGAATGTGTCATAGTCAATCAAGCCGGGGAGCTTTGTAAGAATTAGGTTTTGAAGTTTCAACTACTACAGTACTACCACTGTACCCACAACTTGAACTCCCCTCGTCACACACGACGACGACGTGACCTTCGTCCACCTGTCAACAAATCCAGCGAGGACTACCCAACAACAGATAAAATCTACAGCAGGCGTGGTGTCCGAAGACCTCACCAGCACCTGCAGCAAAGCCAAAACCAACTCCACGGGCAGTCCCAAAACGGATCCATGTGCTTCCTCCCCAAAAGTCCAGTGTCATCTGACTCGGACAGGCATGCCATTGAGCTCGAAACTGCCAAGAACGAAGCTGCGGCTATACTTGCAGGGATGGCAGACAGTGGAACAGTTAATGGGGAGAACGAGAACTTATTCACGAACCTTGATGACTTGGCACTCGGCGAGCCTGAGATTGAGCAGCAACTGGAGCCTGAGGATGAAGATAGTGAGGTAGAAGATGACGACGATGCTGGTAGGTGCAACCCGCCACCATGATTGCTTGAATTCCACTGATAGCATGTGTCAATATCAGTATTGGAGACCGAGGGAAATGTTGAGGATGGGGACGACAGTTTCGACATTAGTCTTCTGGTTCCAATCGAGGGTGTCGTCGACACTATGGTCATTAGCTCCAACACCTCATGGGGGTATTTCTGCCTTCAGCTCGCCAATGCAATGCTTACCCCGTTGGAGTCACTGAATATTGCATACAAGTTCTCAACAGATGCGAAGGCTGACCCACCTCGTGCACTCAGCATGGCGAAGCACCTCTTAGTGCTCATCCAGGGCGCAGGAACTATTCTATGCGACGAGCAGAGGGTTCGCCGTCTGAAGAAGCCATTCATGGTGATTATTGTGGATAGATCTGAAAATTCGAAGGCGGATGAAGTTGCCAAAGGCAAAGCAGGACTCGGAAAAGGAAAGGTAATTACTTCCATGAATCAAAGCCGCGAAGCTTGACCAGTTTTCTTGTAACAACGGATAACTCGCTGGATTGTGCGCTTGCTGGCGCCAGTGTATGCTGTGATCTCCGAGATCTCGAGCAGTGGAAACATTCGGACAATGGCCCTCGCAAGATGTTCAGAAAACTTTCGCATGCTGGCGTGTTTGAAGAGTGTTTTCGGTGTTGGGAACTTGAAGATGATGTTGCTTGATAAGCTAAGCAAGTACTAAGACTATGACACATTCTAAAAGTATTGAAATAGCTTGATACAAACTATTAGCACCTCCTGCATGCTTCACTGAGTACTTAGAAACTCGCTGGTAGCTCACACATGCTGCCCTTCGCTCACAACAATTCACAAAAGGGTTGGGGGGGGTCAACTGGCGACTTGGTTCGAACTTCGTCAAATCATCCCGTTTTTGTTGCACGCACCTTGGCCTTGGTTCCCTGACCAACTTTGTATCTTACAGCTTAGCGATATCTCTTCTTATTGTCGAGAAACAAATCAAAAGTTATTGCTGTATTTTTTGGTGTGGCGTGCACTTTTTTTTGGAAATACCGGTGGTGCCAATACTTTTGCAAACAGCAATAACATTCTCCTACCACATGCAATTTTGAAACAACCCCTTCGAACTTGATTTCTTTCGCGTTCACATTAATTACCTCGCCACCAAAAATGGTATGTATCCGCTTCTTCCGTTTTATTAACTGACGTGCTATTGCGAAACACAGGCATAGTCTTGCCTTCACTCACCACCCTCTACATGCACAAAGCCTTCCTTCCATCTGACCATCACTCATCCTACCAATTCATCTAGGTATGATTGTGTTTGGCTCAATCGTTTCAATATTCTGACACTTATACCGCTAGTCTTCAATCGGAACGAAACCATTGATCGATCAATCGATCACGTCTGGCCCAGGGAGAATTTTGAACATTGTGCTTCGTTCTTGCCTCACGAACCCGCGATTCTGCAACTGCCAGCAGGAGCTCATTGGCTCTCTTGTCCTTCTGCAGGCGACATTCTCCGAGTCGGTTCAGTGATAATGGACACGAGGACATGACAATCTTGGGAATGAGTGCCCCAGTGACAGGCTTTACACCTCTTACAAGTAAATGCGCCTTCGCAGTGTGCAGGAGTATGGACAGCTGATCGAATGCAAGATGAGATACCCGATCACTTGTGTTGGCGCTGGCGAGCTTTGGCCGATATTTTCAAGATACGGCTATGCAACGATCGAGCGGGTTCCCTGAGATGATGTTCTGGAACTAAAGTCGGAGTTCAAAGTCAGCGGTATCATTCCTGCCAAAGACACTCCTTCCATCACCACGACGCTGCTCGACATGGCACACGCAAGAGTAGCATCTAATTATAAGGAGAGCATTTCTCGGTATGTCTTCCCCTTACTACTACCCACTTACTACTATTCATTTTCAAGGCCTTTCTCACCGAGTTGAGCGCACTTTCAACCAATTTGGAACATTCACTTGCTCCTTCGTCACCTAGCTTATCAACGCTTCCCAGAGCCACATTTGAAAGTTCACTGCGTCCTCGAATTCTAACTCGATGTTCGGCACTTCTGTTTCAGCATCTATGTTCGTCTTCTCTGAGCCGGTCATCCACTTTAGCCCTCGCAAGCTCCTGTGACATGCACGTGGATGCTGAAGGTGGTCTGTTCAAGATGTCTGACTTCTGTTCATCGCGTCCTAGACTCCCCATTCTGATTTATACCACCTCCCACTTCTTTCAATTCGTACGACTGCCCTCATCGCCCCACCTGTCGATCATATCCTATGACAGGAAGCTGGATATGACACTTGTGGTCGCATTTTATCAGGGCGCACATGAATTAGAAGAAAGGTTGTGGATTTTCGCTCGTGTTGTGACTAAGCATCGGCATCGAGTGAGTAGAGCGAATTTCAAACATTGCTAAGAAAACGTCTTCACAAGTGCTTGGGCGTTGTTCAAACCTGTGTTAGATCTACGATCTTCTATGGTAGTGTCGTTATTGGGCCGAACCTGGCAATGCCAAGAACGCCCTAAATATCGCACTACATAGCACGTTGCCAAAATCACAAATTGTTCTCCAATCGATCTTCTACAGCATTCAAATATTCCGTGTGAGTCACTGCTTTGCGATTTCACCTACAGCATTTAACTTGATCTCATCGGTTACCCTGGATACGCATTGTCTTTCTACAGGAATTCAGGCCGAGGCACTTACTTCGATGAATCAGATGTCATCCCTCAAATTCAAATCTCACTTTGGTGATGTAAGCGCTGGATTGTAGTATATCAAGTACGAATGCGATCGTTATACGTCCACCAAGTTTCCCGCTCGCTCACTCTCATCCTCTAATAGTATGACTCTGGTCTCGAATGATTCCAGTTGGTGGCCATTCATCAATGGGAAATTTATTTTCAGCTATTTTATCGGTTCGTGGAGAGTCAGACGCATGATGATGGTGATAATTTGATTCACCTTGACTCCAATTTCGCAGTTGCTGCCTCTGTTGGGCTAATGTACGATTGGGGTGAGCAAAACTGAGTATAAAAGAACCACTGATATCCTTGATGTATTCTCAGCGCTTACGTTTGGACAAGAGGTACGTCAGTCCCGATTACTGGGGCAGTCCACTTGCTTAGAATTGTGTTATAGGTTGAATTGATCTGGGTGAGCGGACTCCCACGTCAAAAAAACGACGTGAAGATACAACTTCTTCACGGCAGAGGCAGCGGTGGTCCCTGATGACCTTTCTCTATCTCAGTGTATGTACCTTGGGTTGCAATATTTACGCTTAGCAAGTCCACATTTTGCTGACTTCAAATATCCTAGGTGCGATATGCTGGAATAGGATATGTTGTGTACGTTTGGATGTTTAAGCCATTGATTTTGCGCTCATCCCCATCTCTCACAATCAGGATGTACATGTTGGGCATGTATCCTCGCACACACTCTGTTTCTTTCTTGTGACGGGCGGCATACAGTCAATGTTCCGACAATTTCGACGACGGATACAGTGAGTTTTACACATTGATACCTTCCATTCCCGTCCAAACTGAACCACCATGCAGGGGTGAGTGAGATTTTTGAACAACTTGTTGGTTCAACATAACGACTCCCACAGTTGTGAGTTTGTTTCGAGCCTCCGAAGCTGATAACTAATGTTGCTGGATTTGACAGGCCTTATCGTGTATAACGCATGTAGTTGGATGAGTGACATTGTAAATGCAATACTGGGCGGTGAGCTATGCACCTCCGTGATATTAACGTGACTGAAGCATCATGCAAGTCATCATGATCGCTCGATTATATGCCATGTATCAGCGATCCAGAAAGATGCTGATATTTCTCATTGTCATCTTTCTGGCCATCAGAATCGCCAACGCAGTGATGTCCGCGATAATAACGATGCAGACTTTAGGGGGTAAGCTTCAATCATGTATAAAATGTCTAAGGCCATCGGGCTTATCGACCACTGTCAGAGGAATTGGTTCTCTCCGGCATCCATCAGTGCTTGAATGTCTATGCGGGAAATACCCAACTTATGGTTTCCATGACTTGGATGCTTGACACTGTATGGGAGGTCCTTGCGCTGTGTCTTGCAGTCTGGATTGCTGTAAAGCACTTCCATGAACTACGACAACACTCAACAACAGGTATTATTAGGGACTGTTTCACAGTGTTAATGCAAACTCACGTTAGTTACTTTGCAAGGTGAGCTCATGGTGTAAATGTCTTGTTCTGCTGACGTTTTGCACGTGCTAGTTTTTTGGCTATCTCTTGCTTCCAGATTGGTTTCTTTTCTCCAACGCTCTCAGCGGTATGTCGAGCTGTCACCGACCTCTACATGCGACCATGATTCATAATTTCTATAGGACCAATACTCCCTGGATACTCAGATTTATCTTGGTGTCCGTAAAATATTCCAGATCGTGGAGTTGTTTGTGCTGGGACCACGCCTGATCCTCGGTGTTCGAGAATACCATGCTGAGCTCGTGGCCAACTACGACACAGCAATCGCCATGACTTATCAGGAACGCGTCCATGTGTCAACTAGCAGTAGTGTGTAGTGCAGGAGATGCTCGCTATGATTGATTTGCGATGGGCGGGTAGTATGCAGGGAGCGGGAGAATTTGTTTTTATTTATTCCAGCTTTGTTGTGGTACTTATTTATGTAACTTGCGAAGTAGATATAGGTCATACAAGAGCTTTTAGCGAACTACTAGTAGAGATCTCTGCCCGACGCTGAGGTTCACGCACTCGATCTCAGTACTGTCAAGATCGCAGCGGGTGGTGGAAGCTTGTTCGCTCTTGATGCCATCGCTAGAAGATGAGTGATTCCAGGCCCTCAGAGAATTACTTCATCACTCAAGTGACGCCTGTAGACCCTTTTTGCGAAAGGCAGGTAGTGTGCATGGAGCAGGAGAATTGGTTTTCATTTATTCAAGGTTTTGTCATGGTACTTATTTATGTAAGTCGCGAAGTATATATAAGTCATACAAGAGCTTTTGGCGAACCATGAGCAGGGATCTCTCCCTGATGCTGAGGTTCACGTACTCGATCTCAGTAGTGCGTATCGGCTGGTGGAAGTCTTTTCGTTCCCGATGCCATCGCTGAAAGACGACACGGTCAGGATGGCTAACCAGACACTGGTCCAGAACAAAGTATAAGATCTCTACCCCATCGGTCATGTCAGAGATACTCTTACCGTGACCTGTTGGGTATTCAGTAAGTCGTGTGCTGCATCAGTAAAATACCACGGTTCTTAATTTAACTTATTATGAACTTATTTTACTTGGTCTGGCGCCCAAGTGCGTCAAGATGCTCAAGGCTTCGATTTGACTTGGAGGGCAACTTGAGTGTCTTACCATCAAGCCGACAAAGACACTCAGACAATTAAAGCACTTTTAAGACAAAATTTTAACTTAAGCATTGCAAGAAAAAAAATGATTATATTAAGATGCTAGCTCGAAAGCATGGTGATCAATGAACCTATTTACGTAGAATCCTCGATATACATCCAGAGAATCGTAGAATCGAAGGCCGCGTGGTACGAGCTGGGTACCAAATATTGAGAGCAAGTGAGCACCGCGAATGATACTGTCAATATGGATGATGGACAACTCGCGAGAGCCGTCGTCGTTGAAAGATGGTGCCACCATCCACATTCCCGTGAGCTCGTCTCGTTCCTCGCCGATGCGATGGAACCATTGAACGAGAGCACATGGGTATGTGCGACTGTTAGTGAAAGTAAAAGAAAAAAAAAAAAACAGAAAATTCGAACGACATCCATGCTCAACATTCCGTCGTGCCTATCGTCCGTGTTGATGAAGGCGCAGTCGAAGCGAGCCGGTCCATTGCGCCACGAAGGCACAACACGAATGTGCGGACGGCGCATACCAGTGATTCCACTCGGATCACTGGGTGCGATAAATGTTGCAGTGGCGGAGTGAAATATTTTGATTAGTCCTGTGTAGGACGGACAGTCGCGAAGTGGGACGTCGGCAGAAGAATGGTGGTTGTCCGTGTGGATTTGGTCGTATAGGAAGAGGCGAATGAGGTGCGGGAACGATGCAATGTCGAGTTCATCCGCGAGATCGGCAACGGTACGAGCGCGTTTTCGTTCTGAAGGTGTGTTAACAAAGAAGGTGAGTGAAGGGTTGGATACGCACGAAAAGTCCGCGCTAATTGCACATTAGCCATGACGTCCACATCATCTACAACGCCCTGATCCTTGACATCATCAAAGTCGTCACTCTCGATAGCGAAGGGATTGGTTCCTGCATGCGCTCGATTCTGTTGGACCTCTGGGTCTCCATTGTCGTTGTCGATATATGAGGGCTTCTCATAGTGCTGCCGCCGTTCAGTTCTGAACCAAGGTTCAAACGCGAACTTTTACGAACGGGACTGATGTCCGGTTATAGGTCCGACATGTGGCGCGGGACCGAACCCTACGTAGGTTCTTCATTCGGACTGTGTCGGATGGATATTGGACGCGTTCAGACCAGTCTGAACCAGTTCGAACTCACTACTGACGTTTATTCAGTCCAAACTATTGACATGTATTCACCGTTGCTTCTTGTCAGTTCTCAGTCATTCATCCAGCCATCCAACCTTTTGACATTTATTGGACATTTATTCACCATTGGTTCTGGTCCATGTTTTCAGTTTGTTCATCCAGTGATACTGTAAGTTCATCACCGCGATTATCACTGACAATGTCTGACACGATTAATGGCATTTTTTCAGTTTGTTCTGGTCTTACTGTTTATGCGGACTGTCGGGCCCAGCGGAGGATAAAAGCTTTGGGAATCTCAAGGTCAGTTCATTCGTCAAAAATATGTCGATCCCTGCAGTCAATGCTAATGGCACGTTGAAGGATGCATCAGAAATCGCGTGGTTTCATGATGTCAATGATGATGCCCCCATCCCTCCCCAGCCCAAATCCTCTTCAGCTATCTCCTCTGCGCCCTCTCATCGTACTCTCGACTCCTTTGTAGTAGGCCCAATCCGGAAGCCTGCTACTGTTATTGCCGGTGCTCGCCGCTCTGGCCGACCTACAAAGCCTTCTGCTAAGGTGCGAGAAGCAGCAAGCAGTACTGTCCCCGCAAAATGTTCAGGTGCTGCTATCTCACCTGTTGTCACCAAACGTGCCCTTGTCTCTACAAACACTGTTGAGCCCGATGATGAGGCCGATGAGGTTGACGAGGCCGACGAGGTTGATGAGGCTGACGAGGCTGATGAGGCCGTTGCTGATTTAGACAATGCCGAAGAAGACCAGGAAGCATATGAGCATACCAAGGCATTTGGAGATGCTGACAGAGATGTATGTACTCATTTACCTTTTCAATTGTCCTCGCATTGTCCTCACGCTCAATCCAGCATCGCAAAGCCTTGAAAAAGGACGAGCGCACAGCTGACCTCTGGACAATATTCACAGAAGAGAAAGGCCACAAGAATGTGCATACAGGCGAAAGCAAAGATGGTTGGTGGTGAAATGTTTGCAGGTTAGACACTTTCTTTGTGCTTCTTTGCGCTTTCTAACTTGCCTTTTTGTCCTACAGGGAGGCGGAGGTGCCTCTTCAACAATGTTTTTTAAAGGCAGTATTTCAACGCGCCGTACACACATTGCCCAGTAGGTGATGCGTTGTTAACTGTGCTTGTATTTTGACTATGTCGGAAATTTCCTATTTAGGTTTCATGGCCTTGCAACGTGTTGCAATGACCCAATAACAAACCTAGGTCTCAACGTGATGCAATAAAAGAGTCTCACGTTCCAATTATGTTCCAATTAGGTTACAATCGAGCCTTTCAACCAAAATTTCAACCAAGTTGGGTAATAATAGCAACATTGAAACTGGATTACGATCCAAATCTCAAGGTGTGTTTCAATAATGTCAGAATAAACATGCGTAGGTTTCAAGTTAATTCGGACATCCTTGAGACAGAATAAATTTCATTGTAACAATATAGCCATTCAAATGATTCAGATATTCAACCTAATATGTATAATCCTCTACTATTACCACTACTACTTCTTCTTGCGGGATCTCACTGGCCGACCAGGTTGCTGCCCTGCTGTATCAGCTGACAATGAAACTGGTGCAAGTACCCCAGCCTTTTTGCCTCGGCCCCGTCGAGAAGACGATGACCCAGAGGCTACAGCTTGTGACGTGATCTCCCCATTGCCAGGCATGTCAGAAACTGCTGGTCCATCAGTAAACAACAGCAGTAACAGCTGCAGCAGGCACAACGAGCGCAGTAACAGCAGCGGCAGGTACAAGTGCAGTGGGTGTGGTAACAGCAACTATAGGCACATTGGTATTGCCTGTGAGCGAGACTGGAAGTTGAACAGCGGCGGAAATGGGAACTGGGTTGATGATAGTTTCAGTGGCCTGCAGTGATGTTGCAGGGGTGATAGCTTGTACAGTGGGAGGGACAGGTGGCGCAATGACAACTGGAGTGTCAATTGTTGGTGAAGTAGAGGTTGTGGGAGGTGCGGGATCTTCATTGATAGTCGGAGAATCTGAATCTTTGCGGCCAGCATTAGCAAGGGCTAAGCGCATTAAGTCAGAAGTGAAATCTTCGCCTTCGGCTTCTGAAGCTGCAACATTCGAGGTTGAGGACTGCCAGACGTGAGTGTCGATTTTCTGACGGATTGAAATAATGCGGGGCTCTTCCCAAAGTGTGACCCATAGTTGCTTGTAGGCCGTGAACATGGCTGCGTACGGTAGTCGAGATCTTGCACCAACTCCATCTTTAGTGAATGAAGTGTCCGAGGACAGAATAAAAATCAACTAAAAATCATTAGACACTGAGAACGGATGATAGCGAACAAGGGACAACTTACCGCGACCCAGCCCCAGGCAAGAAGACCGGGGGTGCATGATGTTATGCCCCACTTCCGAGCATTACACTTAGCGCGCGGCTACCCAACAATGTCCAGTGAATTTTTTCCGAACATTACAATTCTAATCGCCTGTTATACACACATTAGTACAAGCACAGTTTCTTCAGGCAGCCATAGCAAAAATACCTTTGCGAGCGGTTCCCAGTTACCGAAAACTGTTGACATCGTTGGGTCCATTTCTTGCCTCGTAAAAAGGACGGGTGGAAACTTCGAAGGTGGTTGACCAAGCAGTTCTGGATGTCGGGGATTGTATCTCGCTTCGTAAAACTGGTGTCGAAGTAGGAAGAATCAAGGCCAAAAATACGCCCTGCCATCACTCGCAACTTGCCAATCTCACTTGAGCGACCACCTTGAAGATGTTGTCCCAGCTGTGGTGTTATATACCAATAGTCAATATAATAGATCACATAACAATGAACTTCAGACCACATACCAACGATTGGAAATGAGTAGTCGGTACAAAGCGATGGAGATGATCTGGGAGAAGCGAGTATAGCTCTGTTATAAGACAGAGTTCTTCTGCGCTCTTGGTTGCATAGCGGCTCCCAGATAGGATGGCAGGTGGAGGCTTTGGCACAGGAAGTTTGAGGATGCGGTGCGTGGGTGGGAACATCTCTGCAATGATACCATACTTGCGGGAAAAAGTTGCAAGTTCAGCGTCAAAAGCTTTAAGCTCATCTGGAATTTGGGTACTCGAAGACGATCGCCGTTGATTTGCTGATAATGTCTTATTCGTCTCGCCTAAAGCACGATTATTGTTCTTGAGCGTTTGGTTTTCGAGTTGTAAGCGCCGGATGATCTTCAAGGACCATGATTAGGAGAGCATATCGTAATACATAGTTGCAGGAATGAAACATACCTCCATGTCCTCATGTCGCGGCATCCGACCATTCAAGGCCGATGGCTGGCTAATTGACGAGGCGCCGACAGACCCAGGACCAGAGTCTGATTCATATTCAGACGAGTCAGAGTTATCAGGTGCGTTAACTTGATGGGGAGTGTGCTGGGGCATGATAGGCAGGATTTGCGCAGTAGATTGGGAGACTGGTGGCCACAATGATGCGTGATGGGCGGTGGGGAATTTATAGTCGAAATTTGCTGTGTGTTGACAACCGAACAGCGTTTGATTCAGAATCGGCACCAAGGGAAGATGATCCATGCGGCAACTTACGTGCATAATGTACTTGATAATATGTAATAGCATGTCAGAAAGTGATATGAATCAGACATGAGGCATTAGCTTACCAGTGTGGCGTCGCCTGGACCATATCAATGTTCAGCATTGCAAAGACCTGAAATCACAAGAGATGAGTAAAAGGGCAACATAATTTGAACGCACCATTTTAACAAGCAATGAGCAACAGTAAAACGTCGTCTAAGGCTCTGAATCAGCGATGCATGGATGTTGGAACCAAATTGAAACCAAATTGCAACCAACGGACTTGGCCGAAAAAACACGATGTCAGCTTATTACATAATGCTGTAACCGTCATGCTCACTGTTGCAGTTATTATTACTGTGATAATATCCCTGATAAGCAATTCAACACGTTCCAACTGCACGAAATTTAGTATCTGGAGCGCGAGGTGTGTCAATATCTGGAGCACGAGATGTGTCAATACTTATCTGAAGGGGGAACGCTGAGGGAGTTTGAGGACATGGTCAAGAAGGATTTCATAGGTCAAGGACATTATTACCCAACTTATGCTCTGAAACTCCCTTCCCCCTCAAAGACAACCCCTCCTCCTACCATGAATCCTCCTCCAGCTGCTTTGGCACCAACATATTGTGGCGCAGGGCATGTTTCAACTGTGCGAAATTAACCAGGAGTGCGAGATGTGTCAATATCTGAAGGGGGAATGCTGAGGGAGTTCGAGGACATGGTCAAGAAGGATTTAGTAGGTCAAAAACCTTACCCAACTTACACTCTCCCTTCTCCCTCAAAGACAACCCCTCCTCCTAACACAAATCCCTTTCTGCCTCCTCCATGTATCATGGCGCAGGGCATGTTCCAATTGCGCGAAATTAACCTGATGGAGCATGAGACGTGTCAGTATCTGGAGCGGGAATGTCAAGGGAGCTTGAGGACATGGTCAAGAAGGATTTCCTAGGTAAAGGACCTTTCCCGACTTACTACACACCCATTTTCCGAAGCTCATGGGAGCAGGAGGTTATCACAACTGGTGTGGATGTGTGCGTGTGTGTGGGAGGGGGGGGGTGCACAGCGGCCCATTGCCTTCTGTGCCGAGCCTCGAGGTGTGCCAATGCCAGGTCTGGCCCTGACCCAATCTAGATTAATTTAGGCTAGTCTGAACAAGCAAGTGGCCGCAACTTCAGCTGTGGCTTGAAGACGTCAATGAGAAGTTCTCTAGTCACAGGTGCGCTTGAGAGGTCGAGGTAGGTAAGTCCACCACATGTGAAACCGGCGCGGAAGATGCTATCTCAGCCGGATCTTCCATGGTGAGTGGAGATGTGAATGTTTGGTCACCATACAGTGTGAGCTCCCAGACTCGTGCTGCTGCCGGTGCACGAACAGGGAAATCTATGATACTGGACCCAGTTAAATAAACATGCGGGGCCAGCACAAGCAAGTGCAGGTGAATGGTTGAGTCCCCAAGAGCAATAAGTAGATTCAATGTGACACTAAGAACGCAAAGTGACACAATGACGATGTAATGAAATGGACGTAGTATACACGCAAAAATGAAAGTGTTAGGGTGTGAAGTGTGTAAGTGTAGGGGAAGGGTGGAAAGGCAAATGTAAGGCAGGATTGAACCATACAAACAAAAGGGAGACGCAGGATGGACGAACCATGGACTTCCTCTCATCATAATAACTCCCCGATCCTTCAATCTCCTCGCATTCAGTTGCCGTCGCATTGGCACTTGCCTGTGTGGACTGGGGCGGAACACCAGGTGTTCGAGGGTGCTAGAATGTGTGTGGGATGGTGGTGACGGGGTGAGGGCATGAACAGGTGCAGGCATGAAGTTGCGTGAGGGCTGCGAGTGTGAAGTTTCATGAGGGATGCGTCAAAAGAATAAGGGTGATGGTAGACGAGTGACGAACCTATTAATAACCAGCCTCTGCACGAATCTCCTTCATTCGAAGGAATATATCTGTGTCAGTCGTATCAACAACCAAGAACTCGTTCGCTCTCGAACTATCCTCTGCCAATACACAACCGCGGATTATTGACTGGACCGAAAAGCACTCAGCAGAGGCTCTGGGCTTCGCCTTGACTCGCCAAAATTTGAAGTCTTTATCCTTCCGCGGTCGAGCGCCCACCGGTTGATCGTATGGGAGTGTGAGTGCAATAGGATAAGTGACATCCCCAACTATGCAGGTGAAGACTAACAACAGTTTGGCGAAGATGGGACCAGATTCTGCCTGCAGGATGACGCAATCATATCGAGGGGATCCATGGAACATTGGATTACATCGGAGATAGTCCACGGAAATTCGCCAGTCAACGAGTGACTCGTAGCTGACTTTGATGAATCTGAACTCGGTTATCTGAGCAAGGGTGAGATATTATCAGTAATGTTATTCAAGGGCTGCAGATGTTCAACGCACCATGTCATTCGCAGCAAGTTGAATACGTCTTCCATTGGGAAATGGTATACCATTAGCAGCGAATGCACGATTCAAAAATTCATTTAGTTTGATCCGGAATCGATCAAAGGCTGCATCGCCTGCGTTAGCTGCTTCAATCTCTGCAAATGATTTGGTTGCCTGCTGCGAACCAAGACTAAAATGCTGCGTGTCAGTTGGTTCAGTTGATTCGAGCCCATCTGAATCAGCCTCCAATGGATCAGGCACGATTGATGAACCGAAATTCTGCGCATCAAGGCACTCCATCTTGCTACGAATGTATTCCGCAACTAAGCTATCATGGTTGTATCGAAGAATCTTTAGAGCATCTTGCTCTATCAGCACTCGATTCATATTGTATCTAAGAAGCTGGTGCATTACCTGTTCTGCGAAATTCTTGAAGTTTGTGCGATCTTGATAAGCATCCTTCAGTGGGCCGTGCATTTTCTCATTCGGCTTCGTATTGTAGTTTCGAGTGACGCCCTTTGCCTCGATGTCATCAAAGAGATGAGCGGAAAGATGCATCTTGGGAAAGTTCCATGACTTCTCTAGGAAGTCTGCTGTATCTTTGATATATATCTGACTCGTCAATCTGAATTAGTAGCGTCAATTGATGACATACACAACAAAACATACATCCATGAGTTCAGTAAGTTCCAACAATGTATTTCGGCCATCCCTGATCGTATCCTCGGTGTGGACCTCAAGCGATGCATACGTGTTGAATTCCACGTAACTCCGAATACAACGAAGCAGAAGGTAAGCCTGTGGGTCCAGATCATGTTTGAATACATTATGGGCAGCGAAAACAATCAGCTATTAAATGAAGTGAATAATTGATCGAAAGCTTGAAATTAGATATACATACCTTTGATATATCCTCGTATTTTGTTCCATCAGCAAAGGATATTGACACCACCTGGTCAAAATGATTCAAATTTCGCCAATGTGGAAACGATTCGAAGCTGGCAATGTAAATTATCATCTATGTACCTATTACAGACAAAGAAATACTTGCAAGGCATCAATTAACACTGCAGCTTGCCGACCAGAATTAGTGATCCATTTTTGCAATTCCGTCCACAGGTGATCGAACTTTCCCTCATCGTTAAAATGAAGTTTGTCAAACGATAAAGCTTGGTAGACATCAGTGTGCTCCATGGTGTCAAATGCATTCTGACGGTGACAGTGGTAATGTTAGACGAAATGAAACAAAATCGAGGTGAAAGACTTACATCGACATCACGGAGGCTCTCGGAGCTCAATATCTGCTCTCGTACTTCCGCTGTCATAGAGTCTCGAGCCCGAGCACGTAATGCCTTTGCATCTCCAGATGAGCGAAGCCGATATGTGTTTAGTCCCTTGGAGAGCTCCTCACGAGGAATGAGGCAGACAGGGCAAGGAAACTTTCCCATGAGTCCACGAATCAACACCATCACGACTCTATAATAACAAACAAACATTCAGGTTCAGATACTACCTAGTAACATTTAGATCACTCACTGCTCTTCATAGTCTGCAGATAGTATCAGTATTATTGGATAGAAAGTGCGGACAACATCATCCCAACATCTAACAGGAGATCCGAGCTTCGATAGTGGCGCGAGACAAGCAAGCAGCATCAAAAACGATGTATGCCATACCGCGTTTTTGAAATTGACGAAGGCCGGCTTTTTGGAATGTTTCTTGTCTTCTTTTACCTATTGAAGTGCCAGTATTAGTTAGTGATAACACAATCATTGAGTAAAGCAAAAGCTACTAACAATGGGTAACCAACCTACAACTCGCCCACCACCCAAGCCCTCACCATTACGAACAGCAGCAGGAAGATTAGCGCACCGCGCAACTATCGGATAACCTTTTGCACGACCAAAGGATGATAATTTGGCTTTGTCTGCGTAGAGGACAAACGCAAGTGGTTTGCCATCTGATGGTATCTTCGACTGTTATGATATTCAATTAGTATACCGAGACGCACATTGAACTTGTAACACGAGTAATAGCACCACATACTTGATGTTCCCAGAAGGCATTAGCAGTCCAAGGCTCATGAATATACCGAATGAATTTTTCGCCATCGAACTTCGAAAGCTGTTGGGCATCGAAAACGAAATGTGGACCAACTTCAGGATCTTGAAGTAGGTCCACCGCCCAGTCCCATAGTGAGTGATGAAAAAATGGAAAGGTCTGATCAATGCCTTGGAAGGGCACGACAACCTCTTCCTTCATAAACTATGGTATTCAAAGTTAGGACATATTCTACACGCAGAGTGATCAGATACAGACAGGAGTCAACTTGAACGAGGCTGCATCCCACGTGTCCCGCACGTCTTTACGATTTCGAAGCGTAAACAACTCGCATCTACTGCGGTGAATGAGTTTAATGAACCGGTCCGTCTGCTCATGAGTTAGTGCAGCTTCATGGGCAAGTTCGGCCACTTCAAAGTCAATACGAGTGCGAAATGGACGCCAGGGCTCAGGATCAACTTTTGGAGGTGCTGCTGGGGCACCGGGGGCCACATCTATAATCCTCGAAGTGGTAAACTTGTGTAGGACACCCGCTGTTGGGGTGGTACCGGACTTGTATATCATCAACTTCAAATTGAGATACAGGTGATGCCGTTCTGGACGGCGGCAAATGATCTAAAATACAGATGAAAGTTGCAAACTCGGATGCGCAGAATGGTTTTAAGACATACCATGTTCAGACGCCTGTCCTATATCAGTATCATCTGGATGACTGAAGTCGATATCGTTATTGATGTCCTGCGAATGATCGTGGGCAGCTTATCAGTGGTCGAATGAGTTAGGATCAGTGATTAAGGTCGCGAGACGATCACGACTCACTAAAAGCAGATGGTCTCTCGCCAACAAAAACACTACCTTGCTGTACTTGTTCTCTCTCTACAGTGTGTTTACATTTAGTATTTTTAGCATGAAGCCGTAACGTCTGAAACAATGAACATACCTTGTTGAATAAGCCTCGCAAGCTCAATGTCCTCTCTTCTTTGTTTGTATCGCTTCCGGCAAGCATTCTCGTGTGTTCGGAATCCTCGACGACAGTATTGTGTGTTACAATATGAACACGTCCGGGGTGTGGGGTCAGAAGGCATCGAGATCAGTTTTGATCCAGTGGCAAGTCCAAGATTCAGACGCCTGGTAAAATTCGTTGAAGGTCTTATTATTAATAGGCCTGGGGTAAATTAAATACTATAAAGAGACTCACCTGTTTGAGTCTTCGCAGAGTCTGATGGAGAGATGCTGGGTTCAAACGATAGAGTTGAGTGTGTGATGATAAGCTCTGAGGGTCTGGATATTCGTTCTAACATCATTCATACTAAAAATCAGTCTAATAATAAGACTTGACAACTGTGATAACGCACCTTGTAAACTATTGAAATTGTGCAATTTGACAGTCGAAGCGGTCTGAGGTGTGACTCGGTGCGTCAAAAGCAGGATTGAGGGCAAATTGAGGGAGGATGGTGGTAGGAAGCAACACTGTAACAGCGACGTGATTCATTGACGGATAATACATAATCGAACCTGATGCATCATTACTAATGATAGGTACAACTCGGTATCAATTATGTGACTCACTTTCAATGTCCCAACTTCGGTATGAATATTTCTATTGGGTATCAATAATAGAACTCAGGTGCAAAGATCTCGACTCGGTATCAATACGGTTGGAATCGAGTCTCAGAGGCACGTGATTGCAACCGACTTAGGAAATTTCCGACATAATGTACCTTTGTCCAGCAATCCGAAGTGTCACTTCCCGATATACAAAAGTCGCTGCAACGAGCAGGGAGTCATGATGCACGAACGTGCTATTCCAGCTGCTGTCAAAGAATCTGGTGCCGTCCAGCATGTGGAGCTAGACAATGTCTCAGCGGACATGTAAGACAACGCTAATATATTATAACCTAGACAATGTCTAGGATACAGGTTAGCAAGACTGAATACTGGTAATCGTGGTATACGTACCTCAGCGGACGTGTAAGACAATGCTAAGGTAACACTACGTATGAGCAAGATATATAACCGTCGAGACTCGGAATGTTCGGTATGGAGAGGTTCACCGGTGACAACGACACCGGTGATGGCAATATGGTGTTGAAGTTGATGAGATTCGATAAGGACGAAAGAGGAAGAGAAGAAGACAAAAAGGTCCCGGAGGTTAATCCTCCGGGACTGGTACCATGCGTATGTATCTGAGTCGTTTCGTCCAACACAGCAAACACTTGACTGCTCTCTTGTCCCTAAGCCACCTCAATTCACCAAGGCCGGCCTAACTGACTACATTGTTGAGCTCATAGTAGCCGAGGACGAGGCAGTTTCAACTTGTCGATAAGGGGCCATTTTGCCATCTCCTCCAATACCTTCGGCCAAGCCTAACTGAACAGCACCTTCTTCATCGTACTAAACTGCGTGACGAGGTTTTGGAGAGAGCTCGAGTTGCTGTGGAGCTGAGTTAAGGAAAAGCTTCAGCATATTGATAGCAAGGTTTCAATGACGTTCGACTCATGGACTTCACTTGTTGGCGATCCTTTCCTCTCCGTCACCGCACACTATATTGATGCCCCTGCTGACAAGCCTCGTGAGTGGGAGCTCAAGACCGAGCAACTTGCCTTCAAGCCCATTGTGGGCAATCACAGTGGCGCCAATATTGGCAGCATATTAGTGCAAGTCGTCACAGATTATGACATTTGTGATAAGGTGCGTTGATTCGTTCTCGTTCCCTCACTTCATTTGTGCTTACATGGCTCCTTACAATCCTAGATTGGCTGGTTCACCGCCGACAATGCAACCAACAATGATACCGCTATCCAGGCTGTTGCCAAGGTCATTGACCCTTCAGGCAAGAACTGGAACTCTGTTGAGTGTCGTGTCCGTTGTATGGAGCACGCACTCCATCTTGCCTGCAAAACATTTTGTTGAGGATGTTGATCCTACATCAGGCAAGTTCTCTCCTTAAGAAGGTAGCTGAAGAACAGGACGAGGAAGAAACCGAGTTTGATGTTGCTGACGCTGTTGGAAAAGCTCTCGCACTCGTTACTCAGATCCGAAAGTCCCCGCAAGCACGTGTCTTCTTCAACAAGTGCTGCACTGAGGTTAACGTTCCAAATCGAGAGCTTCTCAAATGGATTAGGAGACACTGGGCTTCCCTCTTCAAGATGTTGGAGCGGATTATTCAGTTGCGCAAGGTTTGTTGTTTCTTTTCTAATACTTGGAATTTAACTAATGTTAATCAGGGAGTGAACCGGTTCACACAACTTGCTGATGACAGTGACGAAGTTCCCAATTTGCAGGGCAAAACATACGCAGCCTTCAAACTCACGCTGCAGGAGTGGTCGAACATGGAGGTCATTTGAGATGTGCTCCAGGTCAGTTTCTGTCTTCAATGTGATATTTCTAATACTGACCAGGTGAACAGGAACCTGCCAATGCTCAACAGACTTTCTCTGCCACCCAGGAACCTACAGTATGGCCCACCATCCCTGTTCTCAAATTTCTTCAAGAGACGTGGGAAACCATGGCCGGTTCATCAAAGTTCAATGTCGTTTCAGCGTCCATCATGTCTGGCTTGGATAATCTTCGCAAGTGGTATTGAAAGACAAATGACACGGATGTCTACTTCATTTGCCTTGGTATGTAACTGTTTATGTTACACCATCTCTTTCTGATTAAGTTTGCACAGCCCTTGATCCCAACTACAAAGTCGCATATGCCAAGGCAAAATGGTTGTTGCAGGACTTCAATGATGGTATGAAACGCCTCGAGAACGTGGTAAGTCCTTTCAGTTCCTGCTGATCTACTACCTTTGTACTAACCTATCTAGTTTGACAAGTATTATCACGCCCCTTCTTCGACATCTGTCACGCCACATTCTGTTGTTGTACCGTCACTCTCTCACCAAGGCTCGTATGGGCACAGTTGGATGCGTGACACAATCAAAACTCGTGTGTCAGATGATGCAGCTCATCAAAGGCCTCACCAGGAACTCGACAATTATCTGGCTGCGCCGCTGGAAGAAGTCGATAATGTAGTGGCATGGTGGGGTGTGAGTTCATTTCATCGTATCATTCTCCCTCACAACCTAACTATTGTTTCTTCAAAGCATCACTCTATTCAATATCCCACTATGGCTTGCATTGCAAAAGACTACCTCGCTATTCAAGGGTCTGCCATTGCATCTGAACGGGCATTCTCGAGCGGTGGTATCACCGGGACTACTCGTCGTAACTCCTTGCTACCAACGACATTCGAGGCACTTCAACTGTTGAAGAGTGCGTATCGTCAAGGCCACATCTCCGCAGCGGTGCAAGCTGAGCTCGCCGTTGTGGAATAGTTGTTATTGATGTATTTCGAATTTTGCAAATGATTATATCGCGTTCAGCAGTTCGAACTGGTCCGAACCTGAACCTGACCATTGTGAACCCGTTCGAAGTGGTCCAGCCCAGAGTCCACCCTACCTGTGTGAACTTGACCGAGGTTTGGTTCTTGGTCCTCAATTATCTTGAAAAAACCAGGATGGAACTGAACTTCGGCAGCACTAGCTTCTCAACTAGAAATTCAGTGAGTAAAACTCAATTAAAATAAACAGACCACGTACCAAATGAATTGTTGTAGCTGACGGCACAAGACCCTTTGAGCATGCCGCGCGTTGTGAAATCAGCTCTTGCTGCTGCGACTTTGTCCAAGCGCTGATTCGTAAGGAGCATCTGGCTGAGTGCATTGTACTTGTTTGAACATCGCCATGGTTGCTTTACCGCCTTGATATGTTTTGATTCCATTATTGACGAGCACAGGCCGTTTGCAGCACCAAACATTCGGATGAGAAGCTCATAGTAAAGAAGAGAGTGTTGTTGGGGTAGGGAAATGTCAATGCGGACACCGGTAGTCTGGAAAATAGTCTGGTAAGTATGAACACGCCCAAGGGCATCTTTCAGCGCTGCGAGAGTGTCGTCTGTCACTATGTTCACATGCACGATGTAACAGAACTCTAGCAAGGCTCGAAATGCCCAAACCATATCATCTGGTACGTGGCCCTCAATTGCTGGTAGATAGACCTAGATAACAGCTGTGTAAATTTGATAAACGCGAGATAGTGAATGAAAACATACCTTCATCAAAGCTTTGGAGTTGTGGCCGGTCCATTGCGAGAATCCATGCCCTTGTGGAAAGCATCGTAAGCCAGGGAAGGGTGGCGCAGAAGCAATTCTAGTGTATTGTCAGTTATCACAACAGGAAGCGGCAGATTGAAAAAAAAACATACCTTCGGTCAATATCATCTACAATTGCCTTAGCGCGTGTTTTGCCATGCGTGAGTTCGAGATACTGACCCACCCATTCAACAAGGTGGTCCTTGAATGTACCTTTGATGAGCTGGTGCAGTATGTTGGGGGCAAGGAGCTCGTGAATGTCGGCACGAGGAAAGTCATTGGTGAAGGGTTATGGAGTGTGACTGTGAGTTCAACAATGCACAAATGATATGGGGGGGGAAACATACCACTAACTTGCAAATGATACCATACTCGTCCCAAAGTATACCAAAATCTACAGAATCCACAAGCACATCTGTATGTTCGCGTGACCGAGAAACACCTCCTTCATCAAGACTTGAAGGAAATGCAAGGCATCTGTGAATACAAATGAGACTGGGGTCATGAACACGGATACGAACAGGCGGTGTCCTGAGGATATGGTAGCCACTTACCTTCCACACCAATCTTTGACCATGCATGCCAATACTACCTGCTCTTCGTAGTCTGCAATGTAGGGTCCAAGGCCATATATAACGCACCGGTAGTGTCCGTCGCCACAACATGTGACTTCTGGAGTCGTCATTCCAGGTTTGAGGTTGGCAAAGATCCTCGACAACAAGGAGTGAAACAGCTGCTTCTTGAATTTGCGGTATCTAATATCATCTGCATTTTTTTTTTGCCGCTGCACACAACAATGTGAGCTTCAAAGTAGATTAGGAGAGAATCAGGTACATACTCTTAGGGATCGCCAAAAATCCAACCAGAGCCAATGCGTTGCGATTCGCCTGCCGGACGTTGTTGTGAACGTTCCCGATCGAGAGATATAGAGGGTAGTAGTTGTTTTGACCAGTAGCGACAGACACTGTCGTCTTGTCACTGCCTACAATGATGGGAACGAAAGCCGCACCATGCGTTTGTGGGTCCTGTGCGATTTCGTCCTGTACCTGACATCAATACGAGAATATACTAACAGAAACGAAATATGTACTGCTTGCTGCCAGGCCCAGTCTCCTGACATGAAATCCTTATAGCGGCGCTGCTCATCCTTCTCCTGAAATTTGCGGGTAGGGCGTATAATCAATTCCACCTTTGAATTCTGGATTCATGAGCATGTTCTTGACAACGGTATGAGGGTCCCGGAACCAAACCTCGTGTGACTGTTCCATCCAAAGCGGACACTCTCCAGCAGGTTTATCGCCATTGTACTTCAGGGAGAAGCTTTCCCATGTGACATCATCTAGCGGTGTTGCATCGATAGTATTGTACAGGTCCTTGTAGTCGGCAAATGGTGGATCGTCGCGATGAACAGCGAGAGTGATTCCCCACAGGTGGAGAATCTTGTTGATATCACCAGCGGACATCTGGTTTTCAGTGTACATGAAATCCTGCGCACTCGAATTCCAGTCAGTTGCGATACGGAGTCCAGTCGTCAGGACTTTTTGCTGTGTATGGTGGAGGAGGAGTGCCAGGATCAACAAAGTTGCCATTCTCGTCACAAATACAACCTGTGGGTATAGGTATTAATCAGATACAAGCCTGGCACCACAGCACAACTATTGACTTACCAGTCAGTGTCTCGTGATAATCACGAATAAGTCCATGCTTCGACTCCCAGAGCTCATTGTTGGTGCATCTGGGAGCTTCTTCATCTTCGATTTCTTCAACAGAGGTGTGTCATGTGCGTTGCGATTCAGGATGGGTAAACGAGTGGCTATGGGCCGAGTTTTGATGAAGTTTCAGCCCAGAGGTATTTTTCAACCAGTGTTTGCAGCCTGGGTAGGGACACTGGATGCGGCGGGCACTAAACGCCCGTCGTTTGAGCTGCGCATGAGGGATCTCGTCTGGCATGATGGATGGGAGGCTAACTGAAAAGCGCAAACCATTAGCAAACACACTAGGGAGAATGTAATATAATACATACAAAACAGGGTGTGCGACACATAACTTAGAGTTTCAAAGTCCATAGTGACCGCTCAACCTTACACCAAATTTTCTCCTCCACAAGCCTGACCGTTCAAACAATGGTGCACCCAAACACTCGTCCTAAAAATGCGAACCAGCATCCTGGTGAGATCCTCCTCCAGGACAAGAGGAAAAGGCACACTGCTCGTCAAATCCAGGAAGACAACGACCAAGCTGAGCATGAGCGGCAGGAGAAAGAAGCCACTGATCAACGCACCACCGAGAAGATTGCATCTATTGAAGACAAGAAGGCGTTGAAGGACTTGAAGATCCTTTTGCATGCGCCAAAGCCTCGGCCTCGGGCGCGTCCTGTGTTGAAGTCGAAGGTGAGCCAGCCGAACATTGAAGATGATGATGAGATTGTAGAAGCAGCTGAGATGGGGGATGTCGAAATGGAGGACGTAGCTGCAGGCAATAACGATGGCGATAAGGACTTTCATCCAAGGTAAGGTTTCAGGAGACTCACCATACACAGAGACTGACTATGTGGTATCCAGTGAGGAGGAGGAGGAGGAGGAGAATGAAGAGGTGCAGCTGAGGAATAAGCATGTCCAGAAGACAGCATATCGTGAGGCTGTCCATGCTGAGTGAAGTGTTAATAATACAGGCATCAACATGAGTTACAATCAGAATTCGAAGGTCGATATATCAGATCAGGCTGATCCAACAGCACGTGGTGACCAGAAAGGCAAGAAAGGAGTGTAAGTCATTATTGTTCCCATCTGCCATGTTGTTACTCACCGAAACGACTCTTTTTCATCTCGATCACCTCAATCGATTCAGTGCGGATGTCTGCGCAGCTAAGGACGACTATGCGGGGGTGGGGAAAACAAAGGACTGGGCTGAGAAACTTGCAACAAGCAAGTTGCTCCACCCTCAACTTGAAAGCCTTCGCACTGAATCACACAGACGGGTGTCCTCAATCACCACCTCGACTGCTGTTTCAAAGATCTCGAAAGTGGCTAGCACCAGCACTAATCCCACTGGCAGCCCGCACCCCACAAACAATGTTCAAGGCAATCTTGAAGAACCTACCACAGTGTTTCAGGATGAGGACGATTCACTTGAGTGTGAGGCTGCGTTCAAGGCTACCAAAAAGCCTGGTGCCAGGCAAACGACTTCAACAGTATTTCTTTTATTTTTTGTGCATTTGCATCACTCTCACTCCCCACTCAGGATATATTGGAAGTCAGTGGTAACAGTTTATCACCGCCTCCATCACGACCAAAGAAACGTGCACCAATAATGGCAAGGACTGAGTCCTTATCCTCCCCCCCTCCTCGTGCCCCCCCTTCTACGCAACCATCCAGAGCCACTGCCAGGTTCATCCTGACTGAGCTCGCTACTGACTTGTCAATGGACATTGACTTTGGCAAGAGCGAGGACACATCACCACCTCCTGCCCCTGTGTCAGAAAAAGGCACCAAACACCTGACAACTTCAGTAAGCCGGTACTTATTTTGTGATACCCCTCTCATTTTCTCTCCGCTAAATATAGACCGGCGTCAGCATCAATAGCCAGCCCCCCCCCTTCGAAACGAGCAAAGACAGAGCTTACAGAGCAAGAGTGCCATGTCACGCCACGATGGCAGTGGCGCCAATCACCAGTACCAGAATGATGACCTTCCTGAGGGATGCCAGGATGGTAATACCTGGCGCCGGGTGTTCATACCAACTGTCGCACACTGGGCTGGTGGAGACATTGAGCCTTGGGGTCCTGAATACGAAGACTCAAGGGAAACCATGCAGGAGATTTGGAACCATATATATCGGGGGTAAGATCCAGCACGAGATCTCCAGATCTGGTGCCGTTTTAAAAGTGGTAAGTCCATATTTGTTTTTGTGGTCATTCAGAAGTTCACCAACATTTGTAGGCCAAACAACGTCTCATGGAATGGCGTGGAGGGTTCGGTGTTGCAGCTTGCTCCATCCTCACTGCATTTTTTGCACAGGACACTGATTTTTTGGATCCTGCAGCTCGTGAGGACTTTTCAAGGGCCATGCTGAAACATAACCGGATCATTTTCAGGGATAATTTAGGACTCGTTCCCAAGGTAAGTGGCTACAATGACTACTATGAAACCAACTAATTATGTGTTCGAAGGACTGGACGGGCATGTGGAGATCCCCTTTCGGACTTCAGACATTCACATCACACCTCAACTTTACCTTCGGCCGTGTTGAAATCCTCGACCTTGACACCAGAGAGCATTAGTGTGCAGGCCGCATTTGCCCTCGCCGTTACTGCTGTAAGTCGTTCAATTTCTGCCGTTCAGTTGTCTAAAAATATTATTTTCAGGTTTATCATACTCTTCAGCTCATCATTGATGGGAACCTCACTTTCGAAGTCGTTCAAGAATCCTGCAGGCAAATGCAAAGGTGCGAAGACCGATGGCGGCGATATTTGGACCCCCATCATCACGAAGGGCGAGCAGTTTGCTTTCAGCAAACCTATCTGGGGGCATATGACTGTGAAACTCATGGGGCCCATCATGGCGCTTTCCGACGATGCCTTCGCGAGCATTGTTGCAGAGGCACAACAGTATGCCAATCATGCTGAAAAGTATCAGGAACTCGAGGACTACCACCAGTGACGCGCCTGACGAGGATGACTGTATTTGCTGACCTCTTTGCATTCCGTTGAAGCCACTCGGCACCGTTTTTTTTTGTCGCTCATTATATACACATCCCATGCTCCCCACCATTGCCTATTTTATTTTTATCATCCATCTCTGATTGCATCTTGTTGGCCTTGCATACTTAGAGCTTAATTTGTCTTACTGTATAAATTTAAGTAAATTCAAGTTCTATTAAGTCTTGTGTTGGTGTAAGACGAGAGGCTTATGTTAAGATTAAGGTCTTTGAGAAAGACCGACTTATTTTGACTTGGCAGCAAATTTAAGCTCGTTAAGATAAATTAAGAACCGTGGTATTTTACTGATGCTGCCTGGATATATGCATTGAGCATTGTTAAATCTAAGAATGGACTGCAAATTGAATGTTTTTTTAGTAGACATCGAAGGCGTGGGGCTAGTGTTGCTTACCTCAAGTGATGCACCATCCTGGTTCATGCGAGTCTGACCTTTGGCACGAGAAACGGGTAGACACTACAAATGGGTGAAAGGGACCAACCTACGACAAGTTGATATACATGCATGAATATGAAGCAAACTACTTAGGGAAGAGTTTGTCTCCGTGATTGAGCAGTTTGTGCTACAGTATTTCATGTTTGCCAATGACTTCTCCATGCCTCAGCATTCGGCCAAGCTTGAAGGATGCCGTTAACATCCAAGTGACCCATCTGGCAATCTGCAAAGGAACGATGAGTATTGGAAACACGTCCGCAAGTCTCTTTAGAAGTCTTTACAAGGTCACAGCATTATTTCAAGCTACAGAATTGTCAGATGATAGCACTTGGACAACTGGTTTATGGTGTTTCCATAAGTTGACATTGACGGACATGCAAAGTCCTACGAGTGTGAGGAGGGAACTTTGTTATTCTGTCTGCTGATAATAACTGAAAATGGAGTAAGAGTGTTATGAAATGAATACCAAGGTCGTAGATATATTGGTTAATGGTGCGTTGAAGCAAATAACAAGGAATGTTGAGGATATGCTGAGTGAGGCGAAATGAGTGGTAGGATAAGACAGTAGTAGGCTGATCTTATGGTGCTCGAGGTTGTTAGTTAAACTCATATTCGACTGTGCAGGAGTTAGAGCAGCTACTATAGGTTGTTACAGCTATCTTCATATTGATAGGCCAGAATTCAGAAAATTCACTTAGCCGCTTTGATTTATTATTGGAGCGACACCAAACAAAGGCGCTCATGCTAGCTACTTTTGTAAGTTGCGTAAGTCGTCATCATTACTTGGGGAGTACTGCTACAACGACTGCCGACAGTCATCATCATGCACAGGAAACTGTTGAGATATATACATATTTCAATGGAGACGAAGAGACGATCTCGCTCAAGTGCCAGGGAAACTAAGTGGAGCCTCATCTGATGACGAGCATGACTTACCTTTGACAACATTGTAGTGTCTTGCATGGTGGGGGCTTCGTTACTTGACCATGAAGGTCAACTACATACTAGTAGCACAGTATCGTCATCACCATGTGCAGCTGGTCACAAACTCTGCGTGCGCGCCATGATTCCAAAGTCTCCTCATAGCATTTGTACCGCCCCACACAAGCCCCACAAGGTTAACAACTTACCGTAAAAGGTAGCTAGCATGAGCGCCTCTGTTTGGTGTTGCCCCAATAACAAACAAAAGCAGCTAAGTGAGTTTTCTAGATTCTGGCCTATCAATATGAAGATAGCTGTAAATGCAAAATGAAACTGCTGGCGTTTGCAGTGCAGACTATGGGAGGCACAACTTATGTATATGAATAACTTGAACGATCGCACTGAAGCATTTGAGAGAAGCTTTCATCGGAGTTCGAAAACAAACAGACAGATGACGCTAATATTAGCAAGTGCTCCAAGTCAGTAGCTAGCTTATCTTTCAACAAGTTCTTTCGTTTATTCTACTCCACGGACCCCTCATAGTCTGGCAGTCGCGTCCCATATTTTCATTGAGCAGTGCTAGACATTTATCGATATCTCTTGTCCTATTTTTGATTTCTTCGTCCACTCTGACTTCATCTTTGTGTATCTTGGATTTATATGTCTTTATGATCACTCCATCTGCTTCATCTGACGAATTCTTTTGATGTCTTTTCTGTTTGGCCTTTTTCTTTCGTTGTGTCCCTTTTGTTTATCGTTCGCAGGTTGCGTATTTTCTCGATCTTCTCGTACTGTCGCCCTGTTTGCCTCCACCTCACACTCTGACCTCCCTCCTATTTCTTGCACCTATCTCGTCCCCACCCATGTCTTCACCCTTAACCAGTCTTTTTCATTTTCCAATCCTCAAAGGTGTCTCACATGTCTTACTTTGTATATGCTGACGATCTGTATTTCATTCTGTATTTCCTAGGATGCCCACACTCACTCGTTCATTCGCCATTATGCGTCATGATGCACGCTTCCACACTCCTTCGTTCTCCATTTTAAGTGACTACTGTCACTCTTGTTTGTGCCATGAAACGCGCAGTTCACACTCCCTATTTTTCAGTTTCTTTATCTATTCAATATTGGTCTCTGCGTCTCATTGGGACAGTTCTTTTTATGGATGGGGAATTCTCCTTTCAATGAACGGCAGATGTCTCTCTGATTGTGCCTCTCCTAACTGGCTATTGACCACTTCTCAAGCTTGTCGATGACCTTGATATATCTATTCACTAGTGCATCAATCCCATACCTTCATTGCTTATCAGCCACCAAACTGGAATCATCACACATTCATTAACTTTATATTCAAAGCGTATACCATCACTGCCCATTCATCATCGCTTTCGTTCCTACTACCTCCGTTCCTGTCCACATCATTTAATCGTTCTTTCTTTGTACAACAATCCCCTCCTTTTGGTGCAATCGCCCCTCTCTCCCCCTCTTTGTACAACCTCATACTTTCTTTGTACGACCACCCTCATTGCTACACACGTCAATGACAGGGAATTAGATACGACACATGTATGTACTTTTGGTCGCATTTGTACTAATCAGCGTGTACATGAATCAGAAGGAAGCTCGTGGATTCTTCTCGTGTCATAATCGACAATGTCTGCCATGAGATTGTCGACTTAGGTTGTGTTGAATTAATGATCTAAATGGTGTCATTGTTGGGCCTAACCCAGCAATGCCAAGAACACCCCAAAGATCACACTGCATAGTACATTGCCAAAATCACGAACAGTTCTGTGATTGATCTTTTGCGGTGTTCGAACATTCTGCGCAATTCACTGCTTTGCAATTTCATTTCAAACAACTTTTACCTCGATCCCATCGATATCCTTGGATGCACATTGTCTTTCTACTGGAATTCACTGCTGAACCACTTACTTCAATCAATCAGATATCATCCCTCAAATCTCACTTTGACGATGTGACCACTGGGATCAAGCATGAATGTGATCATTATACGTCCACCAAGTTCCCATGCTCACTCACTCCCATCCTCTGATAGTATGACCTTAGTCTTGAATGACTCAGTTGGTGGCCAATCATCAATGCAAGTCTTATTGTCAGCTATTTTTATGGTTCGTCCAGAGCCAGCCACATGATGACGGGGTCATGATTCAATTCACCTCGACTCTAATTTTGCAGTGGCCGCCTCTGTTGGGGGAATGTATGATTGGAGTGAGAAAGACTAAGTATAAAAGAACCATTGATATTCTTATGGTATTCTCAGTGCTTACGTTCGGACGAGAGGTACATCGATCTATTACAGGGGCAGCCAACTCGCTTAGAATTGTGTTATAAGTTGAACTGATCTAGTGGGTGGGTGGACTCCCGCATCAAAAAAATGACGTGGAAATACAACTTGTTCATGGCAGAGGCAACACTGGTCCCTGATAACCTTTCTCTATCTCGGTGTATGTGCCTTGATTTTCAATATTTATGCTTAGCAGGTCCAAGTTTTGCTGACTTCAAAATATCCTAGGCACGCTATGCTGGAATAGGATATGTTGTGTACGTTTGGAAGTTTAAGCAATTGATGTTGCACTTGTTACCCATCTCTCACACTCAGGATGTACATGCTGGGTGTGTATCCTCGCATACACTGTGTTTGTTTCTTGTGACAAGCGGCATACAGTCAGTGTTCCAACAATTTCGACAACAGACGTCGTGAGTATTCCACACTGATGCCTTCAATTCTTGTCCAAACAAGTGAACTACCATGCAGGGGTGAGTGAGATTCTCGAACAACTAGTTGATTCAACATAACGACTCCCACAGTTGTGAGTTTGTTTTGAGCCTGTGGTCCTCCGAAACTGATAACTAATGTTGCTGTATTTGCCAGGCCTTATTATAAACGACGCACTTGATTGGACGGGTGTCGTTGAAAATGTAATACTAGGAAGTGAGTTATATACCTCTGTGCCATCAGTGAATTGAAGAGATCTTGATTTTGTAGCCGTGCGAACTGTAGAGTGACGCAATTCTGCTCCTGCTAGATATGATCAAGTAAACCTATAAGAAATTTGAGTTGTAGATACATAGCCCACAAATCGAGAGTAGCATGAGCAGTGTACAACGACATTATGATGTTGCTTCATTGCAGCCAATGAGGGGTGGTAGCTTACTTGTGGTAAATATTTTGAGCATTGTCATTTTGCGCGACATGTGATTTGCATACAGCCTCATCCAAGGCCTTCTCGTGGGAAGTGCCTTTAGCACTTGTCAACAAATGTAGAATAGTGTGCAACTCTGTAACAAAATCGTGGCCTGGGGCGATGAAGACCAACATAGGACGCCAGTGCACTCCCCTCATGCATCTCGGATGCTGTCGTTTTTGGTCATTAATGTTCGGAATTAAAAGATGATCTAAGACCTTCCAGTGGGGGGGTACCTTTGGCACCTGTCAACAGATATACAGTAGTATTATATTTCATAACAAAAATATAACATGGTGTCATTGCAGCACGCAAGGCTCAGCAGCACACTCCTCTCAATCTTGATGATCTTGCTGCTTTTGCCTGATTCTAAGATCCCATTCAAAACCTTTCCGCATCATTGGACTTAGCAACAAAATTATGACATGCCCATTGCCGCCATTGTAAGCAGCCATCACTGATTTTTTTGAAAACCTTATACTGTCGTGACTGTAACCTGACTCTTGGCGTTGACAAAGCACAGACTCGCTGTTGACTTAACGCGAACCGATAGACTCCTATTACAAATTGAATGCTTACAAAATGATTAATATGGACAGACAATGTGCTCCGCAATCAATGTTTCAAGTGCGGCCCGCTATGTTGGGTCCATCTGATCAAAGCGTGTCCCAAGACTTTCGTGGTATGTCTACCATTCATCCACTACATAGTCACTGGCAACAAACATGCCGTTGGAGCGCTCCCCCAGCGCCCACCTGAATATAGTACCTGTCATTATGAATAACGGCCGTAATTGGGCGGCAGTGAAGGGGAGGTCCTTGCTGAGATATTGCTCGTATTGGAATTTGCTGTCGTACACGACATACACAATAAACTCTAAGACGGGGGTGTTGCCAAATGGCACGATGATGAGGCTCCCATTAACCTAAATGACATCATCAATTTGATTTTGAAAGGTAAATACATCACTAACCTCAAGCGTAGTGTCTAAAAATGACTCATCCATGATCAGTTCAGCGACATGATCCGCACGGGCTTCGAGGTTCCCTGTCGCCAAGGACGTGTTGCCCTCCTTCAGATTGTACTTGAAGTACACAAAATAACGCCCTGCCTCTCTCAACTCGTTATGCATAGTTTCAACCAAGTTGACGAGCTTCTTTTGCCCAGAAACAGCAGAGTTTTTTGCCAAGTTCTTAAATTCAACTAACATCATGAGTCTACGCTGTGATTCAACAAATTTTAAATAAGACACTTACGCGGTTGGTTCTCAACGGTAGTCGTCCATGCGTCCTCCGCCTTGACGGCGATCTCATCTTTCGCAGGAAATAAAGAGGATCGCAAGAGCACTATCTTCATATTGTCTTTCGCCTGCGACACAATCCACGCGTCATTGAATGGCACAATGTTGAGCGAGTGCGTTTTTGTGGGTGTCACTGTGCCGGATTGAGAATTGAGTTGCCTTGCGGCTTCTCCTCTTTCTATTCCCGTTCGATGGGATCTGCGTGTAGTCCTTGACCGAGTCGTTCCACTGGATTCTGTCCAGCGGAGGCGCATAGCCATGAGGGGAGTGTGAGATTGAGGTAAGTTATTAGGGATATTCAGATGAGGTTCTAAGTGCATGGCACCGCTGGTTGATGCGTGAGGTTGGGGCAGGCCATGATGCGCGCTGGCTGATATCCCGGGAGCATCAGCCTGAGGGTGAGGCAAGTCATGGTTCAGCGAGGTGGCGCTGGCCGACGTCTCGGAAAGTTGGGACAAGTTCAGTGATCCCTGACTATGATCAAGGGGATCGTAGCGATCAGAGGGTGTGGGTTCCCAGGCCCGGGCTGCTGGAGTGACATCTTGGCCTTCATCAAGATCCCATGCCTCATTAAACGCAGGCTGGAATTGGTGACCACGTGTGACAGTCATCCCAGCCGCAGACTCGGAAAAGTGAGGAGGGTAATATGGGATGGGGTGATGTAGTATTCCTTGAGTGTGCCAACCCATAGCGGCATGGCCGCCCTGCTGATCAGGGACGTTATGGTTGGAGGGAAATTGGCCAGCCCAGGAAAAATCAACATTGTTGTGATACATATTAGAAGTACTATGGACTGTTGGAGATTCTTCCTGGTTGCCGCGATGGGCAGCTGCCACTGTTGGCAATGGCCTGGGGTTCCAAGATTGGTTGAACATGCTGGTGGAGGGTTAAGTGATTCATCTTGGACTAATGGAATGATGCGGGCACGTGAGGTTAATCAGTGAATCAATTCAATGATAATGATAACTTCGAGTCTGATCATCTCTTGAGGCCTCAGCAGGACCATCTAGCCGTAATTGATGCCCTGTTTCAACATACAGCATGTGACCGTGAGTTCCCGGGCATAGTAGTCCGAAGCCGAAACTCGGAGTATCGCACTTTTGCGCTAGTATTCCCCACCTTCGCATTCTTGTATCTCTCATGTCGACCTTTATTGGGCTCATTTCTGTTAGTGTCTCGTTTGATTTCAATGTCATGCCTGTCACCACAACTGTATTTTAGTTGTAAATCTACTGCGACCAATGCACAAGTGAGTTATGTTTAAACCTCAGGGCAATCTTGTATACATACCGATAGAACGTCCAGCCGTGGCGTACTAGTATGGTCACGACATTCCTTTACTTTGGACCTATGATGCAGGGAGCAAAAACCATGTCCACGCAGCGATTCAATCCAGTGTGCATTCACTAGTTCCTCATGTATGTCTCGAGGGGAATCGCACATTAAATAGAATTATCGAGTTGATCGAGCAGCATTCCATCAAAGTTAGCAAAGCCCAGGACCTAAGGGCGAAGATCATTGTCGTGCAGCGTCGACTGGATGATGAGTGGGTTTGGGTCTGATTGCTGTTGGATGGCTAGTTTTTTGTACTTATCCATATCCCACACCCTTGAGCCTGCCAATACAACTGCTTTCCGTCAAGCTTCACACAGTTGGTTGAGATTGTCAAATCGGATGCAACAGCAACATTACAATTCCAATTTGAGTCAACTGCTGCATAAGTCAAGTCATGGGGCTTAAAGTAATTCGTTAAGTATGGAGATCAGAGAATGGTCCATCAACAATGCACCAAGACAGCAGGGTATGACCTAGTTCTTATGCAGCATCATGTCACGTCTCCATTAGCACTATTTATCGATCTAGCACTCTTGAGACCTGCCTTGCTCACTCGCCTAATTGGCTGCAAAGTGTTCTCATCCACCGGAGCCCGCCTGACATGGGGATACCGTCCCTCCCGGTCCCTTATCTCCATGTCCTGGCCTATTTTGTCTCCTGCTTCTTCCTCCTCACAATCCAATGAAGGCATTGGTGGCAAGCTCTCCCTAACATGCGCTGGCCGCCTGCCCGTGCCCACACCGACGTCACCAACACTACTTTCACTCACTGTGGCAGATGACTTGGGCTTTGTTATACGCCCAAGCTCTGCTTCCTCAAATGCTATGAGTTTGCTTACAAACCCAATATTCGGGCTGATACCTTTGCGACGCTCTAGTACAAACTGGTATGCGCATGCCAGCGGCCAGTGGTGGCTGTGGATAAGATACACCATCACTGCGGTGACGCTACGTGACTTTCCAGTTTTACAGTGCACATATGTGGGTGCGTTGTAGAGAGCAGCCTCGTCTGCATCATAAATCAGTCAAATACATCGAGGAAGAATGTATGATGGTGGAAATGAGAGAAGCTTTGAATCAGATGCCCAATTTTCTTCCAACAGAAATATGGGATTGTAACAAAAGCGAAATACTCACCAAGCACATCACAGGCCTCACTCAACCCCTTGCATACTCCTTCCTCCTCGACACAATCCCTCATTCGGAATATGCACATACTGATCGAACCATTCCCAAAGCATCAGCCCACGATCATCTGTACATTCAGCCGCAATGTTAATGATTCGCTTCACGCCTAGGGATTTTAATTCGGAGACATGTGAAGGTGAAATGAGTTCAGGGCCAAGGAAGAGGAAGTTAGGGAGGATCGTAGAGATGATGAATTCTTCGCGCTCGTTTTTGGCATCAGAAGAAGTGCTACCAGGTGGGGAAGTTGTGGGCGCCGGCCTTGCAGTGGATGGTGTCACGGGTATTGGCGGAGATGAATGAGGAAGTTAGGGAGGATCATAGAGATGACCAATTCTTTGCGCTCACTTTTGACATCGGAAGAAGTGCTACCAGGTGTGGAAGTTGTGGGCGTTGGCCTTGCAGTGGATGGTGTCACGGGCATCGGTGGAGATGAACTCACATTCCCAAGGCAGCCACCATTGGTAAGATTGAAATTGAAGCTTGAGTTAAGCACACTTGCTGGAGGAGTGTGATTGGAATAGAGAAGCGTGAGATGCGACGGGGACACAGGCGGTGGGTGGAGAAACACGGCCTGTTGCGAGGGTGTGATAGGGAGTGTCGAGCTGTGTGAATCTGAAGCCGCAGGAGAGTTGTCACAGCATGTTTGATGGGTTTCGCCAGTCTGCTCACACTCTGCACCACTATTTTCTGCATTACTGATTCCATTTGCCTTGACGCTGTCAACATTGACATTATTTGATCTCCACGGGGGAGGTGGGCGACGAAAGGCAAGTTTGGAGGGCAGAGGGTCAGAATCTATAGGGCTATCAAGAGTGAGTGAGAGCCCAGGCATAACTGGTAATGGTGAGTGTCCTTGTCTTTCCACTTCGCCCCCATGACCTTGATTTGCCTGCTCTATTTAAACGCTACTACTAGGCCCAGCAGTGCTGTGGGTGTCAAGTTGAAGGAAAGCCTTTCCCTTCATGCTCTTGGGTGGTTTTGGCAGTTGCAAAGAGGCTTGGCAAGGAGAAGGAGGAGAATGGGGCGCATTGATGATGTATTTTCGGAGTCGTGCATGAAGTTGAGCACCTGCAATTCCTCCGCAAAGATACCACACCTTGTCCGGGTTCAGGAACCCTGTAAGAACTGAAAGGAGGGCCCATGCAATGACGCCCGGATTATCTCTCTCCCGTTCATCAGTCTCTTCCCCATGAACGATGAAGACATCCCCGTCAATGTCCCAGGAATCAAAAACTTGCTTTCCCTCATCACTGGTGATGAACTGGCGAAGTGATGTGCGAAAGTTGGTAATGTGCATTTTGAACGCTTAAGAATTAGGGAGGGCATGGCGATATTAATAATGTGAGTCACGGTATAAGCGAAGTGAGTGCAGGTGTCGATGAGGAGTGGGCGATTGGGAGAGGCGAGACGAATAAGTAATTCAGCGGGATCCATAGCAGAAGTGGGAATGTGGGGAGATGGCATAGACGCTGAGTGTTGCTGGGGCTTCCGGGCACGGCTTGGAGGTTCGGGGGGAGATGAGGCAGGAGGACTGGGAAAGTGTATGTCAACAGGGGTAAGGTATGTGCTGCTTGCACTTTTAGGAGAGGAAGAATCTGAATCAAACTGCCGGCAGGTGGTGTCGATCTTGGCGCCATGTAATAGTGGTAGCACTTGGAATAGCAGTCTGGGTCTGCTAAACAAACATATTGGTCGAAGACGAAGATTTTTCTGCACAGATTGGCGTAGCTGAGCAAGTTCTGCCAAGTCTCGCGACAACTCTTCTGCATCAGGAATGTTTAAGGCTATGGGGCTTGACGAGGAAGAAGGCGAAGACAGCTGCAAGAGCTCATCATCCGATGTGAGTGGAGATTCTGATATTGATTCAGAAAACGTATCGAGAAAGGCATTCGACTCACACTGTGTGTTGCGTGTTATCAAAATTTTCAGTCGTCTGAAACTGAGGGCAGAACCTGACCCTAGGGTTAGGTCTCAGCCATGTCAGCCCCTTCATTGGACACCGGCGTCAACATGGCAGTTTTGTTGCATTCCCTCTATGTGGGAGTCAAGGTTTCGCCCTCTCGTCAACACCAGCTGAAACCATGGCCTATCCTCAATAGGGCAACCTCGTGAGGATTTATATGATGGCACGACACGATAGATCAAGGGCGTTCCTGATCTGGAGAAGAAGTCAGTACATTGATTAATGGATTGTCAAAGAGCTTTACCACCAACAAGATGGATAGGAGTGCTTGATGCTCAACTGTACAATAAGGCGACCCCTCGCCTTCATGATCTCTTTATCTGCGACCTTGAGACCACATATAAGCACCTCCAAATAGTTTGATCAATGGATGATGACAAACCTTGATGTACACGCCCTCAAAATCCATGACTGGCTTGGTAAATTTGCCACCATCATCCAAGGGGCAGGGAGGCATCTCTTTGGGATGGAAGTAAGAGACCATTTTCAATGGCAATGTGAACATCATCTTCACTGAATGCCGGGGCTTGTTGTGCTGATACCTGTACCGTCCGTCGCCGTGACATAAGTATCCAAAAAGACGCGGAATGCGTGACTGCCACATTCTGATTAGCTTGTGAAATGTAAGGATAGGTCAACAAGCGTACCTTTGACACCCAAGTGAAGACACACAATGCCACCTTCGCATATGGATGGAGCTACACACGAGAGTCAGCCACACTTCAACACCTTCAAGTTGCACACGGACCTGGGAACCAACTGCAATATTCTGAACCCTGGGCGAGATTGTGAAGGTGGGAGCAAAGACAGCTGGAAGTTATAATGACACATGAGCAGTAGATATAAGTGGGATGTTCAATACCTCACTTTCACTGGCTTCAGTCACAGTCTCCACTGACAAATGAGGGTTTCGCCTCGGCCACCCCAAATGCTTCTTATGGGTGGGATTGTCAGTCATCAAATGGGTTTGAAATGAGGGTTGAGTACACTCACCTTGTAGCTGCGGTGTACTAGTTGATGTTGCCAGAATGCGGATGTCGTTGTCATGTGGAAGTCAGGAACAAAGGTAGTTCCAAACTCCGCGTGTCGTTGTTGTCTCACAGCTGACCTGCAGCGTTTTAGAGAGCGGCTGGGCGGTTTTGAGAACATGAAGTTTGCGGGTCTATTGGTAGGTATTCATCATGTATGCGCTATCATGTGGCACCTACTACATAGCGTTTTTATATAGATATATGAACCTGCAAGTTGACGTCGAAGTAAGTGATCAGCGAATGAGTGAGTGCTTGTACTGCCAGCGACTGAATTTGGACCTACCAGTATTTCAAAAAGAAAGGTCATCGAAATCTTCCTTGACTACCTCTCCTAGGTCATCGACCCCATCGTCAGACTCTCCCAGCATCTTCCTCATCCTCAATGTCATCGTCTTCACCCTCTGGCTCCTCATCCTCAAGGTCGACATGCATATGCTGTTCGTCATCATCCTCATAGCCCTCATCTTCACTTCCAACTTCGTCGATATCCATAGTCTCCACTGGCGCTATTGACCTGGAGCCAAAGCAATCTCTGACAGTCCTCCACAAAGCTACCGGGTGTCCTACGCCCAGGTCAGTATAACGTAGGAACATATCGCGATCAACAAAACTAGCGTTAATTAATGTGAGTTATCCACCTAGGAGAAAAAAAATTATCGTGCTCACATTCCAATATAGTATTCTTCCCAGTCATCTAGTTCTCCATTAGGATGTGCTAACGAATTTTCCATGGCGGAGTGAGCTTACACCTCGCTCAGAAGCAAATACCACAATCAAATGAGCTCCCTGGATTACTTGACCTGGATCAAGAAATCCAAAGGTGTCATAATCCGACTCTTCCACAAATGCCACTTTGGGAAGGCGAGCGCGCCGCATGCAAGACTGGTGTGATTTTATTGGTGCAAGCCACCTGACGTAGAGAACTTCGAGGTGCTGTTTCTTACCCCCCTCGAGCCATGCGTCCAAGTGATATATACCCATTACACAAGCGTACCAGTATGGATGGCTCGGAGTGCTTTCTCCTGAAAGCACCATCACATCTGCATATGTTCTTGGGTTGATCATATCATATTCGCGCCTCATGTCGTACGTCGTATAGTGGACTTGCATGGTATGAACCGAGTAGATTACATTATTCGGAATGATAACTGAGTTGCATTCCTCAGCTGTGAACGTGTGGTCGCAATAACTGATATCCATCTTATTCAGCCTATACAAAATGTAATCTTTCAATCACGAGATAAAGTTCTGAGAGCTGTCATAAGCGAACTGGCACCAAACAGGCCAAGAGTACAATAGAAATTTACCTTGATAGCTGGATCGCTGTCGTATTCCTGGAGGAGCCCAAACAACAAGACTGGATTTTTCTGACCGGTTGCGATAAAATGATGGCCTTTCAAGTCGAATGATGGTGGTGGAGCAGGAGAATCAGCCACAGACTGGTTACTGGAGGAGATGCCTGCTTCCTCGACTCGCCGTAGTACACGGCACCTGCGTTCATGCTTCGCTAGCTGTGCTGATGTGTGATGTTTACTAGTTAGCGGATAGAATGATTTTAAGGCTCTGTGTGCCAGCTCTCCCTAGGCAAAACTTCATAAGTGTCTTTGAGGGGTAGGAAGCGGAAAGTGCATACAATCTGAGTGGTAAAAGAATCAGTGGTCCCGAAGAATTTGATGGTATGCACATAATCACCCATTGCATGAAACTTGTAGGTGTTTAAATTGAACATTTTCACCTTTGGTCCGCTAGATCCTGGAGGAGCGTCATGAGGTCCCACACCTTGGACAAACTTTCGTAGGCGAGCTGCCTTCTCCTTTGGTAACTCCACAGTGCTAAAGGCGGCGCAGGTACAATCATGGAACTTTCGCAACTGTCTTGAGAGTTTCTTGAACGTGTCTTCAAGGAAATCGAGTGTCGACTCTGAGTGAAGTCTTAGCTTGGCAAGAGCATGCCATTGTGCAAATCTATACAAAAGAGACTGCACGATCACATCATGAGGAGCAGGAAACCGTCCTTCAAACACAGGTATCGCGCACTGGAGAAAGGGGTCAGTAAGCAAGGTAGAGAACATAATCAAGTATGGGGCAACAACCTGCAATATGTCTTCAAAATCATGTGCGGCCAGTTTCATCATCTCGGACGTGTTGTTTGTGAAGGTTCGAATTACACCACTCCCGAAAGTTGGAATCTGGCGAAATCTGCGGTGCGATATGATTTGTTAATCATTACATTATGGAAATTTTGTATGTGCCACATGCCACTTTTTGATATCCGAGGGAAGTTGCTCAGAACGTCTTTGATTTTATCAGGCAGCTGATATGTGATTATAAGAGAGATGCTTCAAGGTACAAATGGGCGACTCACTGATGGCAAAAATCCCACAAGGTGGCATGCGCCAGACTTTGGAGCAGAACGTGTGTACTTCGTCAGGTTTCCAAAGTACATATACAAAGGCCAGGCCTTTGCCATCCTGAAGTTTGCAAGATGCGTAGCATCTGAAAAAAACATAAGCCCAGCAGCTACCCTTTCCAATCCACATCCTGGCTCTTTTGGGAGCTTCTGTACCTCGTCCTGGGCAGCCATCCAAGAGTCAGAGGTATATAACTCGTCGTATATACGTTCTTCATGACTGTCCAATGGATATTTCCACAGGTGCTTGAAAGGCGAAAGGTGGAATGCGCTCGCTTGGATATCCGCAAAAGCTGACTGAATGACTTCAACGAGGGGACGGAAATGGAGTCCGGGTACTGTAGAGATACGACACTAACTTCGTCACACATCACAAGCGGCCGTGAATTGAAGCTATTCAACGTGACTGTCACGGTGATTTTTCATAACTGAAGCTATTTTGTGACATGCAGTAAATTCAATAAAAAACATATAGAGTGCCTCAATGAGACCAAAAGTCAGTGTACATCCTATTCGCAATCCGTCTGGGCTTTCCACGCCCACAATACTCACTTATACTGGCTGAGCACTTTTCTTATATGTGCCTGCCAGGTTGTGATACCCACAGCGTGTCGTTCAATTTTCTCCAGGCCCCAAGCTGATGCAATGGCGATCAAATGTGCATGTTCGCACTCAGCTTGCGCCGCAAGGACAGTGTCCTGAATGACTTCGTCTGGCATATCCTTTATGCCATTAAGGAATATGTCTTTGCCCTGGTGTAATGCTTGTCAGGTGAAGGTCATCCATGGAATAAATGAGGTAAATAATACCTTCTGTACATCTATCATACTCATATTAGTATCTTCCCCAAGATACTTTCGAGTGAAGCGAATCTCTGCTGCAGATGGAGCATCGGCCCACTTTCCCTGTCCAGTAAACCGCGGGGACGCGCGCCGTATATAACAAGACATATGACAAGTTACAGGCGGAAGGCATGGAGCTGCAAAAATTGGATCACGGGTGGCGTCTTTTGCAGAATTGGAGTTTGATGTTTCTAGCAACGCATCATGGCACCATGACGGACTCGAAGGGCTGCCTTCATGCAGAATTTTCTTCAATCAGGAAAAATCAGCAGCCCATTCAAGTTGACTAGATTAATCACATACCTGACAATCAGCCTCAGAATTAATAGTAAATCCCATAGGATGGTACTCAAAGGCGGAATTCATACTGAGCAAGACTCGGATTTCAAGTTTGATGACTCATGTCTAGTATTCGCCGTTAGTGATAAATCAACTTCCATGGCGGAGTTTAAAAGGCTGGACTCATCCGAAGTAGAATAAACCAATCATCATTTGAGGACCGCCTTCGTGCCAGCCAGCACCGTGTGCCTTGAGTCACAGGCTAGTATGTGCCCTAATTCACATGCATGTTAAAAGGAAATGACATTTAAGTCTCAGTAGACGAGTCCAGTTTGGTATGACTATATTGTACCACTGGCCCAACGATTTAATACTGCCACTGCCATCGCTAAACTGAGTCAACATGACAGGATAAAATACTCAGCCGTACTGATCTCCGCCGGAGCAAGAGATATCATAGATATCATTGTACAAAGGATATCGATGGAAGCAGGAGGTTCAATTGTAGCAGGAGATTCGGAGTTTAAAATCGTTTTCTTCACGTGGCTTCATTCATGCCATCCGCATGACTGACTTATCAGTGGCCAATTATCTCACATATAAGCACACATATGTATGTAACTGGAGCCTTGATGCATCTACTTCTGTTAAGACCGTAGCTCAAGGGTAGACGGAATCTGAAGGGCTTGGCCTCAGCTCGTGCGCTGTGCCCCTTACCCAAGTACGTGCCCTTAATTTCTGAATGAAGTCCAGATGGAATCCGACGAAGTCCGAAGGACTTCCGGAGGCTGGCTACTCTAGTAGAGTGCTAGAGGACTTCTGGATGAGTGCAAGAAACTTCCAGAGGAGTATAGGAAGCTCTGGAGGAGTATCATCCACTGTATTAGATCCAAAGGTAAGACTTCCGAAGGTAAGTTCCCTAGATAGAAACACATAGGGGATAGGCTGCAAGGGACAGAGTCCAAAGCAGGATAGGGTAGGAGGAGTGGTCCAAAGGACAGGACGTCCGGAGGTCTGAAGGTTAAGTACGTCCAAAGGTTACGTCGTCCAAAGGTCCAAAGGTTTACGAGGACTGGAGGAGCGGAACAGGATTAGGACAGGAGGAGAAAGGCTACTATGGACAAGGTCCAGAGTAGAAACAAACAGAGGTAGACTACACTATGGTAGAGTCAGATAGATGGGGTTTAGACAGAAGTCTCGGAAAGACAGGAAGTGCCGGAAAGGCAAAACTTTGGTCTAGGGAATCAATCCCTAGACTTCAGAACAGAGACATAGGGGACAAATCCGAAGGTCCGGATTTCTGGCCTAGGGAATCCATCCCTAGGCCTTTGATGGAAAGGCAGAACTCAGATGGACCAAAGTCCGAGACAAGAATGAGTGAAGTCTAAGATGTGAGAGAGCAAGTCTATGTTGAATGAGTGCAATCTAAGATGATATTCGAACTAAGGAAACTTTACAGGAGTTGTACAGATCTTTATATACTGGAAGGGATCCGAGAGGATCGGTAAGCTGAACACAAATGCTATGTACGAGCATGTGGAAACATATTAGTATGTATGAATGGAACATAAGTAAATGAACTCGGAGATGAACAGAGTACAAGGATCAATAAGCAAGACGGAAACACAGATAACTGAAGTCCAGAGTCAAGGGGATTACCATAAGGAGATAGATGCTGATTTAAGGTTTGGGCTTCGGATATGAGTATAGGTCGGATCCGGAGGTCTAGAGATATCAGATGAGCAGTGACACACACGAAACCTGTTTCGTACATGGTCATGGTAATTTTATGACACATGCTAGTCCTTACTGTAGCCTATACACTTCCCCTGAATTTTCTATACCTTACTTCAATTTACTTTAGACATTTCTAAGCATGTATCATCAAGATACGACTTAGTGGTTCAAACTAAATACTTAACATACCCTTTATCCTTTCTATAAATCTTTATTTTATTTACCCCTATGCCAAATGTATGTACACACACATTCTATGCACACTTTATTTACATCTATGTACTCAAGGCAGTGGTGCCAACCAAACCAAGTTGAATTAGTTGGAACAGATTGGTAATCAATGCACAGCAATAAGGCAGTGCTAGAAGGACCTGGAACACAGCCTTTGCTGAGTAATCTAGAACATTCTATGAGTATCTTACTAATCATTCCATAACATTCCATGACATTCTATGACATTCTATAAGATTCTATTGCTCTTTCTCAAACATTCTGGAATATTCTATAGTACATTAGTAATCAGTAGCACAGCCACTAGTCTAGTAGTATATAAGGGGCTCATTTTCCCCTCTTGTGAAGCAATCAATTTCATTCCCAAGTATTATCAGAGTGAGACAAAGTTTATAGGGGAACACAGGGGAACATTCTTTCACCCCTAAGATTCTTAGCCCCAACTATTGAGTGAACATTCAAGTGATTATTAGGAGAAAATATTAGTTTATTTGCTCCACACCTTTGACATTATTCTTCATACATTCTTCAGAAGTATTGGGCCACATTCTTGAGCCATCTTTGATTACATAATCATCCTTTATTCTAGTTCTCTTTTAGACACAGGAAAAGTTCTGTGGGGAGAATTATATGTATTATTCATCAATTAGGGTAGATACAAATAAGACCTACAATCTGTCAATGAATATTAAGAGCTTGGCCACTTAAGACTACATCAAGCAGGTGTACTCTATTCTGGACTGCGTCATTACTCATTGTGAGATCCTGAGCAGCAGAGAGTTGGTTTCGAGGCCACATATTGGGACGATCCTGCTAGTGAATTTGTTCTCCATTGCTGAGTATAAGTAAGAGATATCCAAGAGGGATATATATTAAAGTTCAAGCTCATTGTATACAGCTGCAACATATTATTCTGAAGTTCATAGCACTACCTTGTGCTACTATTGTTTCTATTGATCTTTGCCTCTTTTACATCACTAGCGTTTGCTTGAAAAGTTCAACACATCTCGTCCCCCACGAACGACCACATTATCAACCATTGGTAATTGTCTGAACCGTTGACTGTGGAGGATTGTGAGATTTGGTGATTTTCTTGCCTTTCACATCCTAGTAAGACAGCGGATACGGAGATCTAGGTGAAGACGAGACTAGGATATGGATCATGGATATAGACTGATAGTCTAGGGAAGGTAGAGTCCAAGATGGAATGAGCTTGGATCCGATAGGACTAAGTGTGGATGAAGCAGGCTTAGCTGCAGAGGTCTGAAGGTATGGATATATGGATGTACGAAGGTGTATGGATCCAAACCGATAGTGGACTGGAGGACTAAAGGCATGGATACGGGTATGGAGTCATGGATAAGGGTATGGAGGTCCGGATGTGCATCCGGAAGGCGTCCGGGAGGCGTGGGAACATCATCGGACGAAGGTCTGGAATACAGGATATGACAACTTCGCCTTATGCTGCCGTGTCATGTATTACTTATGTCTCTTGGTTCGCAATACAACTTGTCTGAGTCTTCTGAGCATAGTAAAGCTGGCCGAGGACTCCGCTTGCTTTATCACCGTGAGTACAATTTTTAAAGAATTTCAACTTCCAATTGCCACCGTGACGAGTCAGCAAACTTGCACTTCTTTTACATTCCCGAGTCCATGTTTCCCTTAAAGTAGTGTGTTCGAGTCTTGACACCATATTTATTTTAGTAGCATGTCGCATGAACATTCAGAGAACAGAGAACCGCTAGCAAGTACTAATAAAGATAGTATACCCAGGAAAATTCTGAAGGCTAGGTGGGTTATTCTCATTGTATCCTGCATCAACTTGAACCAGAGGGTATCTCCGTACTCCTAACGGTAGATGGAATGATCCAAGTTAGCATCAGTGAGTAAATACAAACTTGAAAATAAATTATGCACCGTCCCGGGTCGCTACTTGAGAGCTTGAAGGTTTTCTTCATCTTCATCACAGTTGTCAGTTTGCACTCATGCCTTTTTTTTGCCTTTGACCTTCCTTCTTGCTTTCGCGTGTTTGTCCTTCATGTGACTGTTACAAACATGAGAGTGAAATGTATATGCAATGCCTTCTGGTATTCCCACCTTCTCCTCGTAGAAGCTAATATCAAAATGAGCTGCAGTCGGTAGATAGAATATACCACGCTCTTTCAGGGTATCCAGATACTGAGGGAAATTCATCGCAGGGTAGTGAAGATGGATACTCGTGAGGACGTCGTCAATATGTTGCAGCGGCTCGTCATCTTCGGATTCTTCATCACTCTCCATGTAAAGTGCAAAAGTCCTCTTCAGTGGTTGAGGCATCAGAGAACTTTGACTTTCGCCTTGTTGGATGAAGTGTGCCCCATTCAAGCTGGAAGTGTTGATAGAAGGTGAGAGATGAACATGGTTGTGGATGATGGGCAAAATAAGCTCAGTGGGTACGCGCTGAAGTGACCGTGACGACGCGACACTTCGTCCCCAACGCGTCTGTCGAATCTCGTCGAAATGAGGTGTGGTTGATGGAGTAATGCAGGCGTTGTCTGGATCTTGAATGTCGTCCTAAAATTCATGACCATCATATAATGTGCTTGGAGGTACAAATGCGCTGGCACGTACCAGATATTTAGCCCACTCCTGTAGGTCACGAGTACAGAGTGGATAGTGTGGAGCGTTTGGTTGCGACACATCCACCCAACAGAATGTGTTCTCTCCTATTGCTCAATGCTCGGCACACCATAACTTGTTTTTCACATTCTCTAATTCCTTTGAATATGGCAGAAGGCCCTGGGATATAACGGTGTGGGACTCCATACAGTTCCGCTCAATATCTGAGCCTGCTTGTTGTTTTTTTGACTTTCCTCTCATGCCAGGCACCTGCAAGTTATCGTCATGTTGTGCAGAAAACTTGAGAGATAAATGAAAAAACACCTGCCGTGTTCACAATCTCGATGATAACTTTTTTCTTCTTCCGGCCGGAATTCTGCTCCATTCTCGCAGCTTTGAAAGCACTGTCAAGATCTTGGGTAGTTAAAAGCCTATGTACCGGGTCTGTGCGGCGGGCTGTAGACAAGCACCACCCCATGTGCTCGTATGTCTTCGGGACGCCCATTGTGGCTCTCATGGAGTCGAACATGTCCATGTGATTGTCTGATTCGGAATGTAGGTGGTCCACGTATGTCGTACATTTGTTGCTATCTGCTATGGTGGTGTTCAAAGGGATTCGGAATTCGACTATCACAATGTAGTCACGGTCACATAAAGTATCCTGTGAGACTGCTGAGATAGTACCTTTCTCGATTTCCAAATCAGATTGTGCGCAAGTTGCTGAGTTTGCCAAGTACCATAACTGAACTGCATCGCGTGTGCCGTTAATTTCTTCCAAGTCATCCGAGTTGTTGATGTCGGGCAATTCTTGATGGGTCCCAAGTAGGTAGGCCGCAGTCTCCACACGACAACTATGCAGATGATCAGAGCGCCGATGAGCCACAGAGGGAATACCCCCAGGAGACTTGGAAGTGAGATTATCAGTCATGATTTGGTCTGCGACTTACTTTGATCATTGCTCAATCTTTATATGACATGCCAAATGGCTAGTTGGTGAAGTGGCTAAACCGCCTCACCAATTGTGTCGAGTTCGACGTGACAAAATAGGATTCATGGCGCTTGGCGATGTTGCTGAACCGATATTAGAGTTCTTAATGCCTCACCGATTGTGCCGAGTTCAATGCAACAAAATAGGAAAGCACTGTCACGGCAGCCCTGCAGGCAATCCATGGAAGCCCGTCCAAACTTGAAGTTCTTTTTTACTTATGGCACGCTGCTTTTAGTGACTGCATGGGTCGCATCAACTTAACTGTGTCCATGGTGGGTACTTGTGACTGGCAGAAATGACTCACGCGATTCGACAAGGATAATGTTTGCAATTCAGTGGAATCCTGCGCTCTACGAGTCATCGCGATCTTCTCTTTGTTGCCTCTTCTGCCATCCAATTCTGTCCAAATGATGGAAATGAGTAATCTGGGATGTGCGAGCTTGAGACACCAATATCAAATCATAGACTGTTGAAAAAGCTACTTCATCGTCACATACTAATTGCAGCCAGAGGCTGTCACAGTCACACAGTGACTTAGTAGACTCGGATAGGCTGACTGACAACAGATCATGTGTGATCGAGTCACCTAAACATCGTTATCCCAGGACCTTAGAAGAGGGTCCTGGTATACACAAGTACTGCCAGTTCAATCCAGAGAATGACACGCACGTACCTGGTATAGACTGAGAAAAGGTCAAGCTTAAGTAATAAGTGCTAGCACTTGTCAGACTTGAGGAATTTCAATTTGACGTGCGGCCCGCGAGTGAGTAAAATATTGTGTGAGATATTCATGTAAATTTGGGCAGCCCATTATGATCTCATCTTGCTCTGCTGAAGTCAGTCCATCCATCTAACTCTGGACGATTCGTGACACTCACTCGGACTTGTGCAGGAGTCCGAAAACCGTGATGAAGACGTGACTATACTTAGATGCAGGGGGCTGTGCAGGCCAGCTTTGTCCTTTGGTTCATCACAATCTCGATACTGTGACTATGGAGCACTATCCCATTTGACCTCACCACAACGACGATGAAACAACTAAGCCGGGAGGAGGAGAATTAGATGCTACCATCAAGAGACGCATTGTCTGCAAACTTAGAGAGTACAGGTATGTTACTGCAAGTAGTAATGTTGAAAGTGGCATCAACTCATGAACAACATGGTTATTGCCGACCGGTACAATCATATGCTTATTCGTCTCATCCGCCGGTACTGTGTTCATTGTAGTCTAGTTCATTGAGGTGTCCGATCTCTGGTATAAGGCCGAACCTCTCTGGGAAGGTCTGTATTTTGCATTTAAATCCTTGCTCATTTCCAAAGTCCTTTCTCTTAGTAATGATACCGCATAATTACACCGATTATATTATATCCTCTTAGTCAGACAAGCCGCATCTTCAAACTTATTGCATATGCGATGATTTTTGTTATGGGTGTTACCATACTCAAGTTGGACAGGGCCAAAGCTAAATGGCGTGTAAAGCTCCAGCGCGCATTTAGCGATCAACATCTGTATCCTTTGTTCCTCTTTTCTTGTGTTTACAAATTGTTTTTCATCGTCAGATGTCGATCGTAGCGCAAAGACTGGGAAGTGGGTATGTTCCATCCTTCCAATGATTGCTGTCTTGCATGAAGGTTAGTATTGTGCCTGAATGACTTCAAGATATCACAATGTTTTCAACTAATGCATAACATTTCGCAGGAATTGAAGTTGTTGTCTTCGTTGACAGTGTCGCGCTCGGACAGCCCACCAAATTGAAGCCCGTCGAGATGGAACTACAAAATGAACTAGAGGATGCTGTAAGACAAGGGTGGGAGGCTTAGTGAGTGCTTTACTGTTCAACAGTGTTGTGGTCATTCCTTTCCACGACCACCATCACCATGACAATCTATACTACTACTACCGCAGTGATCGGCTGGCCGTGGCTTACTGCCGTGATATGGCTCAATGCTTCTCAAATATGGATGGAATCATCCACCACCGACCTCAGGCTGTCATACTAGTTTGAATCTGTGAATATACATGCTCCCTAACAGTGACAAGTGCCAATTCGACTCACGGCTTCCAATTCATGGCCCTCATAAGTACTAGTACGCCCTATCGTCACCACACAACCGTTATGATTTCAAATGTTTCTTAGACTATCCAAAAAAGGATCGAGAAATACTCGTCGGCAGTAGACAGAAATCGGTTGGGACCAAGTTACTTGGACCACCCAAAAAGGCTCTAGACAACAACCAGGAATTTTTCATCTCACGTCCTTCTTGATTGACCCGAAAAAGATTCCCTGGTCTACCAATTAAGGCCAATTTCTGCTTCTTATTTGAGTACAATCTTACCTTATGTTAGGTCATCCAAGTTAAGGTGAAGACGGCAAATACTATATAAGAACGAACCCTGAGCACGACTGCGCGGGTGTGGGCGACCGTTTGACGGACGTATCACTTCATGTCCCCACGTCTCCTCAGGCCAGGGCGAAGCAAAGAATTGCCGCCCTCATGGAGGAAGTTGAGATTTTGAAGCAGGACAAAGCAACGAAACAAAGGTACGCACGTTCTTGATATCTTAGAGCAATTTGATGCATGGATTGTAGGAAGACCACCTATTATGTTTCGCAGGGATGAGCAATTTGGTGTATGGTCATCCTTTACACTCCCATTGAGGATCTCATTGCCGAAAATGACAGGCGCTGTGAGGATGGAGACACTGGTGACTTTGCCATGACTAGTACGGAGTAAGTATCCTATGATAATCTTGTTGTTGTGCTTGCTTACAAAAATAACAGACAGGATGGCCTTCAACGCAGCTACATTGAACTCACCAAGGTATTACCATGGATTCACGAGAAGCTAGCTGGTCTTGATAACGAGGAGTCAGAGGGCATGATCAGAAAGGTTTTTTTATGGTATCATCATTGTTATACTTCCTGCTCATTTGTAACATAGCTCAAGTGAGGTGTGGACTCAGCTCGTGGCGACGACACAGGAACTCTCAAAGAGCTCGTAGCTTCGTGGGTAAATATTGAGTGTCATCTGACTCCGCTCATCAGAGCTGACGACAAGCATCATTGAGGCTTCGTGAGCGATGCCTGTGGTAAATTGCTCTGTCCAGCAGAATGGTGCTGGGATAATCCATTGTAAGTGACGGTCCCCTGAGGTCACTCGCATGTTGCTGATGCTCTGTCTAGCGTGAAGGCTGGTATTTGTGATTGTACAACTGCTTTTATTGTTTTGGAAAATTCATGGCCATCGTTTATGTATGAAAACTATGAAGCCGACCCCAAAATCTGGAATGCGGCCTCATGAAGTCGAAGTTGTTGTTGATGGTGAGCAGCCTTATTGTTTAAATTTGATTTACAGCTCATTCCATTGCAGGCATTCAAGGCCATCTTTACCTCTCCCTCCTCTGCCAATGAAGTAGATGGCGAAGGTGATGGTGCTGATATCATTGAGAACAACCAACGTGCTCGGAGACGATCTGATCAAGGTAAAGTGAAAACGTGTGTTGCCTCTATCATAGGTATGAGGAGAGTAACTCCTCATGTGATCGCGTACGCAGCTTGTCAGGTAAGTATAATTACTTACCTCCAACTATCCAATTGAAATCTAGGGCAGATACGATTTGCCCTTTCCAACATCACGTCCTGGCGCGTCGTCGACAGAGACTTTGACTATCAAATTTTCTGGAACTTGATGATGGAGGTTATTTCTCAAATGTCAGTCGATACTCTCGCCGCTCAGAGACAGCAGATGGAGGACACCACATTTGACTCTGACTAGTTGTTATCATTTGCCCACATGTATCTAATAGTATATACACCTCTACTGCTAATGTATAGTGTTAATTAAAATGTTTCTTTCATGGATTTTGTGATAGCGCAATGTGATTTTCTGATGTGTGATGTGACGCCATTCATGATCGAAAATGTCTGGTACCGCTCGTGAAGACTTCTCTGATCATTTTCCATATACATGATCAGAATTGCGAGTTAACAGAGCAGGTTGGTCGTGTAGCAATAAGGAAAATAGTTGTTCATCCCTGCAACATGAAAATAGAAGGGGTGAAATCATGATAATACCAATGATTACGTGGTCTTCAGCTAGCAGCAATATTCCACTTGAACACCAAATGATATGCATCTGGACCATTAGTTACATCACCGAAAAGAGTGTCTGGTTGTCGCACAGCGTCGTTATTGTCACCCTCGAGCAACCTGAATATGATTAATGGTTGTTTTTGAGCTTCAACAACATACCGCTTGAAGGTTGAACGAGATGCATCCGGACCATTAGTTACATCACCGAAACGAGTGTCTGGTTGTAGCACAGCATTGTTATTTTCACCCTCAAGCAACCTGAATATCAGCAGATTTACAAAGATTGTTGTGATGCTTTACAATATATTGCTTTAAATACCATTCTCATTTGTTCACCGGTTCACTGATGGCTATTGACTTGACTGGAACATTATGCAAGTCATCATGATCGCTCGGTTACACACCACGTATCAGCGATGCAGAAAGGTGCTGATATGTCTCATTGTCATCTTTCTGTCCTTCACAATCTCCATGGTAGCGATGATTGCAATAACAACGGTGCAGGGTTCAGGGAATAAACTTTAATTGTGTATGAAATGTTTAATTATATCAGGCTCATAAAAAATACCAGAGGAATTCATTATCTCCGGCACCTATCAGTGCATGAATTTCTATGTGGGAGATGACCAACTTTTGATTTCCATGACTTGGGTGCTTGGCACTGTACAGAAGGTCCTTGAACTGTCTCTCGCGATCTGGATTGCTGTAAAACACTTATGTGAACTGCAATGACACTCAGCAAGTGGCATTATCTGGGACTGTTTCACCATGTTAATGCAAACTCACGTAAGTTACTTGGCAAGGTGAGCTCATAACGTGAATGTAGTTCTCTTGTTCTGCTGAAGTTTTCCATGTGCTAGTTTTTTGGCTATCTCTTACTTCCAGATCGGTCTCCTCTCTCTGACGCTCTCAGCGGTATGTCATGCTGTCATCGACCTCCACATGCAACCATGATTCATCATTTCTACAGGACCCAGCTTCCCTGGAATATGGGATTTACCTTAGTATTGCTGAGGTATTCCAGCTCGTGGAGTTGTTTGTGCTAGGACCACGCCTAATCCTCGGTGTCTGAGAATATCATGCTGATCTCGTGGCCACCTCTGATACGGCAACTGCTATGACTTTGATTGCTTTTCAGGAGGATATCCATATGTCCACTAGCAGTAGTGTGTAGCGCATGAGATGCTTGATATGATTGATTTGCAATGGGTGGATAGTGTGCAAGGAGCGGAAGAATTTGTTTTTATTTATTCCAGGTTTTGTCGTGGTACTTATTTATGTAAGTTGCGAAGTAGATATAGCTTTTGGCGAAGTATGAGTAGAGATCCTTCCCCAACATTGAGGTTCACACACTCAATCTCAGTAGTACTGTCAAATTTGTAGTGGCTGGTGGAAGTTTGTTCGCTCCTGATGCCATCACTGAAAGATGGCTGTTTCCAGGACCTCAGAGAAGTACTCGACTGATCAAGTGACGCCTGTAAACCCTTTCAGCAACCCCGTTTCATACAGACTTACACACTGAGTACCTCTAGCAGGAACTTGACCTGTTAATCAAGCTACTTCATTGAATATGCTATTGACAGTCGAAATCTTAAGTCGAAGAGTCCCATATACTGACTTGTTTGTTGCCGGCATGAGCATGTACTTACAAAACACTAAGCACATAAATAAACCTTGTTTACATGCAAGTGACTATGCTCACGTGGTGTGCTATTTGTCTGTATAGTTCGCTCCATGTTCGTAAATACATGTTGGATGTCAGCAGCAGTACATTTCTCGTTGTGGTGCCAAGTCAGTGCTTTGGCGAGATGATAGAGAAATACAGGATGATCTGGGAAGCTCTACGAAATTCAAGTGCAATAGTGTTGCAGCCTAGAGATATAATAGAGTCGAATCATGAGCGTCCTTGTGGATGTGACATTGAAAATGGGCCTACACTAGGTTGATGAGAACAAAAACACAGTCAGGATGGTCAATCAGACACTAGGGTCCAGAACAAAGTGTAAGTTCTCTACCGCACCGGTTATGTCAGAGACACTTACCTGTTGAATATTTTGTAATCGTGTGGCCAGTATATATGCATCGAACATTCTTAAATCTAAGAATGGACTACAAATTGAATTTTCGTTGGTAGAAATCGAAGGCGTGGGGCTAGTGTTGCTTACCTCAAGTGATGCCCCATCCTCGTTTATGCAAGTCTGACCTTCGGTGCGAGAGACATGTGGACACCACGAATGGGTGAAAAGGATGGATCTACGACATGTTGATAGACATGCATAAATGTGAAGCAAACTGCTTACAGAAGGGTTCATCTCTCCAACTTTGCGGGTGACTTTCCTATGCCCCAGCATTCAGCCGCGCTCGAAGGACGCTATGGACATCTAGGTGACTCATCTGGCAATCTGTAAAGGAATGATTAGTATTGGAAGCACATCCGCAAGCCTCTTTAATAGTCTTACAAGGTCGCGGTATCGCCCGCGTCGGATGATAGGACTGGGACAAGTGACTTGGGCCCTGCGGTGTCTCCTTGAATCAACTTCGATGGACACATAAAGTCCTGCAATTATGCGGAAGGAGGAAACTTTGTTATTCTGTCTGCTGGTGACCGAAGATACAGCGAGAATATCATGAAAAGCTCATATGGAGTGAGTTGCCCACCTTGAAGCCCGATATGTGGGCTAATGATGCGTCGAAGTAAATTACAAGGAGAGTTGAGGATATACTGAGTGGGGCAAAATGAGTGGTAGGATAAGACGGGAGTAGGGTGAAAAGGGGAACTTGAATAAAGCTGAAGTGGGTAATACAATGTCATGGTTAGTTATATCAGCGAAAGTGGCATGCCAAGGTTGGAGGGGGTCTTAGATTTGCATGGGGCGAATCTTACGGAGGTTATTAGTGTCACCCATATTCAACACATCCGAGTCCAAGTCACTGCGGAAATGAGAAATTAACCTGATAGGGTTGAGGTCGAAGTAGCAACAATAAACATAGCATAACTAGACAATAGCTAATGTGCGAATCACTACCGCTTGAAGTAGAGAAAAGTGACCGTTGTCTTCTTACTTGAGGGTCTGATATGTTGATCAGAATACAATGACTATCACAATTGTATTCTTTAACACTAAGGTGCCAGCTCCTCAAGTTCATGGTCAACGGATTTTCTACTTCTCGGTTGATAACGTGGTGTTCGTGGGTGGCCAAAGGGTAATAAATTACTTCTTTGCTAGATCACTTCTTGATAGTAAAGGAGTAGTATATATTTTGTCAGGTTAACTGAAACCTAGTAGGTAATATGGACCTCTCTGAACTGAATGTGACTTGAATATGTAAGACGATGTATAAAACGATAGATTATTGTGTAGGCGATCCCTGTAAGATAGTATACAATCAATCTAGACTAAAAGAATACTGATTGTCTTCAAAGGCAACTCGTAGGCCTTCACTTTCTTCGTGATCTCACAGTGTTGAGACAGAAAGTGGGAAAACTCCTGACTTCAAATTCCTACGTTCCCACACGGTTTGGGAAAAGAATGGAAGGGGAAAAACTTATATATTATGTGAGAATGGAGTCCTTATATACATTTTAGAAACCATCCTTACTAAGCAATGAGTCATCACTGGATTGGTAAGATTATGCTTACAAACCAAGCCTTTTGGTGTGCTGAATCAGCTGCTTACTAAAGTACATGAGTAAAATATTACAAAGCATGACGAATCATGACCAAACATGATGAGTCATGGAAAGTCCTTACAAATCAGAATATTACCAGTCACATGACATGCTTACAAACATATCTGAATGGCTCACTGATGTAATCAAGTGGCTGAATAAATATAAACAAGTAATGGAAAGAGACAGAAACTAATGGAAACTACAAATACAACTAAATAAATAGAAACAAAGCTTACATAAGTGAGAAGTATATCCTTTGTACACTCCTCTACTCATCTCCTTTTATACTGCCATTCATATATGTCATGGTATGAACTCCATACCATGCATGACACCGTTTGAGATCAAATCCCAAGGTGGGTTATACCATGTGTGCTGGGGTTGGATAGCCATTTTTGCTCCTAACCTAATGTCTGAATCACGTCTGGATATAACAAATAGTGGTTGAATTAAGGTAGAGATAGACATCACATCTTCTATACAGTGCTTCCAGGGATTCGCGTTCCCCATGGTTGCCCCACATGGTTGCCCCACATGGTTGCCCCACATGGTTGCCCCATGGCTTCTAGGGATTCGCGTTCCCCATGGCAGGCCTTCCTGAAACAATTAGTTTCTTCCCTCCCCGCTCCTTCTAGCCCTCAATGTTTTCTCAAGCCCCTCCGAGTTAATGCCGTCCCAGTGGTGCTGTGACCAATCCAAGCCAAAGTGCTGGAGGAATTGACCAAGAGGACCTTCACCAGATGATGGACACGTATTGTACCCCGGGCCAGATGAATATTAATGCCGCAGCACTTCATGCATCACCATTATTCGTCGGAAACCATGTGCTGCCACAGCCTGATGACATTTTTTTCTTGTGGTCTAGATACAACAAAGAGAGTGAGCAGATCATTAGATATTATTCACATGGATATCTTACTTCACATAGCCTGTCGAACAGTATACACCAGGATCATTTCCAGAACTTCATGATGGATGTGTGCGTCTTCCGAGCCCACACCAGTCACCAGACCTAGGTCATGACCATCATGGGCAATATACAAGTCATATGCATGGAGGTGGGCAACAAACACCAGCGCCACTGATAAGACCTGCTGTACCCAACTACTCGTAAAACTCAGGTTCTCAGCGAGGTGAAACTCCTTACTGTGGCCATAATTCACACACACCATTCACAGGCAGTGAGCCGTCATCGCGATCACAGTCACAGGTGCCAAGTGGAGGTGGTTCGAGTCATGAGGGGTTTCAGCAGATCTACTCGGCATATCATCAGCAACCAGCGACACCACGCATGGATCCTTATCATCATACTCACAATACACTCGAAGGTCAAATCCAGGATTTGAACTCAACCGTTGCGCGCCTCGTTGCAGATGTAGCGAGATTGAATGAATCGAATCAACACCTATCGGAGACCATTCAAAGAACATGTCTCATTAATGTGCAGATGTCGGTTATGAATGATGCACTCACCGCGCAAGTCAATGGACTTGATGAAATTGTCAAGACTTTGCAAGCTGAATCCAAGAAGCCACAGAAGAAGGTGACGGGTAAGCATATCTCGAACAACCACCCTGCCCTAAAAGTAAGCAATAGTACTATCTGTATGAATGAAACTCATACTGTGCAGTGTTTAATTCAGCCAATGTTTTGTGATCTCTGTGGGATTGAATAATCCATGGGGAGAAACAAACGTACAGAAGCATTAATGAAGGTAAAATCATTAGAAAATGGTCACGCTTATGAGATGCACCAGGGTGAGGAAGGAGATAAGCAGGGCGAGGAAAGAGGCGGTAAAACCTGGCACCCAAATTGGTTAGGCCATGTCAATGAAGTTGTGAATGCTATGTTCATCAAAGAAATAATCGACCGTGTCTATAACAATGAGAAGGTGAGCCCCAAAAGTCTGTAAAGTTCCTGCTCACATATTTTCTCAGTGCCGCCGTGAAAGCCCGAACCTAAAGGGTGAGGTACCTGACGAAGACTTCAATATGCAAGTCATTATCCAGTGCACAAAGGATTATTTTCGCAACATACATAAGCAGGCAATGTGCTGTAGCGATGCATCAAAAGCCCAAAAGGCTGAACAGAAGAAGGAACATGGACGTCAAAGGGCACATCGTGCAGCAGTAAGTATTGTGCTTTGTGTGTGAAACATATGACGTACCCAAATCACCAGGTTACAAAGAGCTGTCGTGCAACTGCAGTTATCTACGAGAAAGAGACAGGGAGGGAGGGTGCAGTTGCGATGATTGATACTGATTTTGCATCAGACGTTTTGTCTTACTCAGAAGACGACTTGAGTGAAGACACATTAACCAGGTGGGTGAAGTCAGGAGCAGGGAACTCAGCAAATATGGTTGTAGGATTGGAGTGGCAATCCATCGATGTAAGTCCTTCGCATCTAGGCATGGTTATAGCTCACTAATATCAATCAGTATGTTGCATTTTTGCGCTTCCTTACTTTGCAACAAATGAGGTGGAACAACAGAGCTACCACTGCAGACATTGACGAAACAAGCACCATCCAGCCTCCAAAAAAGTGTTGCAAAACTGCAGAAGGGGGCACTAGGTCAAAGAGAATCGTGAAAAAGATGTTTGACATCAGCCCAGAGCAAATGAATGACGACGCACCATCATCTGCCAAAAAGAACTTGCCGTTTGAAAACATGGTTGCAGACAGCTGGAAGACTAGCCATCCGGACATGGAGATGCTTGAGGGAGTTCCGTGGCTCAAGGGATTCTGGGCTTCATTGACAAGAGACAATCTGATAAAGGAGGACTACGAGTACTTGGAAGAGCTGGGGGAGTGGCACAAAGTTGAAAAGGGTGATGAAGGTGACGAGAGGAGCGACCAGTGAATTATCTTGAATAGTACTGTGAGTGGGTCAGCGCAACTCGAATCACAAAGTGTCAGCTTGTTACTTGTATCATAAGCCTGTCATGTATCAGTGTCAATGACTGCGATTCAATGAATAGTTGTCCAGTAAGTTGCGATGAACAGAGCACATACCTTTAAGATCAATTGTCGCCCAAACTTTTGTTCTGTCCTTTCCAATTGATACTGTGGTCATCCCCAGGTGACCAATGATCCAGTCAGGGTTGATAAGGGATGGAAGTTGCATCTCTCAGCTCTTATACTCTCCCAGTTGCCATAGGCGCACATCAGCTGAATAGTTGGGTAGAACAATATTAATATCTATCCTGTGAGATATGGCATCCGACTCACAAATCATCCCAAACTTTTTCACGCTCTCCCCTCCAAGGTACGAACCAGTGCATGCAGGCAAACCAGAGTGAGTCATCGACATTACGCAAATTTTGATTAAACTGAAAGATTTCGAGAACCTCACCGTAAGCATGAATCACAGTTGTACCGGGGATGATGACATGAACGAGACAAGAACAGTTCGTCCCAACAGCTCTAGAAGCATAGTAGCGCTTACTATCAATCACAACATAGTCAAAAAAGACTGTGTCACGATCAAGTGGGAGGCTATGAGGTACGACGGCATGGTCAAAACGACAATGAACTGGAGTCAAAGGAAAATGATAGCAGAGGGTGGATGCAAGTAGTCGATATGTCTCAGTGGACATTCCTTGCTTTCAGTGTTGAGGACGAAGTGAATAAGCCAGACCAGCTAAATATGTTTTCTGAGATCATTGTCATAACAAAATGTAAGAGAACTCAACATACCGTCTACACCAGCATCATCAAGGTCTTTTGATAATGCTGCAAGTCCAGCCACAGGTTCCCTCTCGTCATTGGAGGCCTTCAGCATGATTGATGCTGTCTGACTTGGAAGGGAATCCTTAGGATAATGCTGTAATGTGTACGTCTATGGATATTGTTACTATGTAGTTCAGTGAGTCAAGAACTGATCAAACTATCAGAAGTATATACTATGATTGGACCATAGACAGTGGCGAGAAGAAGCCATTGATCCGCTGTTAGTGAACCACCTGATGGCATACTAATGTCAGTCAGTAATTTACCACATGATCCCGGGACAATAAACTGTGAATTTGATTGATTGTTAGTGTTGGACGTACACACAAGATCTAGCCTCACATCGGCAAGCATGTCATGGAAGACGTCGAGCTCATGATTAGCATGAAGAATCTTTCCCTGGACCCATATGTTGTAAAAATGAGTCTTAATGAGACCTGAATCGAGCATAATCAGCGCCAGATTAATTGCAGGAAGCTAAGATACTCACCAAGGTAAAGATTGTGCATTGGATCGATGACAATCTGTTCGACAAGGTTGAAGTATGGTAGACGTGATAGCTGTGTGTATTGAGTAGCATGTTCCTTTACAAAGTTCTTGCGAGCAGATGCAGTAGTCAGCCTGCGGTAGCGCTCGCCAAGTTCCCGTTGTTCTTCATTTGTCTGTGGCCGAAAAGCTGAACAACATTAATGGACGATAGTCATGTATGATAACGCAAATGCACCTCCTTGTTGAAATGCCTGTGGTTTATCTTTATGTGCAATCATTATCCAACATACGGTACAAAAATTAGTATGGGAGTGAGATGAAAATCCACCCAGCTTGTGCGCAGCTGGTTTATCACAAACAACTGCGACCAAAATTACACAAACAAGGTGTCCTAGCAAAATGAGTCGACACTGACAGATGATGAGTAACCGGACTTACCTTGTGGACAAGATTCAGTCGGAATCTTGATTCCAACTCTCCATAGACATAGTAAATCTGATATGATGGGCCGTAAGAACCGTTGGATTTGGTCGGGATTCTGCTCCTTCGGCCCAGGCAGGATACTTGTACACATCAGATTAGATGTGTGATAGCTTGAAAATGAATAACATCAAAAGATATCAATCTATCAGGTGTGAACAAGGCTTACTGATATTCAGGTGGTAGATTACATATCGAGAACGATGAACCTGGCAATGGAAATTCACATGAGCAGCGAAATATCAACAAGGGGATAAACAATGTACCAATCAGCTCCAAGGTTCACTCCAATGCGTAGTTCACCATCTGGGCCATGTTGCTCGTGAGGGAGATTCGAAAAGAAGAGTTTACCATCAGGACCCTTGAGTTTTGTGCGACAAGTGTCACCATCAAAGATATCAGTATATTTACCAATCGTGCGAGGTTTACTGTGCCAACCATCAAGCACAGCCTCAAGACCAGGAATTTTGAGAAGAGATTTGATCTGTTTGGATAGAGGAAGGTAAGGATACTTGATGATGGGCGTTTTGACAGCGCGTAAGTTCCCCTGTTGCGTTGTACCAGGAAGAAAGATGTCGACCCCACAATTTTGCAGGTATTGTGCGATTTTGTCGACATTGCAGGAGGAAATACATCACGGCATGTAGGGCAAACAGGGAGTGTGAAAATGGTAGTGTCGACACCAAGGACACGATTACTGGACTGCAGTGTTACAAAAGGGACATTGATAGTTGGTGCAAGAGCAACGAGGATGCAAGCAAATATCGTTAATAATGCATTGCAAGCCACACGAGGGAGGTGGAATTGGAGGTGCAGCCAGGAGACAACCGCATAGATAGTGAGTAAGTGTGGGGGAACATAAACGAGGTTCCGATAATTTGTCGCGCTAAAGCCTTCATCAGGTATGAACGGATCAGGGTCATCTTCATCAATATCATTGGTGGCAGCCGTCTCCATATCTTCTTCCTCGTCTGGATCATCAAAACGAGCATCAACGTCGATGTTGAGATGATCTAGATTATCCTCAGCTTCTTGCATAAGCTGATTCTCTTCAGCGCTGTAGCTCCTCAACAGCCTTTTCAATCTGTCGATCTAATGTGTGCTGTTCCGAGTCAGGTGGGAGGTGATGGGCTTTGTATGAGGTGAGCGGCCGTGAGCCTGAGCTTGTAGCTGTATTATATGCGCTGAAGTGGTCAACAGCACATGTAGCGCCTTGGGGCTATGGAAGTTCAGACCAAGATTAGGCAGGTCAGTACCATGGGTCATGAGATCCAGGTCTTCTCCGGTAAGAAAACCATAGTCTAGCATCTCCTGTTCAACAGGAGATTCAGAAATGCGACAAGGATCCTTGAATGTGACATCCGTGATAATGGGGGCTGTAGTTCACGTAGAGGAATGGCGAACCCTTGAGGAACGGGGTCTGCATCTCGAATAGTGGTAGGAACGATGCAGTTCTCCAACATGCTTGTAGTGGGCTTGTGACACGTTGGTTTTCAAACGGAGTTCGCTTTGTTCGTGAGCACGAGCTATATGTTCTTGAACAAGTGCTTCCGTTGCACTTGTGCTTCTGGCAATGGCATCTTCAATAACGCACTTTCTTGAGGCCTGCAGATGACATGGTGAAGTCAAAGCAAGCGTCACATGTTGTTATACTTACAACTCGAAGACATGTAGTAGTTCACGATAATAATTTGAGTCCGGCAAACGTTCTACTACACGGTGGTCTTGTGATGCTTTGAGGTAGTTTCAGCTCTCTTTACATCCTTCAAATCCTTCAAACTGACTTCTGTCGTGCCCAAAGGCTTGATGCAAGTCTAGTTGGGTAAAATATGTGTTAGTTATAATAGAAAATGAGGCAAGCATACATTAAAGACCGGTTTGCACTTTGGTATTATCTTTGGGTTCAGACTCAGGCTCCGTCTCACTGTCGTCAGGTGCGGGTAGCAGTGCTAGCGCTGGCCGTTTGAGCAAAGGCCTGATGGATACCTCGAGTGTCTGCAGACCTACATGTTAGTTGAATATACAAATTTTAGTCGACTTACTACAGGCCCAGGTTCATCGCTCTCAAAGGTGAAGGTAAATCTCCTAGTGCCCGAAGGCAGCTGCAGCTGAACCACATTTTGACCTTGCATGTCAGTTCTTGCTGAAGAGACTTAGCGAAAAAAAAAAACGAATGAACTCACCTCACGTAAACTCAGAGGTCGGGTTTTCGAAAAATGCTCTTTCCAGAGGGTGGATATCGTTGAGTTATGAGCATTAACATGGTGGAGATTATGGTGAAAATTCAGGTCTGTATTTGGTCCAGTTAGGGCTGTTTACTTCTAACCCAGGTTTGGATTGCATCCGTTTATGTGTTCTGCAACTCCCAGATGCTCGAATTCCATCCACGTCGAGTTTGAGTCTGGAAAAGGTCTTATGTCTGTACCACATTGGGTTATGCACCTAAACACCCTCTGGTTACATTAGGGTTAAAATCTCATTTCCACAGTGAGTGTGGAGGAATATGAGCAGCTGCTAGTCGTTAAGTGCAAAATGAAACAACTGATCAGCTTGAGGGCGGTAGGCACGACTTGTATGAGCGCTTGAGCAATGATCGAGTTGGTGATCATAGCACTGAAGCATTTGATGTGCCCGAATGGAAACATCGTTATATTCGTTTCGCCTTCAGCCTGAGATAGAATTTGAATAGCTGAGCAAACCGTTTGCGTTCATGATGGCGGAGTTCGAAAGCAAACAGAAATGACACCAAGGAGGAATTTATTGTATAAGGAACGGCAATCGCCTGGCTATACTAGGTGACTTGTTTTTGTAAAGTAATCGACCCAAAATGCGCGGACCTTATCCGAGTCTTTTTCACCAAGCTTCTTGACAAGATTGCACGTGTTGTTGATAATTTGAAATCAGATGGTCTTTCTGTAACCACATGAGCATACTGTACACCATCTAGTGTGGGGGGCAAAACTCGCAAAACCGGTTGTTTTGCCAGGGTGGCAAAACTCGGCAAAACTCTAGGCGCTTAGCTAGGTTATGTAGACTATATGTATGACATTCCTAATGATGACATCAGTGCTGCTCAATTCTAAAATGTCGTTGTCAATGTCGACTTGACCTTACGGCCAACCTCTCATAAATTACTCATGCAGACATAAACCTTTCCTTATTTGGCCACCTCCGTGTCGGTTAGACCTTCGCATGGGAGACGTTCTACTACACCTTGTCGCAGAGTATCCTCGTTCTAATCCTCGCTGACAGAGACTCAGAGCCCAACTTGAAGTTAGCTACCTAAACCTTTCCATGTAGTATTGCTCCATAATTTCTAAACCTTTCCCTAAATCAAAGTCTTTGAATATTCCAGTTCAACATGTCTCATTAGTACCAAAAATACTGCGTGCAAAATTGCTTAAACCACTCAAATTTGCCCGAGCAGAACAGATACCTAGTAGACTACAAGTATTATGAATAAAAGGTTTAGGAGGACATTTAGCAATAAATATGAAAAGGTTTAGGAATACTACTACTATTACTACTGCATGGAAAGGTTTAGGTAGCTAACTTCAAGTTGGGCTCTAAGTCTCTAACAGCGAGGATTAGAACAAGGATACTCTGCGACAAGGTGTAGTAGAACATCTCCCATGCGAAGGTCTAACTGACACGGAGGTGGCCAAATAAGGAAAGGTTTAGGTCCACGTGAGTAATTTACGAGAGGTTGGCCGTAAGGTCAAGTCGACATTGACAACGACATTTTAGAATTGAGCAGCACTATCAATATTAATGTTGCCTCATCCCAGTTGTCATCCTCGCCATTGTAATTAACCACCTCAATCTCATCTAGAACAGTCTGTGGTTGTTCGAACCCAATCCAACAGGATCCAACTTGTCAAAATCAAAAGCATTTCCCATGAGAACTTCAACTTCATTAATGCTCTGAACTTCTTCAGTCCTTTTCAACTCTTCGAGAGCTGCAAATTCAGCGGCAATGTCATCAGGTGAGATACTCTCTAGACCAGTGAGAAGGTCATCTGTATTGCGAGGCTCAGTCGAGAGAGGCACAAGGCCAAGTTCAATGCCACGGGCACTGGCGTCATGCCGCTTGATGGGC